CAACAACAACAACAACAACAACAACAACAACAACAACAACAACAACAACAACAACGACTACGGTCCCATCTACGGTGCTCCGCCGACCCCAGGTCCATCTCATAATGGCATCCCAGGCCCGTCCGTTGCTACACCAGAGGAGCAGCAGCAGCATTCGGCTCCAGTACTAACGCCGTTCGAACTGGCAAGGGCTGAGTACGAAGGTAAAAAAGCAAACGGAATCAGCACCATTGAGGACGACATCACGTTCCTGCGGCTTCAGAATGAAGAGGATGCTAGAAAGAAGCAGGAGGCCGCTGACGCGCTCTACGAAGCAGAGGGAGATATGGATGTTGATGAGGACTTCGGCGCTCCTCAGGACGATCCAGAAGAAGACTCTTTATTCGTCCCCCGTTTTACTTCTCGCCGCCGCAAGAGTACCGGCGCTTGGCCGGGACGGGACGATGATGACGAGGACGACTTCCTCGACGTCGGCGAGGGCCCTTCCTCGGCCTCGGTGGACAGGGATGAGGGGGATAGCAGCGAAGAAGTCGAGGGAAAAAGAAAGAGGCGGAAGAGATCCAAATCCACCACTAGGAAGCGGGCCAAGAAGGGAGAAGGCTCGAGGAAAGGAAAGAAGAACGCAAGGGCGCAATCGCCACAGGCGGAGGCTTCTACCAATGGCGCTCGCGCTCTGGATTCGCTGATGCACTCGAACGTCTTCCGCGATGCGGCGGCCAACCAGAACGCACCAGCCCTGCCAGAGATCACAGATACCCGCAAAACGGAAGCTTTGAAGAAACTGATCGCGTCGGTTCCCCAAAGTCAAAGAAAGAAGGCCCTCACTGATAGGAATGAACTGTTAAAGGCAAGCCAGAAGTTTTCTCGTCGTGGTGCACGCCCGAACGGAGCTGGTGGGTGGAAGATAACTGGCATGGTGTCTTCATTGCAGAACCATCAGCTTATCGGTGCCGGCTTCATGCGAGAGAGAGAGGGTGCTGCAGAAAAGCCTCACGGTGGCCTTTGCGCTGATGTAAGAGCATCTCTCACCACATTTGCCTTGCATGCTTACGCTAATTAATTTGCTCTAGGCAATGGGTCTTGGTAAGACTCTTGAGATGATTGCAAATATCATCAACGATCGCCCGAGGAAGCCGGAGCCTGGAGAACCAATAACCACTCTCATCGTCCTCCCTGCAACGCTCGTCACGCAGTGGCACGACGAACTGAAGAAACATGTGGATCGCAAACAGCGACTCTCGATTCTCGAATGGAAAGCTGGCTCCCGACCCGAGACTCATGATCCCGTCGAAACTATAAGCAAGTTCGACATAGTCCTTACCACGTACTACGAAGTTCGGAACAGCTACCCGAAGGCGGAAGTTCCGATAGAGCTCCAAACGAGCGAGGAGAAAAACGCGTGGTGGAAAGAGTACTTTGAGCAACACAAAGGGCATCTGCACAGCGTTCAGTGGAGACGAGTGGTGCTCGATGAGGCGCAAGCGATCAAGAACTACCGCTCGGCGACATCTCTGGCGTGCAGAGCGTTGAAATCAAAGTACCGGTGGGCTCTTTCTGGTATGTCATCACTTAATTCGGACATATCCATCCGGATGATAGCTTCACGTCCCCCGATTTGTTCGCACTAACGAGAAAAAGGCACTCCCATTCTGAACTCGGCGCTCGAGCTCTACCCCTACTTCAAGTTCCTCCAGGTTCCATACACGGGAACCTTCCGTGTGTTCAAGGTCAACTACTACAGCAAAGCCGACGACGAACCGATGGAGAGGCTGAGCATTATGGTCAACCGCTTCATGATACGACGCACCCACAAAGACACAATGTTTGGGGCGCCGATCGTGAAGCTGCCTAAGGCGAGCGACCGCATTCATTGGGTGAAGTTCAACGACCTTGAGCGGGCCATCTACGAGATCGTGCGCAAGCGCATGGTTACGCGGGTCAACAGTTTCGCTCAGGACAACACGCTGCAGCGCAACTACCGCAACGTACTGGTAATGCTGCTCCGGCTGCGACAGATGACGGGCAACCTGCTGCTTGTCGAGGTTGTGATGAAGGACCTGCTCGAGCGCGAAGACCACGAAAAGATTCGTAAATTGGCCGAAATGGAGCTCGATGGCGACGAAACCAGACGCGCTCAGATTATTGAGCTACGCAGAATGCTCTCGAAGCCGCCGCCAGACGCACAGGTCGACGAAAACGACGACAATTACGGATTCCTTGACGATGTGCCTGACGAGGGGATCAGCCTCGGACGGGCGCATGGAAAGAAGTTCAACTTTAACAGGTACCTACAGGATCTACGCGAGGGCAAAGAGTGGGAGGACCTTAAGAAGCGTACCCTCTGCGTTGTGTGTAATATGCCGCCTGATCAGCCCTACGTCACCTCTTGCTACCACATCTACTGCGAAGAGTGCCTGGAGATGCAGCAGCATGAGTCGGCTGCTAAAGGTGAGCCGCATGCTCTCTGCCTGAAATGCTCAGTTGAGTATATCTGGTCGCATCCGTGCGATGAATTTGACCTCGACTCCATCGTGTCGGATATCGACGAGGCAGATATCAATGCAGAGGATGAGCCGCCGGTAGAAAGGTGGCGCAAGAAGAAGAACAAGAAGAGAAAGGGAAAGGACAGGAATGACGAGGAGAGTGTTACGCGGACATGGATCGAGAAGAACGGAACAGTGCTCCCGTCGGCCAAGACGATCGCAGTCAAGGCCCAGATCCTCAACTGGCTGCAGCAGGATCCGGAGGCAAAGATCCTGGTTTACACGCAGTTCATCTCGATGATCCAGATCATGAAGAAGATCTGCCAGATGGAGGAATGGAACTTCCTCGAATACACGGGCAAGATGACGATTGCCGCGCGCGACAAGGCGCTCGATTCGTTCAAGAACGGCAACGCCTCTATCCTGCTAGCAAGTCTCAAATGCGGCGGCTTAGGTCTCAACCTCACCGCCGCCAAGCATGTTATCTCGATCGACCCTTGGTGGAACTCGGCTATCGAGCAGCAGGCCTTCTGCCGCGTCTTCCGCATCGGGCAAACTGAGGAGACGTCTATGACCCGTTTCGCCGTCGCCAACAGCATCGACGAGAAGTTGATCGCAATGCAGGATAAAAAGCAGGAGGAGATTGACCGCGTGATGGGCGACAGTGGCCCACAGCGTGAAAAGTAAGTGCAATATCACCCACTCCATTGAACTATGAGAATGAGTCTGACGTACTTTGCAGTCTCTCGGTTTCTGAAATGATGCGCCTGTTCGGTCCGGTCAGAGAAGATAACCAGGGCCGGGAGTTCATTATTGTGGAAGACAAGGAGACGCTGCCGCAATACGATGCAGACAGTGAGGATGAGGGTGATGAGGACTGAAAGCGAGAATCTTCAGGGTGACATTTGACGAGCGAGCTCTGGTTTTGACACAAAAATGCTTTCTTTTACGAGTCTGGGGGACGGGTTCCAAAAATCTCAGGGGGTCCTGAAAGATCAGCATGATATATTCATATATGGGGGCAGGCATACACAGCCTCTTACAGCCTTGAAGGCTTCTTTTTCGAGGAAATATTCATAGGTAGTTGAGGCGTCTGAGCGTTTGGAAACATGCAAATTGGAAACCTGCTCGAGCATTCAAAATTGCACGGCCCTTTAATGACGAGAGAGAATACGCGCATTTACACAGACAGGCGCAGCCCAACGCTTAATTGATGCATCTCTGGGTATTTGAAGCTAATGTCCGGACGCAGATGTTCATTAAAAAATTGGACATTTGCGTCCGGACGATAGCTTCAACTCCGCCGGAATGACATATTTCAAAAAACAAGGCAACAGAGCGGGGGAAGGACAAAAGCAGCGATCCGGGTGCAACCCCTCTTGCCAGGCCGATAGGCTTGCTTGGCGGAACGTGGCGCTACACGGCGTCGATTCTGCGCCCAAAAATGGAGACCATGGTGTGGCTTGATGCGGGGTGGGATTTGCTACAACGAGCGCGGAGGTTGAAATACGCGGTGCCCAGGGCGCGCCGCTAGCAGCCGGAGCGCCGGGAGATGCACGCAGGCGTGGTTCTGGGGCACGATTCTGGGGGAGTGTGTTGTGGGCGTGGCGGGTGATTTGTTATAGATAACAGCTGAGTGGGCGGGGCCCGATATCGCGACTGAGGCCCCGAATTTGGGCCTTCTGGATGCTGCCGGCCATTGCTGACAAAACTCCACCGTTTCCTCGCGCTATAGCCATGCCGGCAGCTCCTCTCAAGGCCCTGGAATCGCACCCTGCGTCTCGCCACTGCACGCATCCCGCAGCAGCCCTTGTACCTGGCTGAATCCCCACTGTCGGACCACCGCCGCGCCCGCCGACGGCGCCCATCCCCGCCGCAACCACGCCCTCGCCAGCGCGCAATGCGCACCAATGGATTCCGGCCTGAGTGTTGCCCAGTCTGAGGGCCAGCAACCCTCGCATGCGAAGGCCGGCCCTGCGAAGGCGCGCGCCAGGAACAAGCGGAAGGATGCGCACGACGACCAAGTCAAGCGCCGCTGCGTGAGCACCGCCTGCATTGCCTGCCGTCGCCGCAAGTCAAAGGCACGCCGCCAGCCCACGCCCAACGCCAACCGCTGACCATTGTCCAGTGCGACGGCAACACCCCCGCCTGCGCCGCCTGCGCCTCCGTCTACAACACCGAATGCGTCTACGACCCGGGCTCCGACCACCGCCGCAAGGGCGTCTACAAGAAGGACATCGACCAGCTCAAGACCAAGAACTCGACCCTCGAGACCCTGATCCATGCCATCCTCAACTGGCCCGAAGATGAGGTCCCCAGCCTGGTCAGCCAGATACGCACCTGTGAGAGCCTCGACGCCGTCGCCGAGCAGATCCTCCTCAAGGAACAGGGCATGGAAGATGACTCAGAAGAGATAACGCCTTTCGAGACCGACGCTCCGCAGGGCGCTCCAACGTTCGAGACACAGCTGTCGGGAAAGATGGGCCAGCTGCGCCTCGAAGACGGCTCACAGCGTTACATCGGAGGCACCTCCAACTTGATTCACTTGGGCCAAGGCGGTGACGGCGACAACGACTTCACGGCTGTCGCCGAACAAGACCAATACGCCCAACTGGAGGATCCCATCACGTCCTGGACTACCGTGACCAAAGACCCGGAGCTGATCACCCACCTGATCAACATGTATTTTGTCTGGCACTACGCCTTCTTCACCACTCTGCCCAAGAACTTGTTCTACCGTGATTTCCTACTCGGAAACCCCCCGGGTGAGAATGGTAGGAAATACTGCACGCCCCTACTGGTCAACGCTATGCTTGCACTGGGTTGCCACTTCACTTCACTACCAGGTGCTCGTGCCAGCCGTGATGATTCGGCCTCTGCTGGCGATCACTTCTTCAAGGAGGCCAAGCGTTTGATAATGGAGAACGACGAGCACGAGAAACCGAGGATGACCACCGTCCAAGCCCTAGCACTCATGTCAGTTCGGGAAGCTGGCTGCGGCCGTGAGGCAAAGGGCTGGGTTTACAGCGGCATGAGTTTCCGGATGGCATGTGACTTGGGCTTGAATCTCGACTCTGGAGGTCTCTCGTCTGCTCAAGGCGCCTTGGACGAGGGTGAGGAAGATGCACGCCGCATTACGTTCTGGGGGTGCTTCCTGTTCGACAAGTGAGTTTTGCTTTCGAACAAGTCTGTTCACGCACGCAATGCAGTGCCTCAAGAACGTGTGACTGACGACGTTCAGGTGTTGGTCAAATTATCTGGGACGTTTGCCCCAACTTCCTACTAGCATTATCACGGTCCCGAAGTTTGAGGTATTCCCGAACGAAGACGCCGAAACGTGGTGCGCATACAGCGATTCCGGTTTTAGCCAGGCCAATGCCCAACCAGCGCGGACGCGCGCAGTGGCCCGGCAGATTTCCCTGCTGTGCGAGATCAGCAATGATCTGATGAACTCATTCTACAACCCCATTGATATGGACAAATCAAAAGGGAAGCAACTAGAACTCAAGAAATTGAGTGAGCTGCACCAGCGACTGGAGGCTTGGAGGAGAGATCTTCCTAAAGAGTTTGAGCCGCGGGAAGGCGGCTTGCCGTCAATGCTTGTGATGCAGTAAGTGCCCTTCAAACGAGAGCCAAGTGTGTGGTGCAACGCCAGCAGATCCTGAGGTTGCGTACGCACTGTATAACGAGGTTGGAATACTATCCAATTTCGGAAGCTCGGAACTGGAGCAGCCAATAACTATCGGTGGCCGTTCCACTTCCCTGCGCGCTGGAGCACCTCGTGTTCTGTTACCCCAAGGCTATACTTTTCAACTATTCTGTCTTAAATGCTAACTCTTGCCTAGCATGTTCTTTCAACTCCTCTACATCCATCTCTTCCGACCCTTCCTGAAATATGACAAAACAACCTCGCCATTACCGCCAAATGTCTCTCCGCGGAAACTATGCACACAAGCAGCGCAATCAATATCAAAGCTTTTGAGGCTGTATAAACGGTCGCATGGTTTACGGCAAATATGCAATGTCGCCGTCTACATTGCTCACTCTGCTTGCACGATCCACCTCCTGAACCTTCCCGACAAAAATGCCCGCCGAGATATCATTCACGGTGTCAAGCACTTAGAAGAAATTGCTGAAGGCTGGCTCTGTGCCCGCCGCACCTTAAGCATCCTCTCCATTCTCGCCCGGAAATGGCAGGTTGAGCTTCCTGAAGAAGCCGCCACAGTCCTCGCTCGCACCGACTCAAAATTCGGCTCCTACCATGGCGACACGCTCTCCCCGAAAGGTACAGCCGCGCTACCGCATGCGGCACAGCCACCACCAGGCTCACTCCCTCCTCTTGTCCAAACCTACGGCTACACCGCCGCCATTCCTGCCACTAAAATACCCACGGTTCCTGCAAACGCCGCCAGCTACGCCGCCGCCGCAACAATGGGCCGTCGTGGATCCGACAACCGCTCCCATACCGGACCCCCGCAGACTGCGGCAGAGCTTCAGTACCCGCGCCAGACATCGCAACAGCAACTCACCAACCCCAGCACTCCCATCAACACAGCGGGCTCCGCGGCCGTCTCGTTGGGCGGCTCGCCATCGGACCTTTTCGGGGGCGTCGACGCGCTGCTGCGCGAGAGCCAGGACAATTGGTGGCTACGCGACCAGAGCCAACTGGCCGTCGGCTTCGACAATTGGGGCATGAGTGCCGAGGAAATGGCGTATCTGAATCGCAGTCCGATCGCTACGACTACTGCTGCGAATAGCGCAAGGCAGCAGCAGCAGCAACAACAACAGCCAGTCTCATCAACCACAGCAGCGGAGAGTGTGGTTCAAACATCGTATGCTGTGAATGGTGGTGCAGTAACTGGAGCGGATGCAACCGGTATTAGTGGAACCGTAATGAATGGTGGGTATGGCTCGATGAATCTGTACAACGAGGATGAGTGGTATCAATAACGCGTCATTTTTCATTTTCTTATTTCGTTCTCTTTCCATGTTCCTGGCAAGATCATTTCAACAGAGCTAGGAAGCGGGGTTTGGTAGGGAAAAACCACTGGATTCATCAGTCCATAAAAATTATTTGGCGTCTGTCGAACTTGGGCTTGGGCGAGGGAAAGGAAGGTAACGAATGCATAGATAAACCCCCTCGACTCTCCGCTTCTCATTGTCGTTTTATTTCTCTTTGATTTCATCTCATGTCTCTTTCTCGGAGTTGAAGAGAAACAAAGAGGTAGGGAAGAAGAGCATGCTGCAGTATGGGATGATACCAATTATATACAAGATATCTACTCCTTTCTGATACGACAATGTCTCCCGGAGAAAACCTATCTATTTTCTCTTTGTAACACGTTCAAAGTGAGGCGCTACAAATCAACCACCACTCACTCTTCAATGATTTGGGATATACAGAGCCCTCTGGCAGCCGATGGCTAGCGTGGAATTGTTTTTTGCTCATGTCATGGGTAGCTGAAGCTATCGTCCGGACGAGAATGTGGAGTTAAAAATTCTACATATACGTCCGGATGATAGCTTCAGCTACCCACATATGTTGTTTTTCTAAGACAGAGCTGGGGCATAGTTACGCTATTTTCTAGAGCCCTGCTATTCTTCGCGCTAGCCATCGGCTGCGAGAGGGCTCTGTACAGTCCAATGTCGGCCCCATCCCATTTACTAAAGGAGAATAAAACGACAACGGAGGTATCAAAGGGGGAAAGTCGTCAATTTTCTCAGCCCACGTCATCACTAGCAAAATGTCCTTCGATCCCTCCGCTTCCTCGATCCCTGCTCCGATCCCAACCTCATTGTATTGCATGTACATACGAACACATTCCTATCTTGCACGCATGCATTGCATGAACCCAATGTTCGTCGCCGCCGCCACCAGAATTTGGCAGCAATCACACACGCAAACTTCCACGCTCACCGGAAACGCAGACCTCAAGGCTTGGGAGCGCGGAAGGGGGCATTGCACATCCGCGCATGCGTGACGGCCGGTGATTTTTTTTTCTTTCGAGTTAGCCATACAGGAAGAGAGCTTTGACTGGGGCATCATGTGCTACATGCACACGTGCATATGTGATGCGTGCGTGCGTGCATGCGCGTGGACGTGCATATGAAACGTGGGCTCTCCGATTCTCGCTGATTGCATGCTGTGCTGATCAGGAGCCGACGGGGCGGGAAAATGTGGCTGGCGGAACTGCATGCTGCTGCTGCTACTACTGCTTGCTGACAGCGGGTGGGAAAGAAGAGGCGGGATGAGAAAGGACAGGTTGACGTGCGTAGAGCAGGGAGGAGTATGGGAAGAGGGAAAAGGGAGCTTCTCATGCTTGTACTATGTATGTCTCTGTCTCTCTCCTTCTCTACCCGTGCTTACTGGAGCATGTCATTCCTCGTACTTGCTCTTTTTTTTTTTACGTGGTGACAGCTCACCTGTGTGCTTCAAGGTGCCGGGCGGTACGCCTTACCCTCGGACTCGCGCGCCATTGCTGATCCTCATCCTCTTGGCCCCCCGGGGGTCCAATTTGATGGGTGACAATCTGTCCGCATTTTACAGGAGGACGAACAGCGGAATGGTGATGATGATTATGAGGACGCTGGTGAGACGAAAACCGTTGGGCCGGGGGAGGGGAAAGGGCCATTGCGTGGCCCATCGCCCATGGCGTTTCACAACTGGAGGACAAGATGTGCTGATAGGGCAGAGATTTGGGGGAAAACGCACGGGGCGCATCTTGCTCTCAGGAGTAGGGTAAGCTGAGACGGGGATGGATAGCGGAAGATCGGATGGTCAGGTGGGCGGTCAGGCAAGGCATTGGGGCGCAGGTAGTGCTTATTTTGCGCCCATCGTCTCCTAGTTCTTTGGCGGTTGATTAAACTAATTAATGCAGGACGAGTGAATTGGAAGAACATCACCGAAGAGAAGCACAAACGAGACCATTGATGAGAATCAGTTCGTCATTGAAGATTAGGTTTATCGTGAACAGTTGCCTTTAGCTGTACGTATGTACATCCAGGGTATCATTAAGCCCGTCGCCCCCCGGATCCCCATTGTCATTTTTGATGCGTGCCTTTGCCCACCCGATATCATGCCATTACCACGCCGCTCCAATCCATTCATTCTTACTCCAGAAGCCTGTCCAGCGATCCAAATTACTTCCGCGTTTCAGAACCGTAGCCATCATCCAGGGTCAATGCAAAACAAGAAAGATCCAATGAAAATCCCCGATCTGATGTTGATCAGTCATTAGTGAACGCCGACCCCGCTATCCTGCTCTTTGCCCTTTGCCGTGGTATGTGAGGAGCTGGTGAAATAACAATGAAAGGAAAAGTGATGTTTCGGTTCGAAATATGACGTGTACACGATTGAGACAGACCGGTATTCAGCAAGGCGTAATGTGTGGGCGTGGGTGTTAGGCTATCTCATACAGCACTGCAGGTTTTGCTCCAGCACATGCTATTCAGCAAGTCCAATGGAAGTTGTCCAAACTTTCCGGTGCATTAGACTCAGGAGCCGTCAACCGGGGCGAGATAACCGTGTATGTGGCCGGGAAAAATCATACGACAAACTAGACTCGGTGGTCTTGGTGTTGAGACGGTGAGAAAGAGTTAGGCAATCAGAGTGCGCTTGACCCTCTTCCTCTTCAGACTTTCTTTGTCTGCGGCAGCCGCAGCGGCGCGCCTTGCCTCAGTTATGCGCTTGCCGCCCATGCTGCGGACCGTCTCCTCAATCTTGCCATTAAGGTGTAGAGCCTCGATATCGTCGCCACCGCCAATGCTTCTACCATTGATGAGCACGTTAGGCACGGTTGAGCGGCCAGTGGACTTCTTGAGCTGAGCTTGGATCGCGGAGCCGAGCGGGTGCTGGTCAAGTTCGACGACGTACGGCGCCGGAGTGATGGAGTAGTCCTCGAGCAGAATCCTCTTGGCCTTTGCAGAGAAGCGGCAATACGACTTGGAGAAGATGATGACTAGAGCGAAGTGTTAGACATGTAGATTTATGTGGCTGAGCACGGGGAATAGCTTACTAGGACTCTTCTTGAGAATGTCGTTGATCTCAAGCTCGGCCTCGTGCTCCTCCTGCGTCTCTTCGTCGGCGTCAGAGCCGCTGGTGGCCTTGGAAGAGGCGGCGGCCTTGACGCTATCGCCGACATTGCCCACCTTGGCGACGCCGTCAACGCTGTCGGACGCCTTATTGCTATCCTTCATGATGACACGGCCAGCGACGCTCCTCTCTCCGGTGACTTCATCGTGCTCGCCAACCTTGGTGTCCTTTTCGACCCTCGCGTTCTGTTGGCTGGTCTTGCCGCTGACCCTGTCCTTCTCCTTCTCTGCGTCGCCGGCGGCGACGACTTCCTGGATGCGGTTGCCCTTGTTGTTGGCGCTCTTCTTGGCTTTGTCCTCTGCGGCCTTTAGGCGCTTGCTGACATCGTCGTCGGTGGCGAGATTGGGCTCAACAATAGCATTGGCGGAGCGCTCGCGATCGCTGAGAGCGCTCTGGGTGCGCGTGTAGAAGGCTGAGTCGCGGGTGTGGCGTGCGGCGGAGGTTAGGTAGAGGGTTGTGAGGACGACGAGGAGCACGGCTATGGAAAAGATCTTTAGGCGGCGCTGAGAGCGCATGGTTGGCATGGTGGTTGTGGTGGTGTGTGGTGGTGAGAGTTGAGGCGGGAGGTGGAGGTGCGGAGAAGGTAAGAAGGCGTCGGGTGATGCAAGCTCGGCTCGGCGGAGGAGTGGTGTAGCTCTCCTTTGGGCGGGCAGGGCAGGGACAAGAATAGAAATCTCAGAGCGGCAGTGGCAAAGGTTCGTTATCAATGACAGTGGAGTATGTTTTAGACTTGGCCTGTCCAGCGTTTCAGACTGGGCACGGTGGTAAGGCGCGTTGTGGTGGAGATTCGAGCGAGTGGAGCTGGGACGTGGTTGGTCGGGCGCAGCACAGTACGAGGCGCTCTTATGGCAGCATTCCTGCGCAGGCGGAATCTTGTTTGAATAATGACGTCCAGTCAGCGCCCCTTTCTTCGCTACCGTGGCTCGAGATTGCCCGTTTGGAAACCATAGTCTTGGCAATCTCTCACCTAGATGCTGCACAGCGCGTCTCATTTCTTATCGTTGTGGCTCGGGGCTGGCGGGCCCAGCAGCCGGTGGGGGCCAGTCAAACAGGCTGCTGTCGCCAATCGCATTGAGCAATTCTACCTACGACGTTTCCCGCGCCATCTGCGCGAATAGATGCAAAATGCTGAGGTGGTTGCGACATATTATAGCGAGACCCAAACAGCATCTGTTTAGCGCAGCCCTCAGCTTGGCATGCGACGTTGAGATTTCAATTTTACCCGCCGACTCTCCTTTCCGAGTCACCTGCCTCTTTATTGCTTTGTGATTTGATATGCTGGCGGCACCAATCTCTCAGTGATGTGGCAGGATCCGCGGGAGCATGGCTTCTTTTAATTTTTTTTTCCCTTGAAGGCGCGCCGAAGGGACGCCGGTGCAAGCTACTTCAGGAGGCTGAGACGCTTGTTGATCAAGTGCGGGGCACACGCAGAGAAGCAAAGGGAGGCGGGGCTCACCACAGCTGTCCAGATGTCAGTATTTTGAGTGACTCATCAGGCCGAAAAAACAGCCGCGAGCAGCAGGATGCACTCAGCCATGTTGCTCGAATCCTGCCTGTGCTGCCTCACTCGGCCGACGGCTGCGCAACACCACGCAGTCCATTGTTCCCTTTCGATCGGGACGACGGCTGAGCAAGCCGCAACGCACCGACACCCACTACCCCGCAAACGCACCAGCACCTGCATTTCCCCCCGGCCCACATCGACACGTGCTGTGCATTTGTCCAAGCGAGCCAGGCACCGGCCTCTACAACAAGAGACAGCAATAGTCTGTGGGACTTGCCGTCGCCTGTGGCTTAGGCGCCATTCCGAACGGGATCAATTCCCCGGGGCGCCGCAGAGCACAATCCATGAGATCAGGCGAGGGCGCAGCAGAGGAAGCAAAGGGCCGAGGACGGGCGAATCTTGGACGAGGGCGGGGCCTTGCAAGCTCGCACTCGCGTTCTCGATTCCCGAGCCCGGCAGTCCTGAGCAGATCAGCACCACTCGCGTCCATGACTGCCGCTTTGCCAGCCCGCGCCACTTCTCTCTAGCTGCCAGCAGTGCGACCCCGGAGGCAGCGATGGACGTGTTGGGGCGGCTGCTAGTTGCTTGTGACTGTTGCCCAGCCCGCCTCCGCGCCGCTCATTCGCGCCGTGTGTGTGGAGGAGGCGCTGGGCAAGGCTGGCCCGCCTGGTCCTTGTCGTGCTCATAACATCCGCCAACCCGGTCTGCGCCCTCCGTACCTACTTTGCTTTCCGTTGCCGTTGGGGTGCATGCTCCGGCTGACGCGCGGTACATTTGTCCGCCTCAGCCCAGCTTCTCTCAGCTACCTCACTCCACTGAACATGTAGTCACCATCCGTCCTCTACCCCCCTCTGCACCATGGCTCCTGCCGCTTCACTCGCTTCTCGCGCTGCCGACGAGCCCATGGTCGGGCGACCAACAAATCCCGATGGTCTGGTCCTCGAGGCATGGGCTCAGGGCTACATGTACGTTCTCACCTTCCCAAAGCGCTGCCAGACCACTCACGCCTTGCCCAGGGTCGGCAGTTTGGTCATCATGACCTGCATCACCATCGCCAACATGCGCCGTGGCGTGCTCCTGCACAAGCTCATTCTCATCGAGGTTGGTCATTCCCGATGCGGAAAGCGTGCAGCATCGCTAACATCGACCAGCTCATAATGGGCATGTTTCACGGCACCTTTATCTTCGCCCACGAGCCATACTATGGCTGGTATCTCTCGTCCACGGCCATCTTCCTCAACGCATCCTGGTGCCTGCATAACATCATCGCCTGGCTGAAGAACAAGCCCTTCCTCTCCCGCAAGGTCTCCATCTTCTATATCACCACTGTCGTCATCGCCCTTGGCTACTGGGTCCTCGAGATCTATGCCAACTTCGCCTTCTTCAACAACATTAACCGGATTTTCCTCAAGACCCGCCCGTGGGAAGCCTTGTTCCGGTAAGTTCGAGTGATGTCAACACTAGACGACACCGGCTGACCAAGGCGCTATGACGCGACCCCGCAGTGACCCATGGTGGATCTTCACGACGATCAACCTGATCTACAATATCCACACGCGCTACGACCTGTCCGTCTGGCACATCGTGCGCATCTCGCCGCGCTTCGGCGTGCTGCTCGCTTCCATGCTCCTTTCCATCCTCTTCATCATCGTCGATATTCTCGCCGTCACCCGCGTCTTCAATGCCCACGCCCTGCCTGACGGAATAAATCCCTTCTGGAAGCTTGCCTTTGTCTTCAAGTGTCTGACCGACACCATCGTCCTCGACGACTTCAAAACTGCCCTCGATCGACTCAGCAAGGCGAGAAAGCGGCAGCTGAGCAACGGCCCCGACGCCCTGGAGGACGGCAATGTTGAGGGCGTTGACGGCTGGGCCCATGGGTGGAAGGGCGTTGGTAGCGGTGGCTCGCCGAAAGAAGGCAAGGTCAGGAGAATGAGCCCGGCGACGCAAAGGGTCGAGGACATCAAGTTCGCCGACAGAGATGAGGAGCAAGATGTCGTTGCACCCTTGAGCTTGGAAGATGCTCTGAGATTGCCCAGAAGATTGGAAAGTGGGCATTCCGAGAGACGCCTGATTTGAAAGAGGAAAAGAAGGAAAGAAAGATAAATCCTACTCCAGCAAGTTGCGGCATACTCATGCGGGTACGTACACATCTTGCACCCCGCTGCGAGAAGTACCTTCGAAGAAGTACCTTCGAGTCCTCAAACCCTCGAGTCTTCGCGCCCTGAGAATTTCCCCGAATGTCGAACGGAGAAGTTGAGGATCCATGCGACTGCGACCCAATCATACAACGAAGATCCTTGATTCAGGAAAACCCTAATCAGTAACCACCACAACTGGGAGAATAGACTCTGCATCAACTACTGGAGACAAGACATTCAAAAAATTGCCATGTCACATTCCCCGCAGCGCCAGACGATGCTGGAGATGCGTGAGCTTCTATTTTTGGCCTAGGGAGTAGATCACGATAGGCCAACAGATAGGCTCAGCACCTGCAGCATTATGGGAGGTCATGCGGGACATGCCGGCTGCCTTACTGGTCCGCTACGCGCTCCACATAGACTTCCCAATCACATCCAAAACAAACCGTTCTGGGGGATGCAATATCAATCCGTGGAGCCCAGCCGCTCACAAGGACAATCAGGTCCATACTTATCCTCTTCACTAAAAATATTTCATTATTCTGAATGTGCAATGCACGTCAATTTCTATTTTTTCCTTCCTCGCGTTTCGTGTTTACAGATACCCCGGCCGTGAGCAAACTTTGTTTCGAGAGCGATATTCACATCATCCTGTAACCCATACCATTTCCACATACATACTCTGCACCAGCGGAGGAATATATTAAAGCATTATCACAGCGGTTACTGATACCCGAAACCTATCAAAAGTGCGATATGCCGTGGATTACCCGATGATTGCATGAAGATCGGAGATTATTATGCATGTCGTTTGCTGTGAGCTGCTTTATGCGCAGCACCTCGCAAATTCCAGGGGATTCGGTGATTTTTCAAAAGGAGATCGAAGCCATTATGTGCCAGCATTACTTTAATGCATGAACACTATGACGCACATGTTCTCACAATTCTTCAGTTCTCTACTGACGTCAAGACAGCTGAAATCCGTTCGATTGTAGAGACAATGAGAGAATTATAGCTACATAGTCGTAGTAAGAGAGAGAGGGAGAGAGAGAGAACCGTGAGAAGACCTACAGCATCAAACTCCGATCGGAGAGCGTATCACTCGTTACAGCCAGGATACACCATAGCTTGACTTTCCATTTTCGGACAGCCCTAAAACTCTCCATTGTTGCATTTCAACAGGAAAAAAGAGAACGTCTGTAAATTGAAAAGGGCTTTTCATTCGCCCTTGTGAAGGGATAGAGAGAACGCCGCCCATAGCAGGAATAATAATAGTAGGCTTTTCAACCATGGGAGGTCAGGTGGATATCTTGCGAATATGGACGAGGAAAAAAAGAGCAATTGATCCGCTGGAACGCTTAAGGGTTATGGACAGTTTGACGGACGCCTAGGCTCCCGAAAAGTTTATGATCAAGAATGGGGATAAGAGCGCAAAGGGAGATTTCGTTTGGCAATGGCATCTAACCACGCGAGGTGAGACGGATATTTCGAGGTAGTGTTGGCATCACAAACTCCTCATCGTCGTCAGATGGGTTGTCGTCGACCTCGATCGTGTCGGTCTTCAAGTCTCCGTTCATACCGCTGCTGAGCGGCACTGGTGCTGCAGCAGGCATGAGCTTCGAGTCGGTGTCCATTAAGTCGGGTTTGTTTTGCGATCGACGTTGCTCTTCACGTTGCCTTGCCTTTTCGGCAGCCTTCTCCGCCTTCTCCTTCTGCTTCTCGATTTCGGCTTCCGCGACCTTGATCACTTCCTCGAAGCTCTTTCTGGCGCCTTCGAGCTCGGTCCGGCAATCCCCATCCCGGAGCGATTGGTGTGCACCACGTTCACAGAGGCTTTGGGCGTTCTCCAATGCCTTGTCCGCAGTATCAAATCCCTCGGAGCCGCCGTCACTGCCAAAGCCACCCGGACCCATGCCCCGGGTCGTGCGGAAAGCTCCCAGACCGGCGCGTGGTCGGAACTGCAGCTTGGCAAGGACGGGGTCGAAGTCATCGCTGTTCTGGTCGTCATCGTCCTCGGTCTCGGCGGACATGGCCTCCATGCGCGCGGCCATCTTGCCCTTCCTCAGCATGTTCCGGCCCGTTCCAATGTTCCGCACCAACGTTTCAAAAGCCTTCTGCACCTCTGCATCGTAGTAGACGACAATCATGCTCCGGGTCCGGTACTTGGTCGGGCCAGACGTCTTGGACAAGACGGAGGCGGGCTTGCGCTTGCGATTGGCATTGGCCAGGGCTTGTCTCTCGGCCTGGTTGGGGATGTGCGGCTCCTCCGGAGCAGGCGGGGCGGCGTCGGTGCCGTCCTGCTCAAGAAGGGCCTCTTTCCCTTCCTTGAGCGTCTCGGTGGACCCGGTCTTCTTGACTATCTTCTGGACGACGGGGACCTTGGCAACCTCATCCTGCTTCTCCTCGATCTTGGTCGCAATGCGCTGTAGGTCCTCCAGCCATGCAGGGATGTTGTCGCGGAGGAAGGTGAAGCACTTCTCAGAGTCGGACATGGTACGATATGGACGTTGCGGTATTTACGGCAGTGCGCGCGAGGGGGATCGACGTTGCGGGTACGCCCTCGGCTGCAGAGCAAAGGCTCGCGTGAGGTAAGGACAGGAGATGGCGGATGTGGCGGACGAGAGACGGGGTTATGGGTGGACTTGGTCAAGTCAATGGCGAGTGGTACGGCCGACAGCGCCTGGGAGGAGAAGGGAAGAGGAGAGAATGCGGGCGAACGACCTGGGGCCCTTCAGAGACGACGAAGGATAATAGTGGAGAGGCAGGGATTCGATGCACGGGCGGTCGTCGTCGCGATTTGCTCGACCGGGGTAGGGCGGGAGCGGCAGCAGTTTCGGTCGGCGGCGGACGGGGTTGGTGCCCTTGCGGCGATGGCAGCGAGCGGGCAAGAGGGCGTGCATACGACATCTGTCGGCGCAGGAGCAGTACAAGTAACGGAGCGGAGGCGGGAGGTTCGCCTTCGCAGCCGGGCCGTCCCTGGGCTTTGGGACGAAGCCCACCACAAGTCACGCATGCGAAGCTCTCGCCTCGCATTCGCTTAAACCAAAGGCTGTTCTCGCTGCAGACACGCAATTTACCGCTACGCCGCCCGGCCACGCCGCCAGTTCAACTTCCACCCCGCCGTCAGCAGTCCAGGAAAGCCCGGCGGCCGGCTGCAGCTAGGTATCGTACTCCAGGGAACACCTTGCTTTACCACGTTGCGCTCAACACCACATCTGCACGAAGCCACCGCGCGTGGGATGGCCAGGCCGCGGCGCAGCCGACTTGCGACCGGAGAAGCTTCGCACCCCCAGGGGCTCCCACGTATCGTCTAGCAGCTCTGAGTCGCATGCTAGACGCCGCGTCGACGCCGCAGCCGTTGGCCCCGCCGCGCCGCCGGTGGTCCCAATTCCTTAGTCACAACGGCGGCCGGCAATCAGCAGCGTCGCGGGATGGCTGCGAGATCGCCCCGGCCTTAGCCGCGTGAGCGCCCGCCGCGCTTGTCTCGATCCCCTCCCGTGCCGCAGCCAACTCCACCGCGGCCAGGCACCAGCTCCATTGGAGGAGAATTTCGCAGCGCGTCGAACCATTGGCTCGAGCAACCCGCCGGCCCGTGAACCTGCACGCTCGACCGTTGCAACGAGGCTGCATGTGTTGCTGAGTTGTCCTACGCTCGGCGGCCCGTAAGAGACAGGCGTGCCAGCCCAATGGGAGCGACCCCATGTCCTTAACGGCGCTTAGGTGAGCGGTGTGGCCAGCCAGAACCGGTGGGACAGAATACCCCAATTCAGCGCGCGACGACGACTTGCAGCACATCACGCGCTCCGCGCGTGAAGACATTGGACCGGGTTTCGACACTGCAGCAGCAACATGCCGCCGCGCATGTGCTGTGGAGTCGCACAATCACGCCTGCCCCGTCACCATCCGAGCTTGTTGCTAAGCCAGCCCTTTTTTCCTAAAATGTCCAATGCACTCGATCAGAGTTTGCCCCTGTGGTCAGCACGCGTCGATGTGATGACGTGCAGCTTTCTTGATTGCTCCTGTCGTCAGCGCCTCAGAAGGTTGTACGGAATGCACTCCTCTCCCTAACAAGCCCATTCATCTCTATGGCCACAGCTCCTGCATCTTCCATTCGCCCGTGCTCTCTTGATATGTATACAAGTAGCGTCTAGCCTTCTCTGGATCGCTCAGATCCGTCTGTTCCACCTCTTGCGGCCTGATCACAACCACTCTGAAATGCTTGCGTGCCACGGGGTCATGCAAGTCCTCGACTTTGGTCCCCAGCTTCAGGTTTTCCTTGTCATACGGCTCGGTGACCGGCCTCCCCGGAGGCGGTGCGCGGAAGCTACCTGGAAAATGCGAGGGCGGTCAGCCAGAGGTCGTGCAACGCCGCGAGCATCGTGACACAAGCATCCCCGGTGTGTGGCATGCTCGCGTCTCTTTGCTCGTACAGGGACCGAGGCAGCTGGGTGTTCTGGAAAGCGCCTAGTCGCCTTGCATGTCTGCTCTCCAAACCTGGGGTTCCACCTAATAATATCTGCCTCACGAGCATCTCCTGACCGAGCCATGTCCAATGGCTGCCACAGTCGCTTCGTATCCGACGAAAATGAAGTGCAAAGGAAGACACCATCGAACGAAAAAACGACGTACCTCTCAAGGCAGGGGAAGTATTGCCAAAGTGCCCGGTGACCTCCTTCGCCCAGCTCCAGTCCGCTTCGCTCCCGGGCTTGACGACCCTCATTCTCTTGCCAACCTCGCTCTTGACGGTGCGCACGCCTGAGCTCTCCTCGCCGCCTCCTTCAATGTCTGGCCCGATTATGAATGCGTCGCCTTTGATCCTCCACTGCGTCATCGCAGGCGACACCCAGTAGACGGCCTCGACAGGGCCGCCTCCGCCGCTGCCCTGCCATTGCTCCTCGCTGCTCGCATGGCCGGGGCTCGAGCCGAAGATCTGGGGCACCTTGAGCATGCGAATGTCCGTCGTGAACGTCGGCAGGTCGCTCTCGTAGACGCGCTCGTTCATGGGCGCGGGGTTGTGCTTGTTCTCTGGCAGCTCCGCCCAGAAGCCGCGGAAGATGCAGTACCGCGCGCGGGGGAGATACGGAACCGCAGAGCCCTCAGGGGCCTTCTGAACCGTGGAAAGGACGAATTCGGGTGAGTCGAGCTTGGATAGGTGCGATAGAAAGGTGCTCTTCCAGGGCGCGGGGCCCTTCTCTGCGCTGGCGGACGTGGACGACATGGCGCGCAGAAATTGCGCAAGGCGAGGTTGCGCACGCAAGAACGCTATTGTGGCGGTGATTTAGTAGGGTATCTTCTCGTGCAGCGAGTGTTGGAGCGATTGGGTGCATATATAGTCTTGTCGTGGTGGGCTGATAGCTTTCAATGACGCGGCGACTTTGGAGCTCTAGCTACGTGGGGCACGAGTAATGACGTAGAAGAAGCGCCGTCTTCAATCAGAACCCATGATAATTCGACATCACTGAAGTCTTGAGCACGATTACACAAGAAAGTATGGAGCTCTCTATGTGAGAGGTATCATTGTTCACCAACTACGTACTTAAGGTCTTGCTTCTGTCTCCAAGGACTCTATGCGACAGAAACATCTGCTATTCTAGGATGCATCACCCGTCTACTGTTGTGGGCATCTAGTTGAATGTTTTGAATGTTTTTGATAATTAATGCAAATCTTACTTTTCTAACCCTTGCGCACAACCTTGATGCCGCTATCTCCCCCACCTGGAGCACCTTGCTTGCTGAGCGCCTCCATCTCCTCAATGTCCATGTCCTCGAAAGATTTACTTCCTGGCGCGGGTGGCTCAGACTTCCCACCCTCAGCTGTCCTCACGCTTCTCGGTCCAGGTGGGGGTCCGCCTGCTTCAGTCTCTGCTTCCTTTTTCCAAGCTTCTCTTTCCATCTCGTCGAACTCGTCTCTCCTGTCGAGCCAGCGCTCCTGCACATCCCGCGGCTCAAGCATAGTTTCTCCTTCGCGCATGGCAATTTGCCAGACAGTCTCGTTGACCCCCTCGTTGCTGCCAAAAGCGTATCCGCCAGCGCGGTCGATGGCGCGCAAGAGCGTCAACATAGACTGCTTGTCCTCAACAGCCAACGTATGGAATGATAACAGGCCGAAGTTCTCAATCATCTCGCAAATAGCTGCGTTCAAAGCTGAAAACTTCGACTTTGGCCTCCGAGAGTCCTCATCGTCAATGTTGTTGAAGTCCACTTCCTCTTCCTCTCCCTTATCCATCGGAGGCTGGGCTCCTCTGCTACCGAACCGGGAACCCTGCTCAGCTTCCAGATGTGGGAGTAGATAGTCCAGTGCTTGGACTTCCGTGTAGAAATCGAGGTTGAACGGTAAATCTGGGTAGTTGCGAAGATTGTCGATTTTAGTGAGGACGTTGATGTGGGGAAGATCCATCTGTAGCATTCCGCGGAGAGCAACGAGGAGCGCTGATATGTATAGCGAAGGTTGGGAAATCACGAATGAGTCGCTCAGCTGCACTACTACGAGCTGTTCCAGCGGACCGTCAGCTGCTATCAACGAAGACCATCGGGGAAGGATTGCGGACTCTGTACCCGAGTTTTTCTAACCTCAAGAAGATATGGCGCAGTGAGGAGTGGTGCGTGAAGAGCTCAACTTGTCCGGGGCAATCGAAAAGTATGTAATCCTCTGTGGTACCTGCGGTCAGTAAAAGCGCGGCGCTCCGCGGAGGAGCCACGCACCTCCGAGCTCCTTCAAGCCTGCCTCGAGCCAGTCCAGGTTGTGCTCCAGTTCCTCCAGCGCATACAGAACGCCTCCGTTGGGGCCAAGTTCTTCTGCTTCCATGATCTCCTCCAAGGTCACAAGATCGCGCACGTCAAGGGCAACGGGGTATGAGGTGTGATCGTTGGCGGGGTCGAGATTGACGACGGAGCACTTGCGGCCGATGGCGGACATGAACTGGTGCATTCCATTGCAGTAAGTGGACTTTCCCGCACCGGGCGACCCTATTACCAGTTGTGCGAAAGGCATTTTGGGCGATGTTGCAGGAGTTATTCGGGTTGCGACAAAAAAAGTGAAGCTCGAAGGCGCTGGAAAGACGCGCCAGCGCCGATCATGACGAACTGGCGCGGCAGGCGGGGCCCAGAAGTCGTTGCCGCCGTCCGTTCTGCCACCGCCTTGCCTTCGTCAACACCAAACAACAGCTTCTTTTACCTTGCACCTTCTTCCTTCACCACAGCCAACCGCTCCAGGATTCAAAATGAGCTCCAGTAAGCTCCTGATTCTGCCGTCTCGTCAAGCGCTGACCATTTAACAGACCAGTTCGAGCTCGCGCACCCCCCGACTGACGCAATCTCGTCCCTCACATTCGCGCCTGGCATCCCCACTCGCCTACTCGTCTCGTCATGGGATAAGCACGTGTACATTTACGACACGCACTCGACACCTGGTGGCGAACTGCTACGGAAAGTTGAGCACCGCGCGCCTGTGCTAGATGTATGCTTTGGCAAGGATGAGAACGAGGCTTTCAGCGCCGGGCTGGACTGGGACGTGAAGAGGTGCGAATACCACCTGACAAGACAGAGTCGCGCGAGACTGATCAATGCGCAACATTTAGGATCGATTTGCAGACGGGAGAAAGCTCCGTGCTCAGCTCTCATGAGGCTGGGGTCAAGTCCGTCGTTTACAGCCGCGAGCATGCCCTGCTAATATCGGCGTCCTGGGACGCGACGCTACACGTTCACTTCCCCTCTGACACCACGCAACCGCCGACGACGATCCAGCTCCCAAGCAAGCCCTTTTCACTATCAATCACTGCGACCAAGCTCGTCGTCGCTATGGCGTCGCGCGCAGTGCACATCTACGACCTCAAGGCCCTCCAGATGCTCTGCTCCGAGAACACCGACCCAGCAAACGTCCTCTCGCCCGAGCCGTGGCAGCGACGCGAGTCGTCACTGAAGTTCATGACACGCGCCGTTGTATGCATGCCCGACGACGCCGGCTACGCCAGCAGTAGCATTGAGGGTCGTGTCGCCGTCGAATGGTTCGACCCCAGCCCCGAAAGCCAGGCACGCAAGTACGCCTTCAAGTGCCACCGGCAGAACATTGACGGCGTTGACACTGTTTACCCTGTCAATGCCCTCGCATACCACCCACACTTCGGTACATTTGCGTCTGGCGGTGGTGACGGTGTCGTGGCGCTGTGGGACGGCATTGCGAAGAGGAGGATAAGGCAGTACCAACGCTACCCTGCTAGTATTGCTGCTTTGGCCTTCTCGGATGATGGAAAGCACCTTGCTGTGGGTGTGAGTCCGGGTTTTGAGGACGGTCAAGAGGACATGCCGGAGGGACCGGTGAAGCTCTTGGTTAGAGAGCTCGGAGAATCCGAGGCAAAGGGCAAGGGTGCAAAGTAGGGAAAGAATGAGCAGAACAAAGGAGTCTGGAGTCTGGAGTCTGGTCATATGGCCGGCGATAATCTCGCCTATCTCTACTCCGTTGCAAGGAGCCGGTTATCTCAAGCTTGAAATGTCCTTGCAACAAGCACATTCGAGAAAGCCACGAGGGTGGATCTATTCATAATCACTCAGGGCCATGACACCAACATGGCGAAAATGGTTAACCCGAATTCTCGCAAATCGTTGCGAAAGAAAAGGCTCGGGCAGAAGAAGCTCGCAATGGCAAGTATATCAATCCTGTCGTACTTGCCAAGCAATAACGATTTCTGTGGTCATTAGCAGAGAGAGATCATAGATTGAGTAAAAAAACACGTTCGAACAGTTCATGATAACCTTAAGCGCAATGTTCGACATGGATTAAATATGTTGATGATGGTCTCTATGCTGGCAGATTTTATATGTGTGATGTTCACCTCTGCATTTCGTTGCCTTAACAGGGTCATTATTTTTGTTTGCACTCTGTCGTATAACAACCGCAGTGCTTAGAAGCGCGAATCTACCTACTTTTTGCGACGGGAAGAGTGCCGTGTGGTGGCTTCCGAATTTGGCGGGCGGCGGCGTACACGGAAGGCGCGCGCGCGCCTTCTTCTTTCTTGCGTCTCTCACTTGGCTGCCTGGCCATCTTCCTTACACCGCATTCTTTTCCTTTTGTGCTCAATCTTTCACTGAAATTCTCACACCAACGGCATTCGCTCGCTCTTCGTTTCTTCATTCGTGAACGCGCGGCAGCCTCTCACCCATGGGGTCAAGTCGAAAGAATAGGGTGCCTGCATCAACGGCCCCAGCCTCGATGTCTCGTCCTTCTCACTCACGCGAGTCGTCGGTAAGGCCTCATGCAATGCTTTCTGCTATGACCCCGTGATTGATTCGGAATTTCACGGCAGACACAGAAGCAAAAACGACCGCGGATCATGAGCGGATTGCATCCATCACAGGATGTTATCGGCGGAATGACTCTTCCGTGGGAAACTTCAACGCCGGTCACGACTGAGACGCCGCCCTCATCCAGGTACACCACAAGGGGGGCCGTAAATGGCTTCCAGCGAGGGATTTACGACATCAAATATCACCCAATGGATGAAATCACAAGGCCGACGGCCTCAGCCAAACGAGAGCAAAGACTCAGGGCGCAAACCATAGAGAGTGAAGACGAGCCTATCGTGCTATCGAGCGGTAGCGGCTCGGATGTGGAAGATGCAGATGCCGACGAAGAAGAGGGCCCAAGTAAGTTTACTTAATGTACGTGCACAAATGCTTCTAACGCTACGTAGTTGTTCCTTCTCGGAGAATCACATCAACCCAGCGAAGCAAGCGGACACGGCGTTCAGGTGCCGCCAAGCGACCACTTTACAATACGAAGAAACACCCCGTCGATGATCTCTTGAGTGATAATATCACAGTAAATCCTCTACGGCCTACCAAGAAGCGCATCACTCGCATGTCCTCCGGTACCGTCCATGCAGATACGCCTCAAGTAGTTACACCAGAACCAGCAACAGCGGGTGGAAGGACTATTGCCTCGATGACTGACAACCGTGTACCCCCTCCCCAATTTCCCGAGGAGTCTCCATCCTCGATGCAGGAGACCATTCAGCGTGCAATGGCGGTGGTCAAGGAAGCAAGCCTACTTATACCGCTCTTTCCGGCAATAGAAGCGCGCCTGCAGAGATCCCGGTCACCGATACAGGTCTACGAGGATCGCGGCGTTGTCCACCGTACCAAGTCTAATTCCGCAGTGCTACATCTAGGCGATTTCGAGAATGAAAATATCCGAAACGTCTCGCCTGCCAGCGATGCTGTCGATAGAGCTCTCGATGACATTGCGATGGGAGTTCATTCTTCTAGCGGCGATCTGCACGGTCATGATGATGAAGAGACCGGGTATGGCCTGGTGTCAAGGCAACCAAGCGAAGACATCGACCAACCTCGACATGAAAGCTCAAGTCATCACATGCCCCCTCCACGTCCACTATCACTTCCACTGGCTTCCTCCTCCGCTGGCCAGCGTTCACGAGGGCTCTTACAACATTCTTCTCAGCAGCTCTTGACATACTCGCAGATTCAGAGACTTCAGGAGCCGCCGTCAACAGGGAATGCCCCTCATCAGTCGCAGCTCGAGAATGACGTTCCATGTTCTAAAACTTTTGCGAGCTCTCGAACTGTTTTAGCCAACGGCAACGACAATGGTCCCCAGGAGCAGACAATTGAGGATAAAGACATGAATGACTTGATCGACGAGTTTCTTGAGAGTTCACAAAGTGATACTCAGAGTCCCCAGGTTACCATCCCATCTTCTGGCGGAGATATGCCCCAAGAGCGGACGATCATAGATACTCACCTGACGGTCTCCCAGTCAGAGGCTCAGAGAAGCCCACGACTTGGCACCCAGATTCCTGAAACTTTCGAATCTTCTGACGATGCCACTTCAGAAGTAGGATTACAGCACTCCCAAGAGCTCTGATCAAAGCCTCGTTTGCGCTTGACGTCCGGGAAACGGAGCTTCCGCCTCTCGTCCAGATGCGATGACTCAAGTCTCTTCATCATGTTGCTACTACACCAACTCGCTCTTCGAATGGTACACTGTACGTCGCTTCTTGTGCTTCACCAAAGTTTCGTACTTTCTATGCCTCTCAGTGTACGGATAGCGCAGTGCAGCCGCCTCTTTTTTTTTTTTTCTGTTTGCTGACATATTTATGTGCGTCCTTTATCGTGCTTGTTTGATCTTTCGCGAACATTAACATCAATTAGTCTTTGTAGCTAGAAGGTAGATGACAATGGGCACAGATTGCTGCGTACAATCGGTGGTGTGCCTCTATTGCGGTCCAATGCTGATTTTGTAAAATACGAAGAGAACTTTGGAGGCCATGCGAAGGAGTGGCTCGGGCCACGCGTTGAATAATTCCTCGTGACAACCTAATATCTTGTAGACGACGACATCATAATTATTCTTGTCAAGAAGACAGGATAGCTCAGGGCCTGGCCAGGGCGAGACACCATTTCAATAAAGCCTGTGCTTAACACGGTTTTTGAGAGCAAGCGCTCCCGTGTGGAGGACAAAGAGCCAGTGAAGGATTTGCATAGAAAATATGAGGGACATGTTGAACGAAAAGTGATTCAGTGGCTGTTTTCATGAGCGGCGCTCCATAGGAAGTCAGAAGGAATTGCTTCATCGGGAGAAAGATACCTTAATACTCCACTTTCTACTCCTCAGGCGCGGAGTTTGGATCCACTCTCGACTCCCGATGATGCAACTTTTGTTGTGGAACCCCGAGAATACGAATATCTTAGAAATTCAGAGCATCAAAGTGATGAGTCTAGGCAGATTTAGACGTCCACGGACATTAAGCTCTTCAACGAGCAAGTGCGGTCTGATAGAGATCGGGTGCATCGCTTGAGTCTCATCAACCAGTTCCAAGAAGTGGAGACTCTAGAAGCGATGCTTAAGCTTCTTTCTTTCCCTGCAAGGCCGCCTGTGATCCTATCCGGTTCCATGGTTCCTTCCCGCACAGCGATATTACCAAACTCGGCAGCATTTGCCTTCGCGCTCTCCACTCGACGCGTCCAGATCAACCACATGCGGTCAGATCACGTTGGATAGGCGAGCTGCCTCTCCATATCACTCGCCCAGATCAGGTTTAGCGTCGTTGCCCCGGCAGGTGATCCAGGTGATCGAGGTGATCCAGAACCACTTCGAAACTTATAAATACCGGCCTCCTCCCATCTCCTTGCCTTCTTTCTTCTTTAGCTCTCTCTTTGCCTTTTGGCTTGGATCGAGTTTGTAGAAAGGCGAACTGGAGGCGCATGCGACGCAACGATCCACGCCGTGAGGTTTCTCAAAGCAAACTTGAAAGAGTTACACTGAGTTTTATCCCTCGGGTGAGCGATGAGGAAATGTTTCCGAGCTCCCTTCGTTGAACGACTGGACTTGCTCCGGTCTTCGAGGAAGAAAAAGTTGAAGAGCTGCTTTGGATCATATATCGGAGTTTAAAGGCGACAATACGAGCAACAGCTGTTCCCGCCAGAGGGAGCCCGAGAATTCCATGACCAACGGGAAAAGTTGCACCAGGAGAGAATGGGATTGCTCACAGAGCTCCACGATGAAGCCATTGGAGGGCACATGAATGATTCTCGCGTACGGATTGACCCTCCGCCGCAATATGCGGCCATTCCGGACGATGTCAATCTCTCCGGTAGAACATCCCCTCTGGGAAGCACTTTGGCGCCCGCCAATACCACTCTGGCTACTCGAGAGCAGTAATTGAAGCAACTTACGGACAATTTATACACCGCCGAGCTGCGTAGTCGGAAGGACAATCATCGAAGGGTGAAAGCTGAGGACCAAGTCACATCTGTTCAACGTGAAAATGAAAGCTGAAGCGTGACAGCATGGATCTGCGGTACGAAAATGAAATATTGCAGAATTATGATGCGGCGTTGGGGGGATCATTCACGGAGTAGGACTGCAGCCGCCAACCCAATCCGTGTTAAACTTACAGCTCATTTCCCTCCTCTTACGGCTCAACCCAGGTAGAGGACCCTCCACTTGCCTTCACCGCCCATTAGCATCCCGAAAACGCAGCCAGGGCAACGTCTGGAGCGTCATTTGCGGAGCCCTCTTGAGCCGCAGGTGCTCTTGCAGAAAAGGCGGAACGCTGATCGTCAGAGACACATGAGAAACCACACAAATAGATACCGCATCGGATGCGGCGGACAAGAGTCGAAGATTGCGGAAATGATTTTAGGTTTCGGGTTGGAGGCTTCAAAGGAAATGCACGTAACCCCGCCTCCTCCCGGGCGGCAAACAGGAGATTGGTGGCCTCACTTCCCCGCACACAAAAAAGGAAGGCAGAACGACGTACCACAACCGTTGCACACTCATTAAACGCAGCGATCAAAATGCGCTGTTTCACCCACGTCTAGACTTTTGAAACCCATCCAGTCCGCCATGCATTATCGACTCCTCTTACTCTTATGGATTACACAGCGCGTAGTAACTCAAGCAAATGACGATTTCGACGTGCTCGATTTCATCGACCCACTCATCGGCTCTAATAATGGCGGTAACGTGTTTTGCGGCGCCACACTACCTTATGGAATGGTTAGTCTCTCTTTATCCTCCTCTTGGCCCCTCTGCTGAACAACCACCAGGCAAAAGCATCCGCCGACGTCGACGGGCAGAATACTGGCGGCTTCTCCACAGACGGAAGCAACGTCATTGGGTTTTCAAGCCTTCATGACTCGGGCACCGGGGGCAATCCTTCGCTGGGGAACTTCCCTCTGTTTCCACAGCTGTGCCCGGAAAACGACATCGACAATTGCCTCTTCTCCAAGCAGGCTCGGGCCACGCCCTACGTCAACGACTCGGTGGTCGCCCGGCCGGGATACTTTGCGCTGACCCTGCAGAATGGTATCTACGCCGAGATGACCGTCTCAAAGCATACCGCGCTTTACAATTTCAGATTTCCCGATGCGAGCACGAGCGATGGTGACCAAGTTGTTCCGATGATCTTGCTGGATCTTACGGATCTGTGGGACAGTCGCCAGAACGCAACGTTTGAGGTCCAGGACTCGCGAATGACGGGCAATGGCACCTTTCTGCCGAGCTTTGGAGCCGGGTCGTATGAAGTGCATTTTTGTGTGGATTTCTTCGGCCATGTGGATTCCGTGTACGACAGCGGCGTCTGGGTCAATGAAAGAGGCGGCGTCGATCAACAGAGCATATTTGTCACGCGGGGCTTCAACAACTTCTACCTGCAGGCAGGCGGATTCGCGCGGTTCCAGCCTGGAGCAAACAGGACAATCACCGCCAGGATGGGCGTGAGCTTCGTCAGCGTGGAAAAGGCGTGCGCGAATGCACAGGCGGAAATCCCGCGACCTCTTTCGGATTTCAACAGTACCAGGAAGACGGTGGAGGATGCTTGGAGGGAGAAGTTGAGTCCACTTACGTTGGAAGTTGGGGACGTTAGCCGTGATCTTCAGACGAATTTTTGGAGCTCGCTCTACCGGACGATGATATCCCCACAGGACTACACAGGCGAAAATCCCCGGTGGGACTCCTCGGTCTACTACGATTCCTTCTACTGCTTGTGGGACCAGTTCCGCTCTCAGCTGCCAATGCTGACCATTTTGGATCCAGTGACGTACTCGGATATGCTGAAGAGCCTTCTGTTTACTTTCCAAAATGAGGGATGGCTTCCTGACTGCCGAATGTCGCTGAGCAAGGGTTGGACGCAGGGGGGGTCAAATGCAGACGTGGTGCTTGTGGACGCGTATTTCAAGAACGTCACTGGCATCGATTGGGACACAGCGTGGGAAGCAGTCGTGAACGACGCCGAAAACGAGCCATTGGAATGGTCGAAGGAAGGGAGAGGCGGACTAGTATCCTGGAAGAAGCTAGGCTACATCCCAGCTCTCGACTTTGATTATCTCGGTTTTGGGACGAACTCGAGAAGCATCTCCCGTACCCTGGAGTACTCTTACAACGACTTCTGCATCGGTGCATTCGGAAGGTCCTCTGGGAAGGAGGGATACGAAACTTACTTGGCTCGGGGCAACAACTGGAAGAACCTGTTCAAGGAAGACCAAACGTCGGTAATCAACGGGACGGACCCAGGCTTCGTTGGTTTCTTCCAGCCAAAGTACTTGAACGCGACATGGGGCTTTCAAGATCCCATTTCATGCAGTCCTATTGCTGGGTTTTGCTCGCTGACTACAAACCCATCGGAGACGTTTGAATCCAGTATTTGGCAATATCAATTGTGGGTTGCGAATCATGTTACCGGGAAAGGGTTACTAACATCTCGTCCAGTTTTGTGCCGCACGATATCGAGACACTGATATCAAAATTTGGTGGCGACCAACGCTTCGTGGACCGACTCGACTACTTTCATGAGTCCCCGCTCGTGGATATTGGCAACGAGCCTGTGTTTTTGAGCGTGTTCCAGTATCATTACGCCGGAAGACCTGGGCTTTCATCGAGGCGCTCACATTACTACATACCTTCCCGCTTCAACACCTCATACAGCGGTCTGCCTGGGAATGATGACGTGAGTTCTGAACCGCGTGGGTTTGCTTGTGTTGCTGACATGGTCTTCAGAGTGGTGCCATGGGCTCGTTTGCGGCCTTCAACATGATGGGGCTGTTCCCCAATCCCGGACAGAATGTCTACCTGATCATTCCACCCTACTTTCCCAGCGTGCAGGTGCGGCACCCGTTGACGAATCGTACCGCGACAATCCGGACGGAGAATTTCGACTCGGCGTACGTAAACGTCTTCATCCAGAACGCGACGCTGAACGGAGAGCCGTACACCAAGAATTGGATTGGGCACGACTTCTTTACGCAGGGCGGCGAACTGGCGCTGACGTTAGGAAGCGAGGAGAGTAGCTGGGGGAGGGCTGTGGAGGATCGCCCGCCGTCCGAGACTGGGGGAGATCAAAGTGCGGAGGCCACGTGGGAAGTTTAGCGGTTTCCGCATCCGTCGTGTCTACTAGACGGGAGGCCTGGTTGTTGTTGTCAACGTGATCCTGGTCCACGAAATTAATCGGGACCCTTCCAATTCGTGACGGCCCAGAGCGGTAACCCGCCCGATTGCTTGATAAGGCACAATAAGGAAAGTCTGATGTGTTGATTACGCACAGATGATTAGTGAACGGAGCCGGATAGCTGCCGTGGCACCGTGCTGGTCTGGCCTTGGGTTGTGCCGAGGGTGACAGGCAGCCGGTAGACAGCCGGTGGGTTTGCGACGAACAGCCGTACGTGCTGCGTTGAGTTACGGGTGTGTTGCCCCAAAGAGATGCAGAGTCGATGTTCTTGGTTGGCGCCGGCCGCGGGGCAACTACAACTCCACCCAACTGCCCCTCAGCATCAGCTGTTTGCTCCACAGCAGTTTGCGCCCCGTTGCCCGAGTCATGGTCTCAGGAAAGCCGTCGAATTTCCGTTCGACCATAACGCAAGGATGCCGGCCTAGGTACCCCACAGACGATAGTTACGTCACGACCATCCGATGATTAATGCGGCCATAGCTCCCAATTTTCAACCCCATCACGTCCATAGCTTTCTACGATAAATTGCCCGCCTGCCCCGCTTCCGTTTGATTCATTTTTTCAGACCAAGATACCCCACCAGTCGCACACACCATGTCCAGCGTTCCCGCAACCCAGAAGGAGTGGCGCGTCCAGGGCCAGAATGGCAACGACTCGCTCATCCTCAATGAGCAGGCGCCCGTTCCCAAGCTCGGCGACAAGGATGTCCTTGTAAAGTGTGAGTTCTACCCCCTTCTTCAAAGCCCACAGCCAATTGACCAGCAATCCCGCAGTCCACGCCGCCTCGCTCAACTACCGCGACCTCATCATCCCGCGGGGCATGTACCCCTTCGCCCTCAAGGATGGCGTCGTCCCGGCCTCTGACGGCGCCGGCGAGGTCGTTGCCGTGGGCCCGCGCGTGACGCGCTTCAAGCAGGGCGACAAGGTCGCCACGCTCTTCAACCAGGCCCACATTGCCGGCTCGCTCGACAACGTCTCGGTTGGCACGGGCGTCGGCGGCGTCGTCGACGGCTGCCTGCGCCAGTACGGCGCCTTCGACCAGGAGGGCTTGGTCCACGTCCCCAAGAACCTCAACTGGCTGGAGGCCTCGACCTTGAGCTGCGCCGCCCTGACTGCTTGGAACGGCCTGTACGGTCTCGAGGGCAGGGCTCTGAAGCCGGGCGACTGGGTCATCACTCAGGGCACCGGCGGTGTGTCCATGTTTGCGCTGCAGGTACGTTTTGCATGCCGGGAACACCGTTGTGCCTCCTCCTCTTGAAAGCTGACAATCTCTCCCACAGTTCGCCAAATCCGCCGGCGCCAAGGTCATCGCGACGACGTCGAGCAAGGAGAAGGCCGACAAGCTCAAGAAGCTGGGCGCCGACCACGTCATCAACTACAAGGAGGTCGCCAACTGGGGCGAGCAGGCCAAGCAGCTGACGGGCGGCCGCGGCGTCGACTTCGTCATCGAGGTCGGCGGACCAAAGACCATGGCCCAGTCCCTCAAGTCGATCCGCATCGACGGCATCATCGCCATCATCGGCTTCGTCGGCGGCCAGCAGCAGGAGCAGCCCACCTTCCTCGACTGCCTCAGCAACCTCTGCACCGTCCGCGGCCTCCTCGTCGGCTCCCGCGCCCAGTTCGACGACATGAACCGCGCCATCGAGGCCAACGACATCCACCCCATCGTCGACGACCAGGTCTTCTCGCTCGAGCAGACCAAGGAAGCTTACCAGTACATGTGGGACCAGAAGCACTTTGGCAAGCTTACCATCAAGATCGCATAAGCTTGATAATGATCAAATGTATATTAACGCTGTGGTTTTGAATGCAAAAATTGATATCAATGAGAACGAACGGGAAGCGTGGATCTAGTCGTGTTGCTGTTTGGTCTGATACCACAAAAACAGATAACAAAAACAGGGGCGCTGTAGGTTACATTTCCGGTTTCGAGGTTAGAGTTGTTGTCATTAGTCGCTATAGGGCGAGCTATCAGTGTGTAAGTCCCCCTCTTACCCATCCTAACTCCTATGCCCGCTTCTAAATGCCCACACTATGATTGCTACCAACACCATAGAGGAACAAAAAAAAACAAAAACAAAACACCACCGGTGACGAGGTGAAGAAATGAATATAGGGCAAGCTCATCACCTTGCTTCTGCAAACATGCCTGCCAAAACGGCTGCGCCAATAACTCCCCCATCCTTCGCCTCGCCGAGAACGACCCTCTTGGACGAATTCTTCCGCGAACCTGCAGCAAGCAACGTATCTATCCACTTCTCGCAGTCCTCCAAGTAGCCGGGATACTGCAAGATCACGCCGCCGGTATGGGCGACGATCAGCTGCTCCTCAGCCTCACCCGTCGTCGGCGCGCCAGGAGAAGAAGAAGAAGCGGCGTTTGCATCTGCTTCCGTGTCCTCAGCGTCGTCGTCGCCGTCCAGATAAACCTCGCCAACGCGCGCCAGCAGCCCCACGATCATAGCCGCCACGAGCGCCGCCGAGCGGACCTGCACTGCGGCGGCCGCCGCACGGAGGAGCCCCATGCGCTCCTTGGTCCACGCGAAGCTGCCGCCGCTGGCCGAGCGCGGGGGATACAGCTCCTCCAAGCTCCTCTTCAGCTCCGCGTCGTCGGCGAGCGCGACGACCGTGGCCAGGAACTTTGTGGACAGGGAGTTGCGGCGCATGAGGGTCGGGGGCAGGTCGTCCTTGGTGCCGCAGCCGCACTGCTCGGGAAGTAGTTGAACTAGGACGAGGCGGACGAGCTCGCCCAGGTAGCGGCCCGCCGTCATGTACTCGACGGGCTGGAAGCCGGGGGCGTCGCACGCGCGGTCGAGCTCGGCGTCCCAGATGGTCGGGACCTGGAGTTGCTTTAGGGGGATATCGGTGCCGCAGACGGACCACTCCGTGTTGACGACTATCTTCGCGTCTTGCGGAGAGGTCTCCGTCGGGAGATCTAGAAATTGCGTCTTGAAGGAGCCGAGGCTGTCGACGGTCATGGGGACGGTTGCGTTGGTGCCGGTGCCGACGACGAGGCCCATGACGACGCGGCTGTTGCTGGAGACTTTGATCGAGTAGGCGAGGGAGGCGTAGGTGGCGACCGTGTCGTTGGTGATGGCGGCGATGCGGAGCTTGGGTAATGTGGGAGTTGCTTTTTGCGGGGAAATGAAGCCGTTGGCGCAGTGGCGCGCATATCCGGCGAGGAGCATTTTGCCCAGGTTGAGGTCTGATGTGATGGCGAAGCCCTTGCCCATGGGCATGAGCGTGGCTTGGGATATTGCATCTTGCCTTGGTAGAAGGAAGCTGGTCAGCAACGTGATCACTCGCAAAGAAGGCAGCGAAGATGGGCTCAAGCTCATGTAACAGCAACAAAAGCACGACCAAGGGCTGAGAAGACGCACTTCATAGGAAAAGAAAAGGTTATGCCCAGGGGGATCGCGTCAAGATCCTTGATGCGCAGGGTTGCATCGTCGAGAGCTTCTCGGACGACAGCAGCTATGCAGTCACCGATCCAAATAAACAAATCATCAGCCTGGTCCATTTTCAAGTGCTCTTCAATCGGCCAGGCGCGCTCATGGCAGCGGTGAATTTTGGCTGGTCTGTCCGGGACATGATGGCGTGATGTTGAATTGGAGTCATCGTTCTGCTCGCCCGCCTCGCCCAACAGCTTCACGAAGCCAACGCGCAGGTTAGTGCCGCCGACATCGATGGCCAGGAAGGTGCCAGTTTCGCGGCCAGTAGGCAGGGCAGTCACTGGAGTTGCGAGGAAGTGTTGGGTCGACTGCTGGGCCAGGTCTCTGTACGTGTCGGAAAAGCCACGGGCCAGCTGCAAGAGGTCGCGGGTGTTGATGTGGCGGGTAAGCGGCTGCAGCACGGCAGCACAATCAAGGGCCATCGCTGTTCAGGACGGCTGCTCTGGTCTGGCGCGGTATGTGGAGGGGGAGTGTGTATGGGGGAATTAAGATAACGGGGTATAGGGAGCCATATCTGCCGGCAATAAGATTGCTGAAAGCAGCTGGTAGCCTTGCGCCTCGGGCAGGGTTCCGAGCTGTGGCGGGCGGACGGAGTCGAGGGTACGCCAGGCTGAAAGCGGCCCGGATCGTGGGCGTAGGGCGGTTGAGCCGATGCAACAGTCCCGATGCTTGCGCCCAGCTGGGATAGTGGAAGCTTCCGTGATGCCTGCACCTGCTGCCCTGGACCCTGAGTGCTGGTGCCTTCCGTGCAACGTCAGTCCCGCCCGAGCTCTGATCTCCGCCTCTAGCTCCCCACGCCCAACCCGCTCCGCATCTCTGCACCTCCCATCCCCCACCTGCGCCATGGACGAGAAACATCCGCTGCCGCTTGCTCGTCCCTCCGAGCCCCGCCAACCCGAGCCCTCGCGTCCGCGTCGTGCTCTGTTGGCCGTCTTTGTGCGCGTCGCCGTCATAGCTCTGCTTGCTTTGTTGGTCCTATTCTTCCCGACTGGCATCCAGAGTCGCCCCATGATTGCCTGGGACGAAGATGCCATCCCTCAGACAGCCTTGACCGACGTCAAGAAGGTGCCCCTGGAGGCTCACATCATGTATGGTCCTACTGTTCCGCTCCCCCCGCGCTCAAAACGCCACCACAACCTTGTCTAACGCTATCTTCCGATCCTAGGTCGAAATGCCCCGATGCCCTCGACTGCCTGCAGCTGCTTGTATTGCCTACCATGGTCGAGATTTCGGATCGCATCAACTTCACGCTCTCGTACATTGGCAAGCCCACCGACCATGACGACGGCGTTGAGTGCAAGCACGGCGAGAGTGAATGCTTAGGAAACATGATTGAGCTGTGTGCAGCGTCGGCTTATCCTGACCCGAAGATCTATCTTGGCTTTACGTACTGCCTTACTCGGCAGTACCAGAAGATCCCCCAGCGCCACATGATAGAGGACTGTGCGATGGAGCATGGCATCGATTTTGCCAGGATCAACGACTGCTTGACCCAGGATGATGGTGGCTTCGCGGCCGACCTGCTGCAGGCCAGCTTCGTGAGGAGCTCTGAAGCCAATGTCACCAAGAGCTGCACGGTGAGTGAACCTGACAACATCCTGGAAGAAATCCCACTAATGATTGGCAAAGATCCGGCTGGACGAGAAAGTCCGCTGCATTCGAGACAATGGCGAATGGACGGACTGCCCTGCTGGCTCTGACCGCGATTCGCTCATGCGGGATATCAACGATCTGTACGACCAGCTCAACGGCGTGTAGATGACCCGAAAAGCGATGCGGAAATGCGAAGAAGCTAGCTTGTCTTGAAAGCCAATGTTTCTCAGGTCTGCTGACCTCTCAGCACCGAGGATCTTGCTGGAACGGTAGGTATTTTTATCCTCTCGACACCCTTACGCCGGACAAAAAGTTGGACAGACTGCGGATTTGACGACCCTAGCCAAGAATGAATGCATGTACGAGTCAACGAGGCGATGTAACCTTTCACCAATGGAGTAAATTCTGTATCATGAATGTCTACGACGCCATTTTAGGCGTGAGGAGAGGACTGCTGAACGCTTGACAAACGCCGTGACGCATGCAGGTTTCCATTTGTTTAGTGAAGCCAAGAAAAAAAAAATTAGGGTCAGATACGCTCACTGGAGCGCAGTTCCGGATCCATTGTTGAACTTTGGTTGAATCTGGAACATTCACCTCACGCATACATCTTTTTCTAGATATGCCCGCCTCACTGGAACTCTCCAAACTCTCCGTCGTCGAAGCCCAACTCCTGCGGACTTGGCTGCTTCTCTGCGGGCGGCATTGCCCCCTGAGGTGGCAACGGCCGACTCCTCCGCCTTTCTGCTTTGACCGACGATGCACTGGGTGGCGGAGGCAGAAATGGCACCGGTCCACCACCGCCGCCGCTCGCGGGCGGAGGCTTGATGGAGAACAAGGCGGCCTGCGCGTCTTTGTTCTCCTCGCCGGGCGGGCTCCCGCTGCTATTCCTGTTCCGCCTGCCCCTCCCGCCGATGTTGACGGTGATGGTCTCGCCCTCCTTGAGGCTGAAGTCCTTCTTCTCCTCGGCGGCGGACTTGGACGAGGGTCGCGCGGAGCCGGAGGAGGAGCCGTTGCTGTTGCCACCCTTGGGCTCGAAGCCGAGCACCTTGCGCGCGTCCTGCAGCGAGATGTTGAAGTCCATGGCCTCGCTGCGCTCCTCGAAGCCGATGCCCAGCGTCGCCTTCATGCCCTGGTTGCGGAACTGCACGGCGAAGAAGCGGCTGCTGTCGATGGCCTGCTCGACGACGGCCGGCGACGTGTAGGGCGCGGCGGCGAAGAGCTCGCCGGTGGCCGGGTCCTCGACGAGCAGGTCCACCTTGACGTCCTCGCTCGGCTGCTCGGGCGTTGTTGTTGTTGTCGAGGCGGACTTGGGGACGGCCGTCTCGAGCAGGCGCATGCGGCCGGTGAAGATCTTCTTGCTGCGCTTCTCGTCGGTCCATTCGGCGGCCGAGTAGCCCTTGTTCGAGGAGAGCGGCGGGATCTGGTAGATGTGCACGTTGGTGGCAATGAAGAGCACGCGCTGGATGGCGTCGGGCGGCAGCTTCTGGCCGGTCGTCGGGTCGATGGTCTCCATGGTGGGTGAGGGCGGGGGGGAGGTGAGGCGGGCGGGGTTACGAGCGGTGAAGGATTTGGAGGAGGAGTGGGCGGAAAGTTTAAAGGGAGGGTTGGCTTTCGTGGGGGAGAGGTTCGCGGCTGGGTGGGATCGGGCCGGGTGCGGAGGGTCAATGGCTTGGTGGGTAGGACGTTGGGCACTGATGTTTCTCGCGGTGTCGAGTGCCCCTGGTGGTCTGGTGAAATAAAGTCCGGTAAACCCCCGCCGCGCGCCGCGGGGGAAATTGAGGGGCACTGGGCTGGTGGTTCAGCAGATCGATCGCCGAGCAGCGAAACACGGCCTATAAACGCGAGGGTTGCAAGGCGAGCCTCTGGCTTCCAGAAGCAAGCGGGAGGGGTGGTGAGAGCATGATGGGCGGGCGGTAGTGATGCGTTGTCAAAGTCGCTGCAGCCATCCAGACACCAAGCGCAGCCCGAGATCGACCTTGCAGAGCGAAGCGCTCCACTCGGCGGCCAAGCACAGCGCCGCATCATGTGATCTTGCGACCGGTTCATGCCCCTCTATTTCTAGCCATGTCTATCAATAATACCAGCCCACCACCAGGGTGCGGCTGCTTATCAACCGCAGCCATTGCGGCCCGACCCTCGTCTACTTGGCGTGTCCGTTGACACCCGCCTGCCCGCTCTTGTACTGCTCGTAACCCTCCTTCGCCGCCTGCTGGACGGAGGTCTTGCCCTCACTGGGAGCTCTGCGTCAGCGCCGGTGCGTGAGACGGGGTCAGATGATACATACACTATCTCCTTGACCTTGGCCAGGATGTCCTTCCAGTCGCCGAATACGGTGAAGGGGATATCCTCGCGCACGCAGTATTGGATCAGGTCGTGACCCTTTTTGGCGAACAGCAAATCAGTCTCCCTCGCTGCCGAGAGGTCACTGACGCCGTCGCCCGCGTAGAACATGGTCGGACGCTGGCCCTCGGGCAGCTGTGCGTAGGGGCGGAGCGTAAGCGACTTGTCGTGGCCGAATCCGCTGCGCAACCGTCAGAACCGCTGTTTGCTTTTTCCCTCTAGCCGCCTACCTGTCGTCGTGGAAGACAATCTCCCAACCACCCTCCTCGTTGATGCTGCTCTTGCCAGCGCGCGGCCTCACGTCGTTGGCCACGACCTGCATCTTGACGAACTCCGGGCCGACCAGGTGCTCGAGCAGCGCCTTGATGATGGGCTGCATGCCCGACGAGAGCACGACGATGGGCACGTTGTTCTCCAGCGACCACTTGAAGAACTCGTTGAAGCCGGGATCCAGCTTGATGTTCTCAACCAGGTACTTGATGCACTGATCGTACGGCTTGTTGATGCTGTCCATCATCTCCTTGAACGAGTCGCGGAACGTCTTGACGCCGTTGAGCGTGTCCATGTTGCCCTGGCGTCTGAGCGGCTGGCCGAAGCCGATCGTGTCCGTCTTCAAAATGGTTAGAATCCGCTACACGGGGCAAATTCAGACACGAACCATGAAGTCATTGCCTGTCGAGCTTCAGTATTCATTGTTCCGGCGTTTCCGTCTTGCAGGCAGACAGAGCAGTACAGCTACTCTGCGAGCATCACGGCCAGGGCACACGCAGGCGGGAACGAGGCAGGATCCCGCAAATCGATGGACACCACGTGAAGGGCGCTGTATCTCCAGGCCAGAACCAATGCTTCGCGCGTGTTTGTATTCGCGAGGAAGCTCAACTCCACATGTAGAACTGTACTGCTCTCTCCGTGTGCCCAAGAGCGCCTCTAAAAGGGCAAATAGAAATGTTCGAGGCTGGCAAATACGGCGATCTTCATGCTTTCGAGATCGAGAAAGTACCCGACGGTCCCGCCTCGCAAGACAAGAGGCATCGATCGGGGAAGAGCATGGCCCCGGTACTAGCCAGCCTCGAGCGCGAAGACAGGAAAGGGAGATATTTAGAACTTACTGTCCTGAAGGGTGATGGTGCCGTCGAAATCGGTGAAGAAGACGAACTTGGGGTTGGACTTCAGCGCCGAGAGATCAGGAGCGCCAGACATGATGTGGAGTGAGAATTAATGGAACAAAAGGAAGCAAATTGGACGGTCTATCGCGGGAGAAGACAAGTCTATGGTGAGAAGAGGTCTACGGGGGAGAGGAGGAAGATGACAAGAAGCCAAGTCAACAAAAATCGCAATTTGCGACCTGCCGCCGCAGCCAGCCCCGCGGTCGCAGCGGGGATCATGATTGCGCGTGAGCCGTCGCCGCGCCGCCGCTTGGCTCCCGGACGCCAGCCCTCACCGCCTCCGCCCGCGGCCTGTCGTCCGCCGGCCAGTTGTGCTGCCACCGATCCAAATCCATCGGCATCAACTCCATTCCCACGGCCACCCGCCCTCCTTAGAGATGCGCCCGGCGCTGCAGCACGCCGCCCGCTCGCTCTCCGACTATGCTGCGCTAACTTTCGCCCAAGCCCGGCCCACCGCCGTCTCCAAGCAGTCGTCCGTGTGCTTCCAATGCAAGTTGCGCGCCTTCTCCGCCGCCCCGCTCCCCCCGAGCAAGAGGACGCCGCCGCCATCTGTGCGTGCAGCCATACGTCAATGGTCTTCCACTGCACGCCTGTCTCAGGAGAAGCCCTCCTCCGGTCTCCACGATCCTCAATCGCCAGCCGTTGAGGATGCCGCAAAGCGCACCTCCGACCTGTCGTCCCAGCAGCCCCCCGAACTACCTCCGTCCCCAGATGCATCAGCACCCGCACCCTCGAATGAAACAACGCCTCCGCCTTCACGAGAGCCGGAATCTCCACATGCCTCCTCATCTCCGTCTCCAGAACCCGAGCGGGTCGAGCAGGTTCCAGACGAAAAACTACCGTCTCACCGTCAAGGTCTACGATGGGAGGTCTACAAGCGGGCCACTGCCTACTTCGATGAGCTGCTACCGAAGCTCATCCTTGTTGGGCAGAAGGTAAATAGCTACACCGGAACAGACTTCTCTGGCATCGAGGCTCTCCGCCAGGAGATCAAGCAACAAGGTGAGATGCAGCCGATTACTTGAGAAATGCGTGCTAATGACTACGCAGAACGACTCGTCCGATCCCGCCGTGCTCAAGTCGAAGATGCGAAACGCGAGCTCGAGGCCGCCCAGTCACAACAACAGGCATCACAAAAGGAAGTTGTCGGCCTGCTGGAACGGAAGCACTCCTGGTCTGCCGCTGATCTCGAACGGTACATGTCTCTGATCCGCTCTGAACATCTCAACGAACAAGCCGTCCGAAGCGCCAAGGATGCCGTGGTATCCGCTGATCGGGCTCTCGAGGAGGCCCGCGCTCATCTGGAGAAGCGTGAGCGCGCCCAGTACCACGAGGAGCAGATCTGGAGCGACACCATCCGCCGGAACAGCACTTGGGTTACCATTGGTCTGATGGGAGTTAACATTCTGCTACTTCTGAGCCAGCTTGTTGCTATCGAGCCCTGGCGGAGGAGGAGACTTGTCAGAGAGATCAAGAATGCACTGGATGAGAGGACCATGACAGCCGCAGTTCCAGCAGCCGGCATTGGGGCTGCTGCGGTCCCGATCGTCCCCGAAAAGGCCACGGAAATCGCTGAAGCCGCCGAGGTCCGCTCGGCCGACGCTGTTCAGAAAGAGATCGATGACGTCGTTGAGCCGGCTGGCGTACCGCTTGAGCGTGTCGAGTCTGCAGATGCCCCTGAGACAGTCACGGCTGACCTGTCTGGTCCGGAACCCACTATACCCCTCCCAGCGCCCGAACCTACTCCGGTCTTTGAGGAAAAGCCTGTTCCGAAGGAAAGGCCTGTGCCGATGAGGAGACCTGTTCCGATGACTGCACAAGAGAAGTTAGTCTTCTTTATTGAGGACTGCAATCTCTACCTTCAAGACCTCTTTAGCGAACGATCCATCTCTGTTCGCAAGGTTGACGTTACCACTGCAGCGCTTCAGGGTGCTGTCGCTGGAGCTGCGTTTATGGGAGTCCTTGTGCTGGCCTTCCTGAAACCCAGTGGCGGCAATTAAAGGGAAGCCACAGTAGATGTATGTACTGTACAACATGTAAAAAATCATGAGTATGAATGATTATGGACCATAGAAACAATTTCAGATGACAAAGTCGATTGTAATAATAGTACTGACTTAGACTACACCTGCGAACCGGGATGAGCGCACCATTCACACATCATGTCCGCAACTCTGACGTTCATCTATTTGCTCTCTGAATTACTTAAGGCATCGCCACGAAGAGCGCCGTCAAATGTAAGTACTGCTAGAGGTATTCAATTTCAAGGAAATCTATTAACAAGTGCTTGTCTTTCAGTGAACATGACGCCCCTGAGAGGTCACACATATTTCACTCCAAAGTGGTATCATGATCCCCCAGCTCTCCCAACAATTCCTCTTCCAGTCGGCTAAGCCTCCTTCGCCTCCTTGCCGTCCTCGCTCTGCTTCTGGCTGCTGGAACCACTCACGGCGGCGGGGGCAGGCTGGCCGTGGGCAATCTGGACGTGCTCGAGCAGGGTCCAATCCCCAATCTGCTCGTCGAAGAACTGGTCGATGTCGAGGCCGATCATCTCGGCCTCCTCGCTGACGCGCAGGTGCATGCCGGGGATGAACTTGAGGATGTAGAGCAGGATGCAGGAGACGACGAACGAGTAAGCCGAAATGGCGCAGATCTCGGCGAGCTGGCGGCCGACCTGGACGCCCTCGCCGTCCATGGCGCCGGCGGCCTCTGTGCCGAGGCCGTCGAGCGAGGCGACCCAGGTCTGGGCGAAGATGCCGGTGAGGAAGGAGCCGATCATGCCGCCGATGCCGTGCAGCTTGAAGACGTCCATGCCCTCGTCGATGTGCAGCCAGCGGTCGACGTTCTGCACCGCCGAGCAGGCGGCGCCGGTGAGGAAGCCGATGACGGCGGCGATCCAGAGCGAGACGAAGCCCGCCGCGGGCGTGATGCCGACCAGGCCGGCGATGGCGCCAGAGCACGCGCCCACGACGGAGAACTTGCCTTTGTGCTTGACGTAGTCGACCATCACCCAGCCCAGCACGCCGAAGCATGCGGCGGTGTTGGTGTTGAAGCAGACGTACATGGAGCGCACCGACGCGTTGAGCGCCGACCCGCCGTTGAAGCCAAACCATCCGAACCAGATGAGCACGGTGCCTGGAAAAGAAGAATGTCAGTTGCCGGGAATTGAAGGGACAGTGTAGGAGTACTCACCCAGGAAGACGAGCGTGGTGTTGTGCGGCTTGCCGTGCGAGGCCTCGCCGGCGTGCTTCCTCTTGCCCAGCACGAAGGCGTAGGCCAGGGCGGACCAGCCCGAGGCGATGTGGACGGGGCCGCCGCCGGCGAAGTCGAGCGAGGGCAGGTTGTACAGCCAGCCGTTGGCGTTCCAGGTCCAGCAGGCGATGGGGCAGTAGACGACGGTGGCCCACAGGAACGAGAAGATGAGCGAGGGGACGATGCGGCCGCGCTCGAAGGCGCCGCCGATGACGATCTGCACGGTGCACGCGCAGAAGAGCAGCTGGTACAGGCAGAAGACGATCTCGGGCAGCAGCGCCGACCCGGGCGACGGCGCCACCTGCACGTTCATCAGGCCGAAGTTCTTGAGGTCGCCGATGAAGGGGCCCGCCGTGCGGCTGTACGCCAGCGAGTAGCCCCAGAACATCCACTGGAACGTCGTCACGCCCATGACCATGAACGACTGGAAGAGCAGCGACAGCGACGACTTGCGCCGCGCGAGGCCGCCGTAGAGCAGACCGATGCCCGGGATGATCATGAAGACGAGACAGGCGCAGACCATCAGCCAGACGTAGTGGAACTCCAGGCCCGTGTAGATGGCGTTGACATTGACCAGGGTAGGGTCGCCGCCCTTGGGATCCGACGGGTCATACTCGGGCTGGGCACCTTGTGAGCAGTTGGAGCCATTGAGGTAGAGCAGGACTTACGGTTGGTGGTATCTCCGCCATGGTGTGCAGCAGGGTTGTGGCAGCTGATTTGAATGGCACTTCACTGGACTAGAGCCCCCGGGACTGGTACGGATTCGGAAATCGAGGAGGAAAAGCAGACTAAAAGCACGAGGGAGCGTAAGGATAGATATAAGCGTCCGCGAAAGCAAGTCTGAGTCAAGGGGCCACAGCTTCAGACCGGCAATGGGGGAATTGGACCCCCATATTGACGCCTCTTCTCCGCGTCCAGCTCACAGTCCCACGGCTTCTTCTCGCCTTCAATACGGCTTGGCACTGATAAGAGACAGCCGGCGCACGAGCAACATCCCCGGAATAAGCCAAGCGGACAAGACATAGGCAAGCGATCTTGGCGGGCGGAGAGGATTTGAGGGATTCGAGTGGGTTCTCTTCTGGCTTGTTCCGTTCAAGATAGCGACTGCACCCGCGTTGCCGGGTCCCCTGGCGATGATAGGGCGCACTTTGAGCCTCGAGAACACCCACCATCAGTCAGTGATTTCAGTAACATGACGACGCACGGCTGTTTCGGCAGCACGTTAAGATTAGAGAGGGATCAGCCCGCTCTGATGAGATTGGGTGCGAGGGCAGCGGAAACGTTGGCAGGGGACAGAGCTGCGGGCGCGCCGAGAGGCCGGTTGGTGGATTGCACTTCTCCGGACTTTTAGACCGGTTGCGGCATAGACTGAGCTGTCGGCACATGGGATCGAGCATGGGGAATTATTTGATTCGCGGCGGCTCACGGCTATTGATAGTAGGAACGAGTCGCGGCTGATAAGGGAAGGCAGCTATAGATAGATAACGTTGGGGCCAGCACATGCGGCGTGGAACATCCACCAGCTGGCGCTCTCGGCGAGCGCGGCGGCGAGACGAGAGCGGAAGAGGGATTCTGCATGGGAGACATGGTGGCTGGGCCGTGGTGAAGATGGACGAGACCGGCCGGCCGGAGGGCGTTGAGCTTATCGCACGAACACCATGCTAGGCGGGAGTCGAGCGTCGCCAGCCGAGACGTGGCTGAAGACAAAGGTAGATTGCCTGTGCCTGCAGAATCCGCTCCCCCATGTCATCCCCAGGATCGGGTTCTGATAAGCCCGCGGCCGCTGAGGTAATGTCATGCTCAAAGCGCATCAAACATGGGTGCTGTGTGGCGTTTGAGGCTTACTGCGACCTCCACCATCTATGCCCCATCACTGCATTGGCCATCGGCATTCGGTGTTGGACCGTTTGCATCCCACCTTCACTCAAACTGTTGATGCCTAATATCCGAGTCGAGACCTCGGAAAGACAAGTCCACCACCAACCGGCCACCTGCCTGCTCTGGCGACTTCACGGGAGTGCAATCTCCGGAGTCATCGTGGGACTGAAGATTGCAAATGAGTTTCATAAGTGCATTCCGAAGCTTATCATAAAACGACACATGTACAGTACATACGCAACTGCTCACAGTAGAAATTCAGATCTCCCGTAACAACCTCCACCGCGTCCAGGAGTGAATGACAACAAAACAGCCAAACACCCAAGCAACGCCACCAACGCCTTGCATGAAAGAGAGACGCAACTACAGAAGAACTTGAACGCCTAGTAGTGCCGCAGACCCTTCCTACAGTCTGCTCTCCAGCGCAGCCCACCCCTTCTCGCCGGGCCACCTCGCCTCCGGCCACACGTGCCGCATCGCTTCCCAGATGTGCGAAACGTGCTCGATGCGAAGGCCATTCTTGACTTCGTCAGGCAGATCCTTGGCGTCTTTGCGGTTAGCCTCTGGCAGAAGAACCACCTCGACGCCTGCGCGCAACGCTCCGATCAACTTTTCCTTGATGCCGCCCACCGGCAGCACCCGCCCGCGCAGCGAGACCTCGCCCGTCATTGCCAGTCGCGGAGACACCGGCTTGCCCGAGAAGAGGGAAATAAGAGCAATCGTGTGAGCAAGGCCAGCCGAGGGGCCGTCCTTGGGAATAGCACCCGACGGACAATGGACGTGGATGCTACGCTCCTTCATGATATCCATGTCCGGACTGGCCGAGAGACCGAGCTCGTATGCGTGCGCCTTCACCCACGTGAGCGCCACTTCAACCGACTCTTTGAGCACGTCGCCGAGCTTGCCGGTAAGTTGGACGCGACCAGTGCCAGGCATGTCCGCAATCTCGATGAACAAGATGCTTCCTTGGCCGCCAGTGCTGTAAGCCACAAGGCCGGTTACGACACCAGGCCTAGAATGCCTCTCGGCAAGCTCCTCGCTGAAAGTTTCGACGCCCAAAATCTTCTCCAGGTCCTCCACGTTCACCTCTGGTTGATAGAGCTGCAGGCTGTGGGCATCGATGGCCTCAGCATACTCGACCGCTTTGTACCGGCAAACGCTTCCCAACTCGCGTTCCAAATTCCTGACACCCGATTCTCGGGTGTAGGAAGTGATGATCTTGTCAATAACCTCTTCGGGCAACAGGACCTTGTCTGAGGCAAGCCCGTTGGTCGTTATTTGCTTGGGGAGCAAGTGCCGTGTGGCAATGTGCCTCTTCTCCAGAGTCGTGTAACCAGAGAGCTGAATAGTCTCCATTCTGTCGAGAAGGGGAGGCGGGATTGTGTCGAGAGTGTTTGCTGTTGCGATGAAGAGAATCTTGCTCAAGTCGATAGGGATGTTGATGTAATGGTCGGTGAAGGTGTGGTTCTGCTCCGGGTCCAAGACTTCGAGCATCGCTGCCGATGGGTCGCCATTGTGATTTGACATGCCAATTTTGTCGATCTCGTCAAGCAGGAAGACTGGGTTAGCAACGCCAACCTTCTTCAGCCCCTGCACAATCAGACCAGGCATCGCGGCTACGTAGGTTCTTCTGTGGCCACGGATTTCGGCCTCATCACGCACACCACCGAGGGAGATCCGGTGGAACTTGCGGCCAAGGGCCGTTGCCACAGACTTGGCCAAGCTGGTCTTACCCGTGCCAGGAGGACCAACAAGGAGAAGAATCGGTGACTTGTCGACCATGCGCTTCTTCTCCAACAGACGAAGCTCGGCCTCGCTTGGGTCTTTCGGGGTTGTCTTCACCAAGGAGGTCTCTCTTGCCTCATCTGCAGCTGCCTCCTTCTCCTCGTGTTCCTCCTTCGAGTCCTTTGCGCTGTCCTTGAGAGCCGACTCAGACAACATCTTGATCTGAGCCTCGATGTCGGCGTTAACAGATTGCTTGAGCTTGAGAACAGCAAGGTATTCCAGCAGACGCTTCTTGATCTTTTCCAAGCCATGGTGATCGTCGTCGAGTTGCTTTCTTGCCCTTGCGAGAGTCTGTGCATCCAGCTGATCTTCGGTCAACTTGGACCAAGGAATGTCGGCAAGATTCTCCAGGTAATTCCTGCAGACCTGATATTCGGCCTGAGCGGGGTTCATCTTCTGTAGCCTCTGCATCTCGCGTTGCGCGACCTTTTGTGCCTCAGGGCTCATCTTGGCCTCCTCTAATCTCTTCTTCAGCTCATCCAGCTCGTTGCCTTCCTCCTGGCCGCCGGCTCCAGCATTGCCACCGGGGAAGCCGGGAAACCCGGGGAAGCCGCTCATGCTGCTAAGGTTATTGGGCATCCTTAACCGTGCCTTGTTCCATCTCTCGATCTTTTCCGCGTCGATGCCGGTCGAGGGTTTGGCGGGATTGGCGGTCAGCATCCGGCTGCTTCCTTGGATGGCCTGGATTTGCTTCTGCAAGATCTCGATGACTCGTTGAACACGATCCTTGACAGAAACGGCAGACAGAACGCGCAGTTTCTCCTCGTGGGTGCACTCTATGGCGTTGGCAGCCATGACATCGGCCAGCAGGCCGGCCTCGGAGACGTCCTTCTTTGCAATGAACAGCTCCAGCCGCCGTGCCATCAACGGTGTTATTGTCATGTTCATCCGAGGCAAGATGGATGATAGGCGGACGAGAGCCAGGTACTCGCGTGACAGCTGCTTGAGCTCGGAGAAGAGGTTGAGCATGGTGGAGTCGGTGGGATTGACGACTGCAAACCGGACATTGTCAGCACTGCACTCTGCAAGCGTCACGCGTGGACTTACATTCATCCTCCAGATGAACCAATTCGGCCTCAAAGTAGGGTCGCTCCTGAATGACATTCTGGACCTTGAAACGGCTGATGCCCTCGACCAGCAGGCTCAGCTCTCCCTGGCCGCGGCCCTGCACACCCGACACCTTGGCCACAGTGCCGAAGGAGAACAGGTCGTCTTTTGTGGCGTGAACGGGGTCTTTGGCGTCGGGCTTCGCGGCCTTCTTCTTGGCAGCGGCATCGGCGTCGATGAGGCGCTGGCCGTCGCGCGAAAGAAGGGGCGAGTTCAGCGGCACGCAGCCTATCGTGACGGGGGCATCGGTCTTGGGGCTTGCGGCGCGGCTGTAGATGTGTGCGAGAAGAGAGGCGACATCGGCGCGGTTCACAATGGGAAGATTGAGGGTCACGCCGGGGAACAGGGCGGACGGCGCGGCCAGCGGAACAATGGGCAGGACTTTCGACTTGGGGGTCGCCATCAATGAAGCGTGTGTTGCGGTTCGGAGGAGCGTTGAGGCACAGCGGCGAGAGCGGAGGTGGGGGAATATACTGGAAGCTCGCGAGCTCAGCTATCGTCCGGACCCTGAAGAGGCCGAGGTAATCACAGCGAGCCGCTTTACTTCCCACGTCACCACTTCACGTGTTCCACCCCGGCGCGCCCCTTTCCATACCGCCTCCGCAGTGCTGATCTAGAAGGCTCCACGTCATCCGATGTCGCGCTGCGGCGACTTGTTGGACTCTTCAGACGCGCTAAGCCGCGAACGCTCCGCCTCCACACTGCCGCCCCACTCCCGATAACACGCAGATCACACGCTGACGTGCTTTGGTGCTCAAATTGCTACTACATGGATATTCGATACTCTACCTGTCCCCACATCACACTCCCGAAACGCCTTGCTCCGCCCATGGTGATACAAATACATAACTAGCAAATGACAAATGAGAACAAATTCCAAAAATGTTGCCGTCAAAACCCTTCGGTCCGCCTCCTCTTCTTCTTTGGCCGCCCTCCGTGGGTCCCTCTCTCCACCTGCGTCGATGGTGCCGGTTGAGAAGACTGCCCCATATGGCTCGGCGGCCCGCGAACAGGTGAGCTTATCGGTGCTCTAGGCGGTTGCGACACTACCGTCAATCGCGGTGTCTGCGACACAGACTGCTGTGACTGTTGGAACAGCTCTGTCTCTCGCCGTTGCTTCCGCGCCCGTCTCTCTTCTTGCTTGAGTAATTTCTCGCGCTTTTTGGCAGAGAGAGTGGGATCATTCAGAGCACTCCTGCGCCTTCCTCTTCTCGTGAAGTAGTCGTTTTCGTCACGACCTGCCGGATACGCCTCACCAATCCTCCACTGGGCAAGCACCTGCTTCCCGACTGCTGGCAGGTCTGGTATTTGCTTGCTGCCATGGCCCGACGTCACTCCAAATCTACTGAGGCGTTTTGGGATGGATAGATCGGTCAAAGACGGCATGCTCGAAATCAAGGTACCTTCGGAGGCAAGCGAGGGCGTAGCCTCTGGAGTCGGCAGTGCATAGTTCGAACTTTGACTATAGTCCGGCTCGGAGCTCAGGTACCCTGCTGAATAGCTGTCCTCATCCATGAGTTGAGATGCTTCAACTGAGTCTCGCTCCATCTCCGGCTGCTGCACCTCTAGCTTGACACTTGCGAGGCAAGCAAGCACTGACACACGCCTGGCAAGCCTTTCTCGCTCAAGGCGATCTCTTGCTGCCGTATTCGGTGGCATGGTCGACACATGCTTCTGGATGAATTTCTCATACGTCAGCGAGATGGACGGAATGCCATCCTCAAATTCGACGATGGAGGCTCCACCTAAGGGTTTGATGGCCAATGATGGCTCACCATCATCCTGCCCGGAGACAGATCTCGCCAACTCCGAAAAAGATGCAGACGTCTCGTCAACGTCAGCGACATTCAGATCTGAGATCTCCCTGCCAGCAACACGGTACAGTATGTTTGGGCGACATTCCGTGGGATCCATCGAGCCGATGTTCGTGAAGAGCTCGGCCATCATCGCAGAAGAGTCCTCCCGCGTAAGATCATCGATCTTGCTCATGTCGTCAAGCAAATCGTTGAGCTGAGACAACTTTTTCAACCTCCACATCTGGACCTCGTCCACTGAAACCATTGTAGTCTTTCTTCTTCGCAACTCGTAGTTCTTTGATTCATTCTCCAAATCTTCAACGTCATCCGCCTCAGAGGATGAGTCGTCCAAGAAGCGAGACGAACTTTGAGGTCCGGTTTTTCTTGTCCAAGAAGGACTCTCGATTTCCAGGGCAGCTCGTTGCTGCTTTAATGGACCCGATGCCTCATCCGAAACGACTACAAGCATTCGACTTGTCTCCAGAGTTTTTGACAGGAGATGAAAGTTGAAGAATCGGAGCCCACTGTCGCGGTAGTCGCTCCCAGGCCCAGAGGCAATGCCCAGAGGATGACTACCGAATTCGAGAGACTCCATGTGCATTCCACGCAGTGCAGGATGCGAGTGCAGGAATGTTGCGGGATCCGAAGCAGAGACGAGCAAGTCTATATCCTCATGTCGGCGGTACCTGAATACAATGCTGTAAAATAAAGCATGAGATTGTAGAAATACAACGGTGTCTGCAAAATTGAGTGAGCGTGTGTGTAGCAGCTGTCTGATGAGCATTTTTACATACCTTCTTCATCTACAAATGCATGAATCTGCGTTGTCGTATCTTCTTCGTGGACAAAATGTCTCCAGGAGAGTAGAACATCTGCATCCACCCAACCATCACCCTCGTCTGACTCCGTAGGTACCGGCACCTTCACGACCAAAAGGTGCGTGGAGGTCAAGACAAGGATGCGACCTGAGTCGGAAGGATCTCTCCTCACATCCAAGATCCAAGAGGAGGTGCGAGCAAGTCTGAGGCTCGACGGTGACAAGTAAACTAATCGGCCCTGGAAATCTGCAACCTGAACAATTCGCCTGTTGCAAACCAACACGGTGGTTACGTCGTTGGCCCACAGAATGCGGCCCCAGCCATCGTAGTTACCAGGAAGCGTACCCTCTTGAATGTCTGATCTGGTTACAGGCGGTTCGAGACGGCCTTCCGTAGCCTGGACTGAACGATAATGACGCTTTTTCCCACGCCTGCCCTCTATATTGTATACAGCCCAGTGCCCTTCCTGATCCAGCGTTCCGAACTGCCGCTGGTACCAAGGATTGAAAGTAACGTCTGCGTAGCCTGGTTCGAGTGGACCAGAGCTGAGGCATAGCAGAGGGCTTGCTTCCAATCTGGAGGCAGGCAAGGGAAGAGAAGACATAGGGCCGGTTGCGGGAGCTACTGGCTGACGATGATACAATGGCCGAAAAATATGGATGGACCGGGCGGAACGAACGGCCAAAAAAGTGCTGCGATCACCATCTTGGACTGCACTGGTGATCTGTAAGATAGGCGTGCCAGTTCCGGGCCACCAGCCAACGTCTCCATGGCGAAGAGTGGGGACTTTCAACCAGGTACTCTTGTCTTGAGACCAACCATGGCGCTCAACTTGTCGCCGCACTAGACGAAGAGATTCGCCAGCAACACCTCCAGGCGAGGCTACGAAACCGATGGTCCCCTTCCCGCGCTTGTTGTCCACATCGGCAGCTCTTCCACAAGCCAGCAGGTCTCCAGTCAGAGGATCAAATGTAGTGGCAACGGCTTCGATCGCATTCGAGACCTGGGCAAGGCGGCCAAGAAGGGGGGCAGCGACCTGAAACTCGGGGAATAGAGCAAGAAGATGACTCTGCTGGTCGTCCAGCTCAGCGGCCGAGCTCACGCGGCATGTGGTCGTGGAAATAGTGGCGGGGACCTCGATCTGGCGGTGGCCCACGGGGTGGAAGACGCGTCGCACACCAGGAGATCGCTTGAAAACCCAGGTCCTGTTCTCGACGTCGTACACAGGTTGACCAAAGTGACCATAGTGTAGGTCATCGACACCCGGGTCAGTCATTCGGCTTCGGTGGGGGTTCAACGGCGGAGAAGATCATGTCGTCGCAGGCGATGGCGGCGTTTCCGGCGCATTTGATGGGCGTTAATTGCGATCAGTGCTCCGGGGTCATGCTGCAGGCGCGCAGACGCAGCGACGAGGATTGAGAAGCTGGAGCGGCTGCAGGAAAAGAGTCGAAGCAAGCGAGTGATCGCATTCCCGCCGCTAAGGTGACGGGAAATTTTCAGCCCTAAGGCCGCCGGCCGCCCGTCGCCCCGCCAACGTCGTCCGTGCGCGCTGCTGCTGTTCAACACCACGCCGACTAGCGTTTCTTGCGCCCCGCGATTGAATCCCAGCATACACAACCGTTCGCACCTTACTGCGATACCAGCACACGCTTCTCGAACATAGCAACAACCGATTCGATCACTGGCCGACCCTCACCTGGCTGCACCGACAACATGGCTACCGCGGTCTTTGAGCCCTCGCTCTCCACCAGCGCAATGCGCGCCCCTCTCTCGTCTGCCGATGCGCCCTCGATGGCCGACTCCCTTCCGAATGTGCAGTTTGGCTTCGACGACCTGCGTCAGCGAATGGATGCTTTCAAGACACGCTTCGATGAATACATTGTCCAGGGCAGAAAGCGGATGAGGGAGGAGAAGAATCAGTTTTACCTCAACATTGCCGAGATGCAGGGTAGGTCTGCCCTTTGCCAGCTGATATGCAGGAGGCAGTGCTGACACATTTCTTGATAGAGGACCAACGCCACAAGCAGAGAGAAATCGAGATCCTACAGCTCAAGTCGACGACGCATCAGCAGACGCTCGCAAAAGAGGCCCAAGAAACAGCCGAAATGCACAACGCGATCGCCGCTCTCAATTCGCGCAGGGATGAGCAGATTGCCCGTCGCGACGCCCTGAAGGCCCAGATTGCAGAGGTCCAGGGCCAGATCGCCGCCAAGCGCGAAGCTCAAAGAGACCACGCTCGCTACCTCGATTCCCAAGCCCGATTTAATCAGCCAGAGCTTGCCTTCTGGCGGGACTACCTTTGCCTGGAGATGGAGGGTGCCGGTGTGAGCGACCGTTTGAAGTTCACCTTTACACACATCAATGAGCGCGATTGGGAGAAGGAGGGTATCTTCGAACTGGACACAACCTATCGCGAGTACACGGTCTCTTACATGAAGCCCCGTCTTGACCAAGAGGAGGTGAACGAAGCACTGGAGAGGCTGAACCAATCGAGACAACTCGGCGGATTCTTCAGGCGTATGAGGGAGCTGTTCATCGAGGCCTCAAAATGAGGCGATATCACGTAGTCGAGGTTTGCGGGTGTTTTGGTGTACTGGCTTTGGGATACCACTGATCTTGTCATGGCTGGTTTTTCTCTTTCCCTTTTCTTGCTCTTGAATTTTGAGCTATCCTATGAGGAGCTACTTTTGGAAATCCTTGGTAGATATTGTGCTCCTGTTACTTGGTGCTGTAATACTGCGGAGCGTATTCCAACAACCAACCCTTCTCAATTTTCGTGACGTCCCTAATGAACGTCTTGTTCGCGGTCTCCATGATTTCGTGGAATATAACCCAATCGGCTTTGCGATTCTAATGCAACGTGAGATAGTGAATCAACTGAGACATGGGGCGATGCCTTAGACTTACAAACATGAGAGAAGTGGGATGGGCATGCAGGGTCATGCCTCCATCAATCGTCCTGAAGGTCCCATCCGGCTGCATCCTGGCCGCGTGGGCGAAGAATCCAGTGGTTAAGCACCTTCGAATTTGTTCTGCCTTGTCAGGCCCTCCGACGCGAAGGACTGCAGATGACGCCAAGCTTTCCTCGACATTGATCCCAAGCCGCTCAAGGTACCTTCGAAGCTGATTGCGGATGCTAAGTGCCCGCGCCATTGACTTAAAGTTCAAATAATTATCGCGGCACCACTTTGCATCCTTTTTCCCCTTTGTAACAAAAGCGTGGTATACATTGAGAAGGGTCAGATGGTCACCTTCTTCGACGGCAAACTTCCTCCGTGCGCTATCTTGGGCCTTTTTCTGTCCCTCATGGGAAAACCAAACGTTTCCCTGCAAACTCGTCATCGCGGCTATTGATAGCATCTCGCTCAGACAGCCAAATCCCTGAGCTGAGAGAAGGGCTTTAGCCATCATTGGCTCAACTGCTAGTTCCGCCATCCGCGTGCCGAGCGGTTTAGTCAACTTAGCGTAATCGTCCAAAGCGCCCAAGGAATACAGAAGCTCCAACGCTCTAATGATGAGTTCGGCGGGAGGAGGGGTCAGATAGTCAAATCGCGCAATGTTGTCGATTCCAAGGGCCTTCAGCTGCAGGATGATGGGGGCCAAGTTCGAGCGTTGTATTTCCGGCACGGTAGCCTCTGGAAGACTTGCAAACGCTTGTTCCGTGTACAAGCGGTAGCACTTTCCTGGTTTTGTGCGGCCCGCGCGACCTGCGCGCTGGGTCGCAGACGCTTTCGAGACGGGGGTTGCCGTAAGAGTCTCAATGCCAGTGTTGGGATTATACGCCCGTAGCTTCACGTAGCCGCAATCAATAACGTAAACGATTCCTTCGATCGTTACCGAGGCTTCGGCGATGTTTGTTGCCACGATGACCTTGCGGGTATTCTCGGGAGTCGGCTCGAAGACGTACATTTGTTGGTCGGTCGGTAGCCCTGCGTAGAGGGGTAGTGCTTGGATCGAAGGGGCCTTTGGGTTGAGATTCATAGCACGGTCGGCTATCATTTCGAGCGCAGTGTCTATCTCTTCTCGTCCAGTCAAGAAGATCAAGATATCGCCCTCGGGCTCCTGGGTATGAATGTCGAATACAGTTTTGACCGTCCGTTCGACATAGTCCTCGGCAGGCTGCTCCAGATAATGGATGTCCACTGGATACATGCGCCCTTCTAGGCTGATGATCCGCCCAATGCTACCTCCAAGCACACCGGGGTTTTCGCCATCGTCGGGGGATTCGCCAGCAAAGAATTTCAAGAAATCTTCTGCTTGGAGTGTTGCACTGCTGACAATGATGCGTAGCTCTGGACGTTTCTTCCGAATCTTTTTCAAGAGTCCAAGAAGCAGGTCGGAACTCAGGGAGCGCTCGTGAGCCTCGTCAACCATGATCACCGAGTAGCGGGACAGCAGAGGATCAACAAGCGCCTCTCTGAGAAGCATACCGTCGGTGAGAAACTTGATGCGCGTGGCGGCCGAGGTGACATCCTCGAATCTTATCGAGTAACCCACGTCCTGGCCAAGATTACAGCCCATCTCCTCAGCGACTCGTGCGGCAACGGAGGTGGCAGCGACCCTCCGAGGCTGTGTGAAATGTCAGGGAAGCAAAAGACTGGATCCAATTGGAGCTAACTGACCCACCTGCGTGACAGCCATGAGTTTTCCTTCGGCACACCATCCTGCTTGGTCCAAGAACTGCGGTATCTGGGTCGTCTTTCCGCTACCGGTGTGCCCGACGACGATGGTGACCGGAAATGTCTCAACGAGATAAAGAAGAGCTTCGCGGTGGCGCGCAATGGGGAGCAAAGCAGCCGGTTTGTACAGCGAGGGCACGAAATCAGCGTCCTGGTCGGCCATGGGGAAGAGGTTGAGCAGTCGAGCTCCGTGCGCCTGAGGGGCGGGCCGGCGGATCTTCTAGGCCAGAGGGTAAGCGATCCGATTTGGGCGTGTTCTGGACGTTGTGCATCACTGGGAAATCACGGGCCGGGCTGCCGAGGAACAGCCGCAAGGAAGTCGGTTGCGACAGGGGCTGCGTCATTGCGCGGCGCCGGACGAGTTGGGCCCGAGCGGGTAACCATTCATTCCACCTTCCTCCAGGCTCCAGACCATCGCTTCCCACCCACACACTACCGCCGTCTCGCGCACCCATACCTCGAATCCCGCTACGAGCGACACCGCTCACCCTACCGCTCACCACCATGTCCGAGAACTCGCCTGCCGACAAGAGGCCCCGCCCAGTATGTCCACACGAACCCCGCGCGAAATTGATCAATATATAGCAAAGAGATCGGCCCGAGGCTGATCTGTGTAGGAGAGCATCACCACAAAGCCAGACATTGACTTCGCTTCTGACGATGAGGCCCCGACCCCGGCGACTGCTGGTCCTCCCACTATTTCCCCCCAGCCAAAGAAGGTGAGCTTCCAGGAGCCCGCCAACGACGACGAGACTCCTCCGCCGAAGCCACCGCGACCCATGAGCCCCATGGCCCAGGCAGAGGCCACCCTCATCGAGGCCTTTCCAGACACCGATCCCAAGGTCGTCAAGGCCGTGTTGGTCGCCAGTGGCGGGAAGGTAGAGCCGGCCTTCAACGCCCTGTTGAGTACGCATATTGTTCGCATTGAGGGGGTTCAAGCTGACGGGCTTCAGGCATGACCGACCCCAACTTCAAGGAAGAGGAGGTACCCCCACCGCAGCCACCACGCCCCAACCAGCCGCGCAGCCAGCTTGAGCAAGATGAGCTGTACGCGCGCCAGCTGGCCGCTCACTTTTCGAGCTCTGGTAGCAGGGACCACCCGCAGCAGCAACACCGTCGCATGCAGTCGGAAGATGAGCGCGAGCATAGCTTCTTTGACGGTGAGCAATGCGCCGTCCGCCACGCGCACCTGGCATCATACTGACGGCGCCAGACGACTTGCCGGTCATCCAAGAGAACATCAAGAAGGGCTTCCTCGAGACCCAGACCAAGGTCAACCGATGGATAACCGACTTCAAGAAGAAGCTGGATGGTGAGGAGGAAGACGAGGCCCAGCCGGGCTCTAGCCAGGTCCCCCGCCAGAATTTCGGCCCCTCGCAGTCAGACCAGCTGTACGGCATCCGCAGGAGCGCCGAAGGCCGGCACAGCGCAGACCGCGAGCGCTACGACGCAGATCCCCGTGTTCTCGGTGACGACTTCTCAACGCTCGAATTGCGCGATAATGAAGGTACGTGACACATGCAACCACAATCCGGGCTTTACTTGTGAACAATTGAGACCTAACCGACATTCTCCGATAGCAGCCCAGAGGCGTTCTAACCGCCCGTCGGCGAACCCTGACCTGTTCAAATCCACTCCAAAGCCGCCGCAGTCCGGTCCCGTTGACGAAGTCGATGCGCTGTATCGCAACCCTACCCCTCCTCGCCAGCCGTCGCCCGGTGCGAACAAGACCAAGAAGTGGCAGCCCTTGACATCAGTGGCGCCTAATCCCGAGGCGGACGATCACGATCCATTCAGCTTGGGTGACAGCGACGACGAACAAGAGGCGAAGACAAAGGATATCAAGGCTGAGGATACCGAAAGGTTGAAGAAGGCTGCTGCTGCGTCCGAAGCCAAGGATACGAATGATTCGGGCTCGTCTCCTAGACCAGCCGAGAGGAGCGGTAGCGTAGGACAAAAGGATAAAGTTGCCGAGGAGCTGTTGACCGAGAAGAAATAGGCGTCCTATTGAAGGGCCTCGGGTGAGGCATGGGATGGTTGCGGTATTCCGGGGGTATGGCAGGATATTATGGTGAGGCTTTTTATTAGGTTTCTATGGCAATACCATCGCTGGGACCGGTTTGGGACATGACTGATTGCTTACCTGCTGTGAATCATTTTTGTATACAAACGCTACTGATGCGTAGACTGAAGCACGGTTGAATCTTGATCAACTGCGGAGCTGCAAGTTCCTCGGGTTGTGTTGATACCAGAGTCAGCCACTTCTTGAGCTCGCCGTCACTTGCCTTGCGGCTTCAGTTTTCCCCACAATAGCTGGGATTGAGCTCTGAGGCTACGGATGTACTTTCCTTTGATGAATTAGCGCGATTCCCGATCCAGTATCGATGACAACAGAAGCTCAGTAACGGTTGCCAAGAGATATGCACTCAACTCTACATATATAATTACTTATCTCGACTTTGTCTCAGTCCTAATTTCTCGAGTCTTTTTCCAGATTGCACTAGTAGCCGCAATGTCTCCCATCCGCTTTAGTGCCCTCCTCCCCTTGTTCCCATTCCTCACTCTCGCTCGAGAAATCGCCTTTCCCCCACTTTCGGGCTACCAGAATCAACAAGTCCCCGTACAACCGGGGTCTGAATTTGATGCTGCAGGCAACATTAAAAATGACGGGATATCAGGTGCCAAGTTTGCGGGCCTGATGACTTTTGCGAACTTGCCATATGTGCACTGCCTGGCGGCTGACGAAGAAGACGTTGAAAAGTTCGATATTGCTTTTCTGGGAGCGCCATTTGACACGGTAAGTTTTCTTTGAGGCGTGGATTGATTTTAATGATTTTACTGTGGCCTGGGAGTGGTGATAATCGAGATAACTAAAAGTTGGTCCGAGAAGTACTCGGCGGCGCTACATTTGGCCCTCTTGCTGATTTTCTTTTTTTTTAGGGGGTAACAGCTCGACCGGGCGCCCGATATGGGCCAGGAGGCATCCGTGTCGGCTCAAGGAGGATGGTTCCAGAGGAATGGAATATTTACACCGGTGGGTAATCGCTTTTCTTTCCTATGCAGCAACAGTTCGGTCGAGAGCGATGTTCAGAAGGAGGCCGGCCGTGGTACGAGCTTCCGGTACTCGCCGCCATCAGCCTCCCTGAGGCTCGAGCGACATTGGGCGGGCTTATAGTGAGCGCATGCTATCAATGCTGCACGCCTTGCGTGGTACGAGAAACGGCCAATCGTGCGACATTACCACCGGGCCGCCGGTAGCAGACTGCCCAGCGCTAATGCACGACTGGACTATCTGGTTATGTCTTCTACGCAATGGATTCAAATACCTGGAAGGATACGACTGATGCAGCTGCGACGATTTTGTAGGAGAGAATGCCTATCAGAGCTGGGCCAAGATTGTGGACTGTGGGGATGCGCCACTCACTTTTCTGGTATGAAGACGCCCCGTTTGCTACAGATACCCATGGCACTGACGTGTAGGTAGGACAACACGGTAGCCCTCAAGCAGTTAGACAGGACGCACAAGGTACGTATCACCACTTCTACGGATCTCCGGCCCTTAGCGCGTGAGGAATGCCTTCAGAGCCTTTCATTGTCCAGAGCAAGGGTCAAATTGCACAAGCGGAAACGGCGGGCACCAGCGGTGCGGAATGAGTGTGCGGTTGTTCGCAGTCTGCGCTTCGGCTATGACGCTGCGATCTTGTAATGGATCCGGGGAGAAGTGAGGCAAGCGAATCGGAGAAGGCCCATTGTCCTGACTTGAAATTGTGTGAAACAGGTCCTTGCAGGACGTAAGACGAACTCAAGCGACTACACAACGCCTAGAATCATCACGTTGGGTGGCGACCACACCACGACACTGTCGGCACTGAGATCTACTGCAGAGAAATGGGGTCCGGTCAGCGTTATCCATTTCGACAGTCACATTGGTAAGAATTTGGTGATATGTAGCGGGTCTTTCTGCTGATACAATGGCTACAGATACCTGGGACCCTGAAGTTCTTGGTAAGTGCGATCGTGCTTCAAACGTTATACACTAGAGAGCTGACGAATATCAGGTGGGGGTATCTCACACTACGCTGTGCGTATAGTGCTACCCGAAACCCCAGGGTTGGATGGCTGACGTATCAAACGTAGGGAGTCAATCATGGCACATTCCTCCACATAGCACATGAGGAAGGCTTGATCCGCAACACGTCGATTCATGCAGGCATTCGAGCTCCAGTGATGCGGCCGAAAGGAGACATCCGCAACGACATTAGATGTGGGTTCGATATGGTCAAGGCCAGAGAGATAGACCGAATCGGCATCGATGGAGTCATCGAACGCCTGAAGCAGCGTGTCGGAGACAGCAACGTCTACATTTCCGTCGACATTGATGTCCTCGACCCAGCATTTGCGCCGGGTGAGTCAAGGAGGCCTGCGGTATGATTGGTGTTGCTGACATGACGTGCAAGCAACCGGCACAGCCGAACCGGGTGGATGGTCATCCCGTGAGCTGCTAAGCATTCTTGATGGGCTGAGCGGACTGAATGTCATTGGTGCAGACATCGGTAAGCATCAGGCGCGTCTCTAGGAATTGTTACTAACGAGGAGCCAGTGGAGGTGTCGCCGGTGTGGGATAATGCTGGAGAGACGACGGTGCTAGCAGCAGCGCAGGTGGCGGATTCTCTCCTGACATTGATGGTGCAGACGCCGGTCAAATCGAAGGTGGAGGAGCTGCAGTGAGACGGTGTGACGATGGATAGCCTGAGGAGGACTTGAGTGACGAAGATTAGTGCTAGCGTTCGTATGTGAGGCAACAAGAGGCGAGGCGAGGCTAGTGGCCGCAAAGTAGTTGCCGGGTGTGTGGGGACGGACAGGCCTGCCCCACCATCCCCTCTTCGTTAGTGAGATCATCAACAACGTCTGCCACTTTATTCGGCCGTCCCCATCTCCTACCACCTGCCCCTGCAACAGACCACATCCAACCCAGCGCCATGGACCAGAAGCGCGACGAAAACCACGTCGAGGAGCCCAAGCGCTTCGAGCCGAAGAAGCCCGTGCAGCTTGACCCGCCCAAAGACGATCCCATCACTGTTGACTATCTGGCCAAATGCGACGGTGCGATCCATCGTGCAGTCTTCTTTCTTTAGCCTGCATGCGCTGACGTCCGCGTCCAGGAACCAACGAGGGTTACCCCACGCTGGTTGCCATCAAAGTACGCCCGCAACCGCCCCGGTCTTGCTGACCTGGCACTAATAGCTTTACTCTAGGGCACTGTATTTGACGTCTCCAAAAACGAAGCGTACGGCCCAAAGGGCCAGTACAAGGGTGAGTGCCCCTTTTGCCTGCTATGTCTCTTCCCGCCAGCGCGACATCTAAACCCCCACTCCCGCTACGAGTCGTCCCATGTAACCAGCGTTTGAGTCCTGACTGCTTGCCCTTCTTTCAGTTTTTGCTGGCAGGGAGCCCAACCGCGCCCTGGCTCAGTCTTCGCTCAAGATCGAGGACTGCCGCCCAGAGTGGGAGGACTTGTCGGACAAGGAGAAAACGGTCCTCGATGAGTGGTATACCTTTTTCAGCAAGCGCTACAATATCGTGGGCAAGGTGCAGCGCGATGCCAGTGCGACTCTGTAAGTAAACCAGAGAATCAAATGACTTCTATCTGTCCTGTGAGCGCATGTTGCAGCACCAGCCCGTGGGTTGCGACCTGTGTTGAGATGATGAGATGTTGCTTCCCGCGACAGCAATGTGAGAGGCAGGCGAGGCTTACCATTTGTGCGCTGAATCTGAAGAGCAACGGTTACCAAATCCCGCCCCGGAAAGCAGCCGAGTACGACAGTTTTGTTGTTTGGTTCCGCATGCTGTTTCGCGCTGTTGTACTTCATTGCTTTTTGACGGTTGCGCAAGCTCTAGCCTCGGCTCCATACAGATGACCGGCACCCGGGTGCAGGAGTGGCGCTATGCACGCTCGAGGTCTGTTGCAGGTATGCCTCACACGGTCGCACATGGATGTACATGCAGGCATCTTTGTTTGTCCTACATCTGCTCAGGATTGTGATTCCCTCGTCACAGAAGATTTGGGTCAATCATTCTTGCTAACTTCTAGTCAGGCAACTCGCGTCGAAATCATCGTGGAGGCTATGAAGTTGCTTCTCGACTACGCATGCATCGAGAAGAAGGATGTAAAGGAACACTTTCGATTAGCACTATCATGCAAGACAAGCAAAATCAAGTCATATCAGACAAACAAGAAAGAAGCCAAGTCAAAGCGACAAAAAAGCAAAGTCATAATGTCCGTTACGATCCCAAGCCAAATGCAGCAAAACTTGGAGAAAAATCGATATGCAAAAACACCGACCGGAAATGACTGGCAGGCAATCGACAATATTGGAGACATCCACCGTCTTGATTCAGCAACGCTCTTGTCCACCCAGGAAAGCTAATCACGTTCTTGGCCGCCTGTCGTAATACCAAAGAAAGCCTCACCAAATACGATGTTCTTCATAGGATGTCAAGTGTCTTCCACCGTCGCTTTCAACGTCTGCTCACATCATCTGTCCGCCAAAGGCTCGTCCAGATGGCGGCTGGACATGCTGCGGCGAACCGGCTGCCACGCATGTCGGACAGTTCTCGAAAGGCTGCCTCCACTCTCTCTTGATGCTCCAGGCACCGAAGCACTGGTGGTTGGGGTCATTGCGCGCGAAGTGGCAATGCTTGATCAGCCGTCGACCCACGTGGCTGCAGTGGTAGTGGATCGCCTCGTATTGGCACATGGTGGCTGGAGAGATTGAAGAAGCGGTGAGTGCCGTGTATAGTCGTCGAGTGAAATGGTTGGGTGATTGCAATGCGAGTAGAGCCTGTGCTCGTCTTGATTGGTTAGGAAGACAGAAGTAACTGATCTAAGAACGACTGTGTGTCGGTGGCGTCGGCAGTGGCGCATGTCAGACGGGAGCGAAGGCACGGGAACCTGGCGGACTGATGATAATATGGCCATATACGTACGAGGCTTTCAGCGTGTGCTAGCGCTTGTGTGTCTGAGACCGGCTGTCAGCCGGTGTCGAAATGTCAAAGGATAAGAGCGTGAAGCTTGTGCAGCCACGCGTCTGATCAAGGTATAAAAAGACAATCGCGAGATTTTTTTCTGAACAAGATTGAAAGAAGATTGCCACCGTTTGTTTTGGACAGCACCCCTGGTAGTAAGTCGCAGCTCCTTATATACACCAAGGTCCAGACTCTCCTGCCTTTCCTGAGGCGGTCATACAGCGGGCAACCCCGGCCTATCCCCCCACTCCGCGAAATGAAGCAGGTCTTCCGACTGCTCACAAAACTCGGTCCTAGCTTCCATTGATCGAGTAAAGTCATGGTATCGGATACGGCAGAGCGGAGTCAATGTCCCTAGGCTGACAGGGCTGGTCTGGCGCTTCCTCCCGCAGAATCCTTGCAAACGGATTGGTAGGCGCCGTCGAAGACTTCCGTACGCCAAGGTCCATCAGAGAAGTTGCCTGGTTCTCAACCGGTGGGGTAACATTTGATGGCCAGCTCTCATCGCACAAGGGCAAATGGGATTCAGCAACAAGCACAGGTTTAGGATAGTACGGATCGCATAAGGATCGCTTTCGTCTGGGCGCCAGCAGACCGTGATTCCACCTGACGTAACACGATGATGAGGCGAGAAAGATTTTCGGCGCTTGGCTTTGGTCCCTTTGCCGATTCACACGGGTCAGTGCAGCGACGGCCTGAATGAAGCATCGTTTTTAGCGTCGTGCATATGTAGCAATCACTCTTTGATGGATTGTGCATGCGGCACCATGGACCGGGCCGTCCGATCCTTCACCAGCACTTGAGGCCTCAACAAAGCCAGGGATTCTTTCTGATATCATAAAGAGTTATATTCCGCTGTCCGCTGCACGTTGACACAGCAGGCTGGGTACATCCAGGGTCTTAGCGTAGCCTGGGACAAGACCCATTGGTACAAGCCTAACGATGTTGAAGCGGGAAACAAGGGTAATGCAATCAAACGTTACGGCTTCCTCCACGCGAACTCAGGGGGACAGCTTCGTGGCCATACGCAAGACAGTTTTTGGTGAAATTCATCGAAGCATGCTACTTTTGTTCCATCCGCGATATCACATCAACGCCGAATACTGAGGATATTGTGCATCTTACTACAAGATTCAAGACACTTCAGCTTCACCTTTTGACACCCTTGTTGCGCGCACGGCGCATCTGCCGCTTCCTCGCAATGATCCTCGACTGTTTGGCGAGCTTTTCGTCCTTCGCTGCCGATTTTGCGTTCTTCTTCGACGAGCCTTCATCGTCATCTTCATGCCCTCTCTTGCGTTTTCCCGCGCCCTTTGCCCCGTTCTTTTGGCCTTTCCCGCCTTTGCGTCCCTTCTTCGGAGTCTTCTCCTCCTCATCATTGTCCTCAGAGTCGCTGCCGTCCTCAGCCGCCTTCTTAAGAGTCTTCTCGCGCATCTTCGCCTCCATTTCTTTCCGCCTCTGAACCACCTGTGCATTCTCGATGGCAAACTCAACAATCAGACGTTTCTTCCTGTCCTTGATATCCTCGGGCGACACCTTCTTGCTCTTTTGGGTCGTCTCCAATGCCTGGTAATCTATGGCGTGGCAGTTGAGCCATCGGAGACCCATCAAAGCGTGACGGTGAGTGTAGTACTCGATGAAACCATAACCTCTGCTGCGACCAGCGCCGCTGGTCTCGCTAACCTTGGTTCCATCCTTGTTCTCGAACACGATTTTGGCCTGCTTTACCACACCCTTGCCCTTCTTCCTCCTCTCCTTATCAGCCTCGCGCATTTCATCATCGCCACGTCGGAGCTCTTCTTGCGACAAGGGCGAGCGCTTTCCCTCTTTCATGTCCTTGGCGAAGCCGACAATGGCCTGACGGGCAAGCTGCTTGAGGTCCTTGGAGGAAATAGTGCGGGGAATATTGCGGACAGACAAACGAGTCAAACTCATGTGAAGTGAGGGATTGCTCTCGATCAGGTTCTTCCGTTGCTTCACGCTGGCCTCACGGAGCTGGATTTCAGCGGGAGAGAGGAGCTTGTAGAGCGGCGAATTGGACGGGATGGTTCCCTCCGAGAGCAAGTAGAGTTTGCGCTTGTCGTTGTCTCTCTTGTAGCGATGTGCCACGCCTTCTGCCGTGAGCTTCTCGGCTTCATTGCGCTCCACCGCCTTCGTGATGTTCAAGACGCGACCGTCCATGGTGTATTGTCCGGTCGGGTCGGCTTCGGTGTTTTGCAGCACCGAGTGGGCAGCAATAGGAGCAGACTTGTCCTTGAGGTTCTGCGGGTTGTGCTGCTTTGGTGCGTTTTTCAAGCAAGTAATGGCATCATCTTCTTTGAAGAAGCAGACGAATCCAGTGCCTTTCGGCTTTTCCGTGACACGATCGATGACAACCCTGGCATACCGAACGCCACCAAACTGTTCAAAATGTTCCTCAAGATCCTCATCCGTGCATGTGAATGGTAGGTTGCGTATGAAGAGAGTGGTGGTGTTGTAAAAGTTTGTGGTGCGCGGGGTTTTGTGCTCTTCTTCGTCAATGTATCTCTCCTCATCGTCGCTGTCTTCTTCCTCGTCGTCATCGTCGTCATCATCATCCTCGTTGTCTTCGTCTGCTTCCTCGTCTTCGTCCTCATCTTCCTCTTCATCCTCCTCGTTCTCTTCGGCTTCTTCATCTGCCTCCTCGTCGTCAGCAGCTTGATCCTGGACCTTTTGCCAAGTCTCCTTCTCAACGGACCAATCGACGGCCAGGGTACGGCCATCGATCTCCTTGCCGTTGACAGCTTCGAGAGCTTTCTCAGCGTTCTTCCTCCCCCTCAATGTGACGAAGCCGTAGCCGGCCAGCATGCCGTTGGACTTCTTGGGCAAGATGGCCTTCTTGATCTTGCCGTAGCTGAGGAAGAGCTTGGAAAGCTGGTCCTCTGTCTTTATACTCCAAGGCAGGTTGCGGATGATCAGCTTGGATTGGCTGGGCTGCATCTGCTCCTCCTTCCTCTTCTTAGCCTCAACGGCAGCCTTGGCAGGCTGGCTGACACCATGTTCGGGGTCGCGATGGCGGGGCTCGGCGATGTCGACCTTGATCTTGCGGCCTTGTAGGTCGGAGCCGTCGAGCTCGTCCTTCGCACGGGCGGCGTCCTCGGCGTCGGCAAAGGTGACGAAACCATAGCCCTTGCAGTGTTTGGACTCCTTGTCGAGGACGGCGACGGCATGCTTGATGGGGAAAGATTGCGAGAAGTGGTCGGTCAAGTCATCGGTGGTAACGGTGGTGCCCAAGCCGCGCACGAAGAGCTGGCGGCGATGCTTGAGGGCGTTGCTGTCGTCGGCGCGGGATTCGTGGGTGCTGGACGCGGCAATGGTCGACTCAGTAGGAGCGCCGTTGGCAGAAGAGGAGGCGACAGCAGCGCCATCCTCGGAAAGGCGCTGTCTCTTGCGGTGGGGGCCCATGGTGACTTGGGATATAGCGTGGATGATTTTTGAGAGGCCCAAAAAAAAGTTGCCCTGACTTCACGCCCACGCGTCCAAGCGTCCGACAAGCTGCCGCGCGCCAAGCCGCTGCCTCCGCCCCGCCACCTGCTCCTCGCAACTCCGCCGCCCGTTTATGCTTTCCGCCCAAACACTCGGCCTGCTTCACTTTCCTCGACGAAACACGACGTCACGGCTCACGCCACGCTTATCTCCACTTGCTGAGCGTCCTCCCTGACTCATGTCCCTGCTCACCCGAGGAAACAGACTCCAGCCGCGTCCATCAGCTGCATGTCACATTAAGCATAATCATCGAAGGCCACAACGCTCCCTCAAGCTCTGCACTGTAAAACAGCTATTCCATCAGCTTCATACATGTGTCTGCCAATTAGTCCCCATTTTTCAGAAATATCTACATTTTCACACATGCTGCTCAGACCGGATAGATGCTTCCGACAGCCCGCACATAGCCTCACAGCGTCGATTTGTAAGAAGATACTCACGTTCCCATTCCGGTGAAGCCGGAAACGTCATGTAGGAAGTCTGAATCAGTAATGACGTCCCCTACTTCATCCCATCGGCCCCCGTCATCCATCATGGCCAAGGTTCGCTTGCACCACGGCAGGGAAGCTGTTGCTGTTGAGTCGAAAACACCAAGCCAAGACACTTGCCACTGCCTTGGACCCTCTGACAACTGCCGGTCCTTGAATCACACGGAAACACCCGTCACCCCCGCCGTTAGAATCCACCTGCTGCCTGGTCACCACGCTCGTCGCTGCAGCGAAACACTGGAGACGTCACCAGTTTTGCTCTCATCCCCAGCAATTTGACTTTCTGTGTTTCGGAACTAGTCTTGCGCAACTACTCAATCCGTCATAGACGCTGGGCGAGTGTCCAGCCTCCAACTTACATATCGACAATCTCATAACAGGTAACGTCGTCGTTCTTAGTCATCCGCCGGAATTTCACGAAATGAAGCTATTGCGGCCATGAAAAACGACAAGGCGAGGATCTTGACACGCAGGCCAGTGGAAGCACACAATATGATGCACGCGGAATGAACCTTCGGCATTTAAGCCATGGATGCAGGCATGATGCCGAGATTCGCCTGACAATCCGGGGTACCTTATCTTCGCAATCGATCTCCCGCTGAACCTTGGCCTGTCCCTCCCTTCGGCTCTACATCCGTACTACTGTTGATGCCGGTGCTCTCAACAGACCAGGCATGCCCATGCCATCACACAGACTCTGCTCAGGCCATCCAATCCACCTGCGGCACAGCACTGCCGACTCATTTAGGCCTCCACCAGCTGCAGGGGCATGGTCTGTGCTTGTACCGGGCTTAAATGAATTTCAATGTGCCGACTGTTTGCTTGCATTGCCGAACGCCTGCTAACCAGTACCATGCCAATAACAACAGCAAAAAGCAAAGCTCGCGTATGCAGTGGCGGTTTGATCCTGAATGGCCATCGTACCACTGGGGCTGAGCCTGGTGTTGCCTTACTGCAGCCAAAAGTCATTTCCTTTTCTGGACTACATGACTCTCTAGCCAAGCGCTGCTCCACGCCTTGGATCGCCCGACTTCTTCACAGAAAACGCTCGCCGATTCGTAGAACGCTGACAAAGGATATGTCAGCCTCCGCGGTAAATATTGCACACGAGTTATCTGGGGGTGGCGTTTCATAGCCGCTATTGTCGCTACCGGAGTCTTCGGGCCTGGCTTTCTCACACCGCGGCGGCTAAAAGCCATGGCGAAACGGGAGGCTGAAACAGGACACAATGCCGAACGCAACAAACTACCGAGCTTAGGCACGGAGTTGCGGAATACGACAAAAGGCGCTCCCGCTTCTTCGAAAGTAGCTAGAACGGTGCCAAGGAGCCCGGCACTCGCCCCAAAGCACGGGATTGAGATCGGCAACCAGCGAACTGCTGGCCCTATGGCAGATGCCCTTTTGGTGTCATGGAAAAGGAAGGCGTGTATATATGTATCTACCTCGTGTCCCGGTCTCCAATAGCCGTTCCGTCACCCTGAACCTTTTCTAGCCTTCGATATGATGCATTTGACGCTGTCGGCCGCCGCTGTGGCCGGGTTTCTCTCCCCAGCTCTTGCCTATCCCTCGGAAATCAGGCCGCGCATTGTTAAGAACTCAAGCGGCCTGCTGCCTTGCTACAACTATGTTGTCATTGGTGGTGGGGCTTCAGGTTTGACTGTGGCCAACCGTCTGTCCGAAAATCCAGGTTTGTCTTTTAAATTCGCTACTCGACCCCACCGTACTAACGAAACCACAGAGACCTCCGTTCTCGTTATCGAAGCTGGCGACTTGTAGGCTCAATGTTGGCACCTACGGAAATGACTGGTGCTAATTTTCTTTTCTAGCGACCAAGCGGAGGATTTCATTGAGATTCCTGGCCTTTCAGGCGGAGCAGTTGGAACCAAGTACGACTGGAACATTTCTTATGTCGCGACTGCCGACGTAAACGACCGCGCGGTTTCCATCCCCCAAGGAAAGGCTGTTGGTGGGTCAACATTGCTCAATCGTATGCTTATGCATCGTGGCTCAGCCCACGACTACGATCGATGGGAAGCCTTGGGCAATGCGGGATGGAGCTGGACTGGCCTGCTGCCGTTTTTCAAGAAGGTAGGTTGGAATTTCCGGGAGAACACGAGCATATGCTGAAGTTTGATCAGAGCGAGATCTTCTCTCCGCCAAACGCGGATGTTGCCGCACAGTACGATATCACCTACGATGAATCAGCCCACGGCACTGAAGGCCGCATCCATGCGTCCTATTCTCCCTGGATTTGGCCATCGACGGGTAGGAAAATTCCCGAGATACTTTTCCACAGTGCTTTCGATTGACATGCCCCCAGAAAATTATGTTGCGGGTGCGAAGGAGCTTGGCATCAATATCCCAGTTGATGGACAAAATGGCGAGGCTCTCGGTGCATACTGGATGACACACGCTCAGGACCCTACTACAGTCACAAGAAGCTCCGCTCGCAAGGGTTATTGGGATACCGCCGCTGATCGCACCAACTTCCATATTCTTCCCAACACCCATGTCACCAAGCTACTCCTGAACGGCACAACTGTCAATGGTGTTGAATTTGCTGCTTCGGCCGGCGCAGCTCGCCAGACTGTTTCCATTAGCAAGGAGGCGATCATGGCTGCAGGTGCTCTCCACACACCCCAGATCCTACAGCTGTCTGGCATTGGCCCCGCTTCCCTTCTCAACCAGCTTGGTATTACGCCGGTCGTGGATCTCCCTGTTGGATACAACCTGCACGACCACGTCATGGTTCCCATCGTCCACAACGTTGATCTTGCTCTTCAGTCTGCCAATCTGCAGTCCAACACAACTTTCGCTGCCGAGGCGCGTGCTCAGTACGATTCTGAAAAGACAGGCCCCTACTCCACCGCCACCGGAGACATTCTGTTTTTCCTACCCACGGAGAACTACACCACTGCAGTTTCATCTTTGCACGACCAAGCGCTTGCTCAGAGCCCGAGTGACTACCTCGATTCCGATACTCCGTCGTCTTTCCTCACGGGCTATGCCTCCCAGCATGAGCAGCTCGCCGAGACCCTTGTGGCTTCTGACGCCGCCACCATTGAGGCAATCCCCTCGGACGGAACTATCATCGTTGCCCTCATGCACCCTTTCTCACGCGGCACTGTCAAGATCCAGTCGACCGACCCCTTTGAGGCTCCGCTGGCAGACTCAGCATTCCTGAAGAATCCGTTGGACGTCGCCGTGTTGGTCGAGGCTGTCAAATTTGCTCGCAACCTTTTCAACACTACCGCTTTCGCTCCTCTGAACCCCGTCGAGCTTGTTCCTGGATCCAACATCACCACCGACGCCGCCATCGAGACTGCGGTTCGCAACAGCGCAACCACCGTCTTCCACCCTGTCGGCTCTTGCCACATGGGTAAGCAGGAGGAGGGAGCATGTGTTGACGCTCAGCTCAAAGTCTACGGTATTGAGAAGCTGCGTGTTGTTGATGGCAGCGTCATGCCCCTTGTTCCTGCGGCTCACACCATGGGAACTGTGTATGGTGTCGCCGAGAAGGCTGCCGACATCATTCTGAACGGTTCTGCTTAAGAGTTGGATCTTCGTCTAAAGTCCTTTCATGTATGATATTGAGATACAATGCTTTATGTAAATTTGTCACGAATATTTTCCCAGTAGAAATTTTCCTTCTACCTTCCTCTAAACTCTTTGAAAACTTCTTCCACTGTCCTTCCTTGCTTGATTCCTTCTCCGCACTTCTCATCCGCTTCGACAATTCCAGGAATTGCCTCAAGCACAGCCTCAGCTTGGTCTCGCGGGACTCTCACAACACCATTCAGGTCAGCAATGATGTAATCACCAGGCTCAATCCACGCCTCTTGGTCTGCTGAATTGAGGCGCACTGGCACATTTATGGCCGAAGGTCGGCAAACTGCGCCACCAGCAGTGGTACCGACCGCCCTTGCAAAGATCTGCACGATTATGGTTAGCGCCGAGGCAATTACTTGGAGTTGATGGTACCTACCGGAAATCCCAAATCACGGTGCTCTTGAAGGTCCCTCAGCCGTCCGTCAATAACAACTCCCGCAGCACCAAGCTTCTGGGCGCGCAAAGACATGAGACCACCGTAGACAGCATTGACGTGAGGCAACGGCTGTGAGATGAAGACCACAGCATCTCGCGGGATTTGGTCAATCTGTCATCAGTCAGCTCAGTCTCATTATTCGATTAGATTCAGGGTGCAGGACTCACATAGTTCCCTTGGACTTTGGGGGACTCGGTGTCGGATTTTGGAACGAATTTGACGGTGAATGCCTCGCCAACTATTTTGGTCGGCCCGGATTGGAAGACCGGAGAGTACATGGTCAAGCCGTCAAGGAAACCGCCATGGGGGTGCTTGAGTTTGCTCAGGCCATCTGCAACCTGGGAATGCATCAGCCTTAGTGAAGAGTTAGGGGGTTTTTAATAGGAGACACACGTCGCAGGTAGTCCACTGTTTGAGACGCTCGACAATTGAAGCTGACATTTTGGTTGGATGGAATTGTTGTAGAAGACGACGAGAATAATTCATGTCCTCCTCAAATTTGATGTTGGTTGGAAAGCCGCTAGTAATATGTGTGACGGAAGCGGGGTCAATCGTCGGGCGTTTTCCGATCAGCGGATGATGCTCCGATACTCTTAGATTGTTCTCAAGACCCGTAGTCTATCCACGAAGATGCAAGAGTGGTTAGAAGATTGTCTCCAGATGATCGCGCGTCTAGAGAAGAGTAATCGAGATTCGGCACGCCGATGTCCGTATGATATTGGTGCTGTCCTCTCTCGGACCTACGCCGAAGCTCATGGATTAGAGCGGCGTACGGATGCTACCGAAAGTCTCGTTTGCCCGTCGCTGGCAGGGGTATTTTGTTTTACCGCCCACGGGCATTCCGATTTACTCAGTGAGTATGCCTGCTGCGCCAACAAATCATTTAAGTATGTTCTAGAGTATGAGTCTAGTATAGGAATCAAAGTTCACTCAATTTGGCTATGGCGTTGTGTTTAAAAAAAAAAATGGTGGACAGATTGAGTTCTGCCAGTACAAATTTCGTGTTCCGGACGGGCACGGAACTTGGTAGCGACGGGCAGATAGGACTTTTGGTACGGACGCCCATAGAAGCCACAGAGGCACGGAGGTTTGCCGACAGCAGATGTGTGCGATACATCTTCTTATAGACTGCCGGCGCATAGACTTTTTGTATCGAAAATCTTGCAATCTTTCAACAATGGGCAATCAAGAATTTCCCGCCAGCAACCGTACGTGGCAGATTCTTCACCAGGCAAAGAAGAATGGGTATGCAGTTGGTGCCTTTAACTGGTAAATACATACTGCAAACCTACACAAAAAAAAAAAAAAAACTAACATGTTTGGTTGTAGCTACAACAACGATGGCGTTATGGCTGTCATCCGGGCTGCCGAGAGGAAGAGATCACCTGCCATAATTCAGATCTTTCCATGGATGATGCATTTCCAGGGCGATCATTTCATCAAGTACATCGCTTCGGCTATCCGAGATGCCTCAGTACCCATTGCTTTGCATATGGATCACTGCATCAAAGACGAAGATGTGCAGCACGCTCTCACGCTACCCTTCGATTCGATCATGGTGGATGCATCAACTTCCGGAGGGGAACTCAATGCCGAGTACTGTGCGCAAATTGTTCAGCAAGCAAGTCAACTTGGAATTACCATTGAAGCCGAGGTGGGACGTATCGATGGTTGCGAAGATGGTCTCCCTGAAGCGGACATCGAAGCGGCCTTGACAGATCCCAATGAAGCGCGAGATTTCGTAGCGAAGACGGGAGTGCATTTCTTAGCGCCTTCGTTTGGGAATGTCCATGGTCCATATCCCCCGGGTGGTGCTGCCAAATTCTGGAAACTCGACAGGTTCGTGATGCTCCTTCAATTTACTTCTAAATGCTCATATAAATCTTGTCAGATTGACCGCCATTGGCACTGAGATTGGGCCTGATATTCCCTTGGTCCTCCACGGAACACATCCTGTATCGGATGAGTTGTTTCAAAAGGCAATAGCATGCGGCGTTGCGAAGATCAATCTGAATCGCAACGTTAGAGATCCGTATACAGCATTCGTTGCGGAAAAAGCAGGGGAGTTTGAGTTGACGACGTTGAAGGAGCAGGCTGTGGAAATATATGCAAAATCCATAGAGCGCATACTTGATGTGTTTGGGTCATCCGGGAGAGCGTAGTGTAGCCGAATGCATTGCAGAGAGCTGCACAGCCAACCTGAATAAGGTTTGTCATATCACCACGTACCATGAATGAAACGATTTTCACATTAAAAAAAAAGTCATGTGCAATTCCCGATGCCTATTTGATACCCGTTGGCTTTTGATTTATGTTGCTAGACTCAACTCTACCCACCACGATTTGATTGCTCTACTCAGCCGCTACCAAACAATCCATTACGCATTTTTCAACATTTGGCTCTTACCCTGGTTTCCACGTTTATGTAAACTCCGCGTTTCCATTATACTCACACAGCGGTGTTGCCTACTTCATTTCCGTATTTTATGTTAGAAAGCTAAGCAAAGGGAGAATCCACACGTGTATTTACATGGGTTACTCCACATTCATCTCCCGAAAGAAAGGTGACTAGGTAGATGCATGGCACACTAAGTTGAAGCTGAGTGAATATCATTACTGCATAATGTCTTTTAATTGTACAGATCAACCATCCAAGGGCGAGGATGAAATAGGGGGTAAGGGCACGTCCAGCTTGGCGGCCATATCCTTGAACATTTTGATGTCTGCGTCGGCAAATGGAATTCCCTGACGAGTTCGCTGCTGGGAGAGCCTGTGTTCTGGCTCACCTGGAAAGAGAACCTCAGAGAATCCGGGGGCCGGAGGAACAGCGTGAACGCGCTGGGCCAAGACGTCCATGCGCGAGCGGAAATCATCGGACGACATGAAAATATCAGGCTTGATGGCAATAAAGCAATGGCCGACATTCTGAGGCCTTGCTTCCTTGTACTGGTCACCGACCTCTCCACCAAAAGCAGCGCCTGAGAGAACGCCCGACATGACATCCATAAGGATGGCGATTCCAGAGCCCTTTGGCCCACCGATAGGAGCCATCATTCCGTTCAAGGCCTCCTTGGAGTTGGTGGTAGGATTGCCGTCGGCGTCCATAGCCCAGCCCAGGGGAATGTCCTCGCCGCGGAGAGCAGCGCGACGGATCTTTCCCTTTGCAACGACGGAGGGGGCCATGTCGAGGATGTAGGGGACCTCATCCTTGGAGGGAGCTCCAGCAGCGAAGGGAGAAATTCCCAGCAGGGTTTCCTTGCCGCCGAAGGGGGCCATTTGGCGAGCAGAATTGGTGAAGACGAGGGAGATCATGCCTTCTTGCAGAGCCTGCAAGACATAGGTGGCGGCCATGCCGAAATGGTTGGAATGGTTGGCTGTGACGATGCCAATACCGTAGGTCTTTGCGCGATTGATTGCTTCCTGCATGCCGCGAGTGGCAACGATGAAGCCGAAACCATTGTCGCCGTCAAGATGGGCGGCGACAGGGGTCTTTTCGTCGACCTTGATGGAGGGGCTCGGGTTGACGAGCTTGGATGTGACACGGGCCAGATATTGCTGTTGGAGGTTAGTGCGGGTGTGCGTGATTGGGAAAGTGGAGGGGTTGTATGTACCTCAAGGCGCATCAGCCCGTGGGTGCCCTGGCAGCATGGTCAGCGAGACGGAAAAGGGAAGGCGCAAGAGGGCGCAGCTTACCACGCCGCGCACATCGGCCTGAACCAAGCAATTGGCCATCATTTGGGCGTCATCTTCAGACAGGCCGCCTTTGACCAGCACGGCCTTAGCGAATGATGCAGCTGCATCGGGAGCAATGTAGTGGCTTTCAGAGGAGGACATTTTGGTGGTCTGCGGAATTGTGCATAGTGTAGATGGGTTTGGAGGATGTAATAAAGAAGCGGCATCGGGGACATACCGTGTTGGTGCACATGGAAGGCGGGGCACTGAGGGAAACCGTCGGCGCGTGGGCCGAGGCCGCAGCTGATCAAAATCCACCAGCCCTCGCTCCCGCTCCGTCTCATCGCTCTCATGCCGCCCGAACCCACTCCGCCCAAGAAGCCCATCGCATGCGTCCGGTGCCGACACCGCAAGGTCAAGTGCGATGGCCTGCTGCCCGCCTGCTCCAATTGTCTCAAAGCCCGTGTTCCCTGCGAGGAAAGCGCTGGCTCCGAGAAGAGGTGCTCCGCCCACCACTACTGGAGCCAACCCACTGACCTCAACCAGGTACATTCGCGAGCTCGAGGCCCGCGTTAAAGAGCTCGAGACTCAGCTCACGAGCCTCCGCTCTCCTACGGACCATGTCGTCGCCCCCGGCCAACCCGACCCCTCGCCGGGCAATGCCAGTGCCATCCAAGCTCACACCCCATCCACCCCCCGCATCGGTCCGGAGCAGCCGCTAGCCCACGAGGTCGGACTCCTCTCCCTGCAGGCCGCCAATTCTCCAAAGTATCTCGGCCCTTCGTCCGGCGTGGCCTTTGCCCGTTTGATCTTTGCCTCAGCACCCCACACCCAGGGACTGTCGACCCACTTCGCCGCTGACCTCCCACAATCCCACCTTTCCGACATCCCTTCGGCCTCGCATCTGCCTTCTCTCCCCGAGATTCACCGCTTTGTTGCCGCCTATTTTGACCAGTTCCACCATCTGTATCCCTTTCTGGATGAAGTGTATGTCGACGACCTTGTCGAAAAATGTCTAGCCAAACCCTCTCTCGCCACCGATTCCGACATGTGCATGCTTTTCCTGGTCATTGCCATTGGTTCTCGTGCCGTCGAATCCCAGCTTGGTGCAGACTTTGCTTCTGCCACCTATCTTGCCGCCGCCATCAAGTTTCTGTCCGACATACCACTGCATGAATCCATACAAGGCGTCCAGATTTTGCTTCTCCTCGTCCTGAGCAGCTTCTGCTTTCCTGGCGGCCTTAACGCCTGGTTTCTGACCCACACCATCATTGCCAGCTGCCTAGACCTAGGCTTGCAGAGAAAACAGCCCATGGGTGAGCCCAACCGCCCCGCCCCTCCCGATATACTGCTAACCTGCTTCTAGATACGGACGAAGACGGGCCACAGGCCAGATTTGGCGGCACTGTTGCTGCTCACGACACAAGAAGCGGTATATTTTGGTCAGCATACTCACTCGACCGCACCCTCTGTACCACCTTGGGTCGCCCGCTCACGCTGAGAGATGAAGCAATTGACATAGAGTTCCCCGGTCAACAAGGGTCAGATGAGGTTGATCTCGATGCTATTGAGGGCGCTACTCGAGTGCTGCAGCCCCCTTCGGCTGGAACGCCCGTCGACCAAGGAGAGCCATACGAGCGCCAGCCGAAGCGCATGCGCAGCGAGCAGCTCCCTCACCATAACTTCTACGCGGCTAACATATCTTTCCGTTTTGACCGCATTGTTGCCGAGGTGAAATTGATGATCCATCGCGTCGCACAGTCCCCAAAACGATTCCCCTGGCCAAGCGACTTTGAGGGCTGGCAGAAGGCCGTGCATGCATCTTGCAAGGGACTCTTCGAGCATGCACAACAAACGATATCGCGAAGAGCGGGTGGCATCGCCCGCGCCATTTCATACCGCTCCATCCCGTCGATTGAGCTCAAATATCACCAATGCGTCATGCTCCTGTACCGTCCAAGCCCAGCATTCCCTCGGCCTGCGCCTGAAGCATTGCATGTCTGTTTCGACAGTGCCACGGAGACCATACGAATCTATTACGAACTGCACCGCTTCGGCCAGATGATGAACTCGTGGCTCACAGCCCATAGCATCTTCGTCTCGGCCATTACCATGCTCTACTGTCTTTGGATCAGTCCTGCCATTCGCGGACGGGCAAGAGATACTTTCAGCGAGCATGCAAGACGATGTTCAGAAATACTTGAAGCCCTGGGCAAGACGTGGTCTGTGGCCAAGGATGCACGAGCTAAGTTTGATCGTCTGGCTGAAGCAACGTCTGAGTCCTGGAGAAGACGAGAGGAGCCAGCAGTCGTCGAGTCTACAGCTGGTCCAGACCAGTCCCGGCCTGTTGACGACAGTAGACTTGGGGTCGATTGGACAGAGCAAAGCTTCGACGCCTTGTTTGATTCTACAGACATCTTTGCTGATGAGCTGGGAGACATGAGCGGATGGTTCGATCTGGAATGGTTTGAGACGTATGGCGTCGAAGGGCTCGGGAATGCAGGAATGGCATAGAAAGAAATGGCTATCTGCAATTATCTCCGACTTACGTAGGCGGCTGAAGCTATCATCCGGACGTAAATGTAGAATTATTAAATATACATCTATGTCCGGATGGTAGCTTCAGCTGCTTTCGGTACCCACGGATCAGTCCGTCGGCGCGAGTCCGAAAGTCTCGGAGCGATCCCCACTCGGGGATTACTTAAGACGGCCGTTTGGCGCTGTTCCTCGGCTCCAGCATCAAGCACCATGCGGCCCCCAACAATACGCTCGCTACGGCTTTCCGGCCACCTCTTTCGTCGCACCTTTGCCTCGGCAACACCCCGAGTTGCCCTTCTCTACCAAGCTCTGGACCCGCCCATCATCAACGGTGTGCGCAAGCCCAAGAAGCCAGGCGGTCCGTTTCCCGAAAGGCTTGTCTCCGGCCCAACATCGCTGATGATTTACAGGATACCGCGACTCTGGAGCAGACATTGCATACGTGTTGCGGGAGCAATGCCGCATTTCCGTTGCAACTCCTGCGCAAAACCCCAACCCGACGAATGATGTCGACTGGGTTTTTCCAGACCACGAGCAGGGAATCGTAGCCGCCGTGGAAGCTGGAGCTACCTGTCTATGGGCAAACACCATCCTTTTCAAAGACCATCCTCTGCAGACATCATCCGCTTTGGTCCCATACCAGGATAAAGTTCGTGTTGTTGGTCAACCACCGCTCTTTGTGGACGCGTATGACGACAAGAACTATGTAAACAGCATGTTGAGGCAGCGCGGCGGCTTCACTCTCCCCAAATCAAGCATTGTTTCGCAGCAAGATGATCTCGAAGCATCACTGGCACGCGACAACATCTCATCCTGGCCTGTCGTTGCGAAACCCATCCGCGGACGTGGTAGCCACGGTGTCAAGCTTTGCTCGTCTCTCCAAGAGCTTCGCGACCATGCCGATCGCCTCTTTTCTGAATCTCCATCCATCATGATCGAGGAGTACCTGTCGGGACAAGAGGCCACCGTCACGGTCATGCCGCCCTCTGCCAATCGTCCCGATTACTGGGCCATGCCTGCTGTCGTTCGCTTCAACCATGTTGATGGAATCGCTCCCTACAATGGTGTTGTTGCCGTCACCGCCAACTCACGCGTCATTTCTCCCAAAGAGGCCAGCGAGGATCCGGCGTACGAACAACTTGCCAGAGAATGCGAGGCCACAGCACGCCTACTTCAGACAAAAGCCCCCATCCGCATAGACGTCCGACGCTTCAGAGATGAGAAGGGGTCACCTTTTGCGCTTTTTGATGTCAACATGAAGCCTGTTCGTACACCTTTCAAATGCTAGCCTATATGACCGAGTGCTGACATATTAATAGAACATGACTGGACCGGGAAGGCCCGGCAGAGAGGATCAGGCAAGCCTTACAGCCTTGGCTGCAGCCGGTCTTGGTTGGGACTACCCTCAGCTTTTGGAAAACATTCTACAATCAGCCTGCTCCCTGAAGGACCTCCGGACAGCAAAGCCAGCTTTCTGATCTGAAAGATGTAATTTCGTAGCCAAACTAAGTTTTTCAATTCATCTACTTCATGATGATGCGTGGTTCTCAGGTGCTGTTTCTCCATTGACCTGACTCTTTCCAATGAATGCCGAAGTGAGATGTTGACACATGTACTCATCTTCCGGAGCAACTTCAAAATCGAACCTGCAAAGGTCTTCCTTGAATGGGAACATGTAGGTAGATGTCACCCTTCCTTCCGTTAGAACCATTATTTGAGGGGAAACACTGACTTACCAATGATGCTCCTTGCTTGCCTGATACTCTTCTAGAGCAGCGCGATCATGGTGGTAGCTGACAAGCGCGAATTCGAATCCTTTGCTCCGTTCAATCGGATCCGTAACAGAAGGGCCTCCGACAATAAGACGGCCGTCCTTGACACATGGGAGGTTTTTGAGCTTTTTGAGTTCTCGGACGAAGGTCGCCTTGTGCTCTGCTGTCACTTCAGGCTTGAACTTGAAGAGTACTACGACCCCGCGGCTTGTCAGCTACGGAAAAAGAGTTGGCGGCTGAGTCGCCCTTACCGATGTGTATGAGAGTCATTGTCGCAAAAGCCTTTTTTTAATGGGAATGGCGGGAGAGTGCAATGGCACCAGCATGTCATATATAGGTGGTCACCTGCCTCTTGTAAGGGACGGCTGGCTTAACGACGGTCGTTTTCCCTCCCCCACTTTGATTAGCCTCGGCACACGTCCGCGGTGAAATTGTCTCGGAAAGGCCCCGAATACGGATGAGCTAATCCCTGGCTGGTGGGAGCCCCCCAAGTCACACAGGATTCGTAATTCCAGATGCGATACTCCTAGTTAAGAGCCTGTTCATCACCCCGGCGATGTGAGGCGGTGCACATATAGGCAGTCGAGCCGGCCGCATAAGGAGAGTTGAGTTCCCGGAGCAGCGGCAACGTAGCGGTGCCTACCGAAGCGTAGCTGGTGGATTATGTTCATATGTATGAATCTGGGAGTCTTTTCCAAATTGGCAAACCAGGAAGTACAGAGGTTTATGGTGGTCTTAGGCTTAGTGTATCATAAAAGGTCCTGCAAATGTTGCTAATGGGAAAAGTTATCAAATGCGGCGAGCTCTTTGTTTGCGCTTGGCTAAGTACCTCTTATTTCATCATACTGATGAAATGAGAGATGCTATCAAAGTGCTTCTTTTTCTCCTTCTCTTCTTCTTTTTCGAACCCCTGCTGCTCCTGTTCTCTCAGCCACTCCGACCGTCCTACACGGCTCTTTTCTTCGAAGTACCCCTCTCTCTCGTTGAGGAAGTTGTTCTTCTTCCACACAGCGGTATCGGCCACGCTCCGCCAGAAGGTTGCGCGCGAGATACCCATCCGCTTGCAAAGAACCGTCTCGAATTCGTCAGGCGTCTCGAAAGCTTCTTCGGTGCTGTCGCTCTCGTCCACGTCCGGATAGTACTTGCCGTCGTTGGCTTCGATTCTTGCGTTTATACTCCAGAAGTAGTCTCGAACGCGGGTGTAATTCTCGGCAGAAGCGACCCTTTCGCTGGCATTGGTCTCGATGATCTTACTGATGAAAGACAACTCTTCTACGCTAGCATCATTGCGTTCTTGTTCGCGGAGGACCCTATTCTTCTCCTCTTCGGAATATGAAATTGGGCATGGAGGAGCATGGCCATCTTTCGTCTTTGTGATATCATCCCAATTCTCTGTGACGTTGATCAGAGCGGCATGAAGATGGATGGGATCGGCTGAATGGTGTGATTTGACAGCTATGAGTAGCTCTCGCAGTAGGTGCCAGTTCGGTATGCTAAGAATACTGTGGCTTTCTTCGATATGTTTAATCTTGTCGAAGAACCTTGCCTCCATCATGGCTTGACGCCAATCCACAAGTTGCTTCGCGATAAGCTCCTGCCGCTTGTGGGAGATAGTCTCGGGCTGTCGTGGCATCCGCGGTTTACTTGAACGTAGTCTAGACCTCCGCATTAGATTAGTGCCCCACGCTAGTAGACCAGGCTCAGCCATCCCGCTGAATTCGTCGGTGATGGCGGCAATTTTGACATTTCGAGACTGTGTGAAGTTGACATGTCGAAGGTGGCTCCTCAAAATATCGTAGGCTGAGAGTCTTGGGGTGCTTATTGCCGTAATGATGCGCGGCAACAGATGATCCACGATCTTCAGATAATCATCGTAGAGCTTACGATGCTGTAACTTGAAGTCATGCTTCTTTTCTCCATGAACGATCGGACCGTCTTCGGGCACGCCTTGGATGTTCTTGCTTATGTCATTGAAAGTGAAGGCTTCAGGGTTAATGACTGCGCCGGTGAGCTGAGTGATATGTGGCTGCTGAATAGGCTGACTTACAGGGACCACCTCCTTGTGGCTCATGGCCATGGAACCTCCACATTCTGGTGCAAAAGGGACCGACGCAAAGCCCTTTCAAGTCACCGCGGTTAGGAATTGGGAAAGACGGGCAACCCACAGGCAGGTCGCGGGAAAAGTAGATGGCACCGAAACCAAGGAGTTCAAATGATAAAAAGCGGGCCTCGATGTCAGCCACTTCGTCGGCCAGCTTCAGTCTTTCATCATCGTTAAGATCTGTCCAAATGTTGATCTCTGAGCCGTCAGGTTCTTCGAAAGCGATGAAAGGCCAGCCAATGGGGTTCTCCCGAGTGCAGTTGTATTTCAGGACTTTGGGAACGGGTACACCAAGAGATCTTGCGAGAGCCATCATTGCTACTCGATTCGCCATGCGCAGGCGTTGGGTCTCGGGCTTCCCCTCCACTCCGGTGTCGAAATAAAGCCGAAAAATGAGGCGTGGTCCAGTTGGATGCGTGCTAGCACGGATGTCGCGATATCTAGGGTTCTCAGCCGCCTTTTCGAGGAAGACTCTTGCTGCTCCGGGGAACATGATCCTCCTAGCGGCATTTTGCATTCCTTTCATACTGAATTCGCGATAGGTAGCGGTGTGATGAAGCGTTCTGTCTGACCTGTCACACGCAATAGGTCAGTCTCACCATCGATAGATTATTACAGATTATCATAGGCAAGGTTCAGCGGGATAGACATACAAAAATTGGTGAGAGGTATACGCCCACAGGTCCCGAAATGGCAGTGTTGGATGTACAGTTTGGTCCAGCGTAGCAGGGTGTGGATGATGGGACGATTCGCCTTTTGGTAAATTAACAAAGCTCCCTTGCCAACGGGATTGAGTGCGGGGTATTACCATTATCTTTGGCTTCGGCTTGCGGTCCTGCATGTTGGTGGTGCGAACCAAGCATCTGTGCAAAGAGCCCTCCCGGCGCATCTCTTTCTCTCTTGCCATTATTCTCCTGCGAGCCGTGGTTCATTTTTAACACCTTTTTAATTCCCGCCGCAAGCATAATACGTCTTCCTATCTCACTTTGGTCAGTCTCCTCCCCGCCGAGCACATCCCATTTACTCTTGGCTTGCGAGCCTGGCTGTGATTCATGAACATGGGACCCAGCATCCGGGTATTCGGCGGACGACCGAGGGCGCCCGGCCGGGAGGTTGAAATGAGAGTGAAGCATAGAGCGAAACGCATCTCTTACTCTTTGATCCTGCACGGGCTCTTTCCCATTGAGCGCATGACCACCAGTCATTTGCCGTGATTCATGAATGGTGGAACCAGCATCCGGATCTTTGGCTTCACGTTGTCGTCCGCCGAAGATGGATTGAAGCGCATCCTTTTCTCTCTTGCTGTGTTCGGTTTCTCCCCACTCAGTCTCCCCCCAATTTATCACATGGCCAGTACTTTCGGCATGTGAATCTGGCTGCAACTCGTGAGAAGTAGTTTCCGGATCTTTGGCCTCTCGGTTAGGTGCGCTCGATCGTGAGCTGAAAGCGGATAGAAGCGCGTCTCTTTCTCTCTTACTCTGCTCGGAATCTTCCCACTCAGTATTTTTCCAATCGATCACGTGGACGTTTGAGTCTGGGTGCGATTCATGAACGTGGGAGCGAGAATTTGGATCTTTGGGCTTTCGGCGAGGTGTATGTGGTCGTCCGCCGCCGAAGGCAGAGCGAAGCGCCTCTCTTTCTCTCTCGTCATGCTCAACAAGACCAATGGTGTCTGGGCGTGATTCGTGAACGTGGGATCCAGCATCCGGATCTTTGGTCTTGGGTTCAGGCGCGTCCAGTCCTGCGGCGCGCAAAACAGAGAGAATTACTTCTTTCCCTCTCTCGTCCTCGTCTGTCTCCTCTCTCGCATTTTTTCGTTTGGTTTTTTTTGAGCTCGAGTGTCGCGCCGGCGTCATTTTCGGCGGGGGTCGCGCCCGCGGACGACATGCTGAGAGCTGCCTCAACATAGTGACATTGGCGAAGGCGGTGGGCGGAGAAATGCCGATGATGTGGAAAGAGCGAAGGGCGGTGGGCGGCAGCCGATGGTTTCACGAATCCTGAGGTTGCACGACGTGAGCGGGTCGACAGGGTATGAAAAGTCGTGGCCGGAGCATTTATCCATCTATTCTGCTCTCAAAACCTTTGTTTCCGCCCCTCCATTCTATGGAAAGAAAGACGGAAAGATGGAGAAAATTATCGTAGAAAATGCGCTTAAATGTATGCAATTGAGATATCCGTTGGCGAGATTGGAGGCATGGCGAAGCTGTGGGGACGGCAGGGCGGGCGGGGGCAGGGATCAAAAGCTGGCCTCCTCCTCGCTCCTTCTCATACATCATCGCCGTCGCGAACCTCTTCCCCATCCTCTTGAGTCCCGACTAGAATAGGTGTCCAGATGCTGCCTCCAGCCTCAATTCACTACGACTCCCCCACTGTCTCCTTCTTGCCTCCCGTCCTGTGACAATCTGCCTCGCACCAGCCCGCGCCAAACAAACGCGTCCCTCCGATCTACTACCCGCCTTGCATCCACACCGAGCAACAAACCAAGCATTCGCTCCATCTCTCGCGCCCACATCAGCTTCGAGCCCCCTGATCTTAGCACACGAAACAAACAGCCTACCATAGCCCACACCGTTGGAGTTCCGCATCCCACCAAAAAACAACCCCGCGGCACTCTCACCAAAAACGCGCCGCTTCAGACCCCCGCAGCCCTCCCAACGCAACCAACACCACCAGTATGCCGAGCGCAATGGTGCAGCAAACCGCCACGGCGGCCGCGCTGTCCGCCGCCAGCAACGTGCTCGCGCAGCTCATCACGGCGCAGAAGACGGGCGTGAGACAAACCACCACCCCCACCCTTTCCTCTCCCCCACAAACGAAATAGAAAAACGAGGGTAAAACGGCTGACATTTGCGCCCATCGTCCGTCGACCGGCGAAAAGCAAGCGTTCACCATCGACGCGGTGCCCGTGGCCAAGTTCGTCCTCTTCACCATCCTCAGTACCCCGCCGAACGTGCTGTGGCAGGAGTTCCTCGAAGACGTGTTTCCGGGCGAGAAGAAGGTGCAGCCGGCCGAGTCGTCGGCGATAAAGAAGGGCGCAAATGACGAGAAGCAGGGGAAGGACGTGGTCAAGGATAAGGCGCAGCAGAAAAGCGCGGGGATGAATTGGGCCAATGTGCTGTGGAAATTCCTGCTGGATCAGACGGTTGGAGGTGTCGTGAACACGGTGCTGTTCATCGCGGGCATGAAGGCGCTTAACGGCGGCAATGCCGAGGAGGTCAAGATAGCTGTGAAGGAGGTGAGTTCGCGCTCTGATCGCGTATTGGGGGATTTATGTCGGGAAGGGTTGAGAGATGTTCAAGTTGAAAGGGAAAAGAGTATGGCTGATTATTTCTGCGGTTGTAGGGGCTCTGGCCTATCTTCCTCGCGGGCACTAAGCTGTGGCCTTTGGTCTCCGCCATTAGTTTCACCATGATTCCCGTTGAGAAGAGGGTGATTTTTGGCAGCATCGCTGGCGTTGCTTGGGGAGTATATCTGAGCTTGATGGCTGCGGAGTAAGCTAGCTCTTCATGTCAGGGGCGCCGTATTTTCGCACCGGCCCCGCGCGTTGCGGCTTTGGGTAAAAGGCATTCATTGTTGGATTACTACAGCACGATTTCCATTGGCGCACGGGTACAGGTGGCTGTCCAGCTGGTCCATGCAGACACACTTCAAAAATCAAGGCAATCTAGACGGATGGACCGACGACGCCTTTGTCAATCGCTTTTTACTTCGACGAATTTGTCTCGACCTTGGAGTCCCTCTCGAAGCACGACAATGCCTTTCAGCGAACTTAATATTGCAAGCAAGCGCTCATTTGTACAAAGTCTCGGCATGATCTTCGCGTACTTCTATCCTGATCTATGTTCGATCCCTATCACTTGCATGTCTCATTTTTCTTGCCTCCTTCTCCAAGCATTGCAAAGTCTCTCAATTGTTCCATATTCCATCCGTGCGCAATCTTGGAGAAGGAGAAAGAATAACGATCTTCATGCTTTCCTCATGGACTCTTAATCAAGATGACACAAACCTACGCTAATTTCAGAAAGTGGCTGGATGGAGATACGAGGCTCAAGCATGAAGGGATGTGCCGGTTGGTAGCTAATCCCGCTCCAAAGCAGTCCTTCAGTCGAGCACACAATGAGAATATTGAATATCTCACAAAAGGTAAGCCAACACTATGTCTTCAGACCACGGCTCTACTTTTCAAACCCGCCTGCAAGATTTGAAACCATATCATGACCCTAATAGGTATTCCAAGTTCCCGCCACGAGCTACCAAAACGCCAACATGCCGCCCTACCCAACCACTTTATGCCATCTCATATATTGGTATACCACACAAACCCCCTTCGACAAAAGAAAGAAGAAAGAAGCGAACAACAAAAGAAAAAAAAAAGCGGGGAATAACGAAAAGTAAAAAAAAAATTACACAAGTGCCAGCCGGCGCCTTCGCACCTCACGGCGAGTCCCGACTATGTTGCCGATGGTGGTGATGATGATGGTGATGCGTATGGACGTTCGCATGATGCCGCAACCCCTGATCGAACTCGTCCAGCTCGACCTGCTCGACGCCGACCACCGCCTCGTTCGTCACCGTCACGTGGCTCTCCTTGAGAATGTACTTCTGGCTCTCGGCGTCCGACAGCTCCTCCCAGTTGCGCTTTCCGGCCTCGCACGCCACCGTGTGCGAGTGCTCACCATCCGCCACGCCTCCGTCCCTATGATGATGTCCAATCGCCACCCCAACGGCATCCCCGCCATCCATGCTCCCCCGTGACATCCGGAACGTGTCCAGCTTGTGGTGGTGCGTGTGGTTGCCCGTCAGTCGGCTCTTGTTGCCCGTGTTGCCGCCGCCAATGGTCGTCACGCCGTCTTTGCTGGGGCCGCTGTTGGAGAGCGAGGACGCGAAGAAGGGGATGTAGCGCAGGAGGGGGCGCAGGGCGGGGAGCGAGCCGGCGATGAGGCCGACGCCGGATTCGATGATGGACCACAGCGCGATGTTGGCGAGGCCGTAGAGGTAGTCGTCCGGGCTGTTGTAGTTGAGGAGGTAGCGGAGGCGGACGAGGGTCGCGGTGGAGGCGCTGGTGGTGGGGGTGGGGTGTTAGTTGGGGGGTTTCCTTGTGTGTGGGGGTGAGAGGAGGATGGGGAGGCTGGGTTGGAGTGATGGCCTGGGTGGACACACTTCCCGCTGGACCTGAGATGACAAAAAGAAAGAAGAAGGTTGAGCAAAACTTACACAACACCCAGTGCCAGAACGACGACGACGGAAGCCTTGATGCGGAAGCGGAGTTGGATGTTCCACAAGATGAAGGCCGGCAGGATGGCGCAGGACCAGTCGGTGACGATGGAGCAGGCGGACAGGAAGTACGACGAGTTGGTGATGGCCTTGGTGTCGATGCAGTGGCCGAGCGTCTTGTCCCAGGTGGCGGCGACGGGCTGGCACTGGACCAGCACGGTGACGATGGTGACGATGGCGCCGACGGCGCTCAGGAACATGATGATCCAGAGCGAGTAGCGGTACTTGCGCTGCTGCGTGATGCGGAGGAGGGCGATGCAAATGGCGCACTTGATCGGCACCGTCGAGGCGATGTACCAGATCTGGAAGAACATGAACCACTGGAGGGAGAGTCCGGCGTCAGTCAACGTTGCCACCTCATTCATCCGAAAGGAAGGGAGGGAGGGCACTCATACTTTGCGCCCCTGCTTGTCGTGGTAAGAATTGATGTGATTACTGTGAGTACCGATGCCGTTGAAGGATGCTGTAATTGTAGCCTGGCAAGCCAGTGTGTATAGGACCTGTCGACAGTTAAATACGATCATGGTACGCTCTTCGGTTTGAGGTAGTACTGACCAGGCCTGACACCATCATCCAGTCGTCCAAACCGAATGCCTTCATGCCCGTCCGCACAATTATCCGAGCAACAACAACAACCCATGACATCGTAAGAAGGGCGATTGACACGACATTGAGTGAGAGGCCCGGGCCTGTAGGAGTGAGCGTCATTGATCAAGTGATGGATAGAATGGTGAATATGGTTCAACAACAAGGGCCGGGGCGGTAACAGTAAGTCAGGTGGGCCAAAGGGCCGCGCGGGGTATGTATATGCAGCGAGGGAAATAGAAATCAAACCACGAAGGGCGAAAGAAGGGGCCAGACATGGTGGAACTTGGGCAGGGTCTCAAAGAAAAAGTCGGCTACGCCAGACCGGTCCAGCGGATACGGGTAGCACTCTAGCAAATCGATTTTTTCCCAAGCCGTGCCCTGCTTGCTCTCAGTCAGTTCAAGCCACAATTGTTCCCCTGGCTTTGTCAGGTGTCAGCGCGCTTCTGGTACGGAAGCAGTTCGAAGCCTTGCCGCGGCACCGGCTGGGATCAGCTGCGGATACCAAAGGACACTTATTTAGTCTGTCGGACATGCACGTGGCATGGCTGCGGCAGTTGGCTGCGTTCCTGCTTTAGAACGGGCGCTAGGAATTAGTTCAAAGCATGCGCTGCGGCAGCCAACGGTCAAAGCATCACCCTCACGATTCAATATATGAAGTAGAGGCCGTATTCAGCGCCTCTCGAAGGGTAGCATGACACTGATGCGGGTCTGCCAGAGTCAGCAGTCGTGCGCAAAAAAACAAGGCCAAGAAGATTCGTGTGGGGAGGACGCGCATAGCGTGGGCTGAAAGCGTGGCTGGACTCAAAAAGCCAGCCAGAGCGCCACAAACGGAAAGCGCACTATCTACGCACGCAGCCTGATACGCCGGACGCCACTCCGGTAGGGCGCGCATCACGGTTGTCCCTGGTGTCGATCTTGTCGCCTGGCTTCATCAGAAGCGGTTGATCCTTCAGCGGAGCCGCATCTTGCCTGCCGGGTTATCCCGACGAACACGATAACCACGCGGCTGCAAGATTGGGTTTGAGTGGGTCATGGTGGATCGAATTTCTGCTCTGAAGATATCGAGAAAAATAGGAGTTGGGTGATGGGGAAAAAAGGAGCGATGCGGAAATGCGCGAGTAAGTGTCGCTGGAGATGGTGGTGAATCCACTGCGAGGTTTGCCTCATTCTTCGCATCAACACGAGCATTGGTCCATTGGTCGCCTTAATCGTGTTCCTCTCTCTCACCTGCTCAGCTAGCAGCCACATCATACGACCTCGCCATTGTGTCGAAAGAGCGGCGAGCGTTTCATTTTAGGTGGCTTGCAGCCTTCTCAGTCGATAAGCAAAGCCAATCTACAGGCATCCGCATGCCAGTGTCTTAGCCTGGGCAAATTTTGTGGGCGGCTGTGCAGATTATTGATGCGCAATAGGGCAGAGTTGATCAATGATCTGGAAGCGGGAGAGATGCATGTCGTGCTCGGCAGGCACCACCCCTCGCCACGTCCACCACCACTCTTGCGGAGATCACAGCCCAGACTCTGCTTATCTGAATATCCCTGTCCATTCGCCCTGGACGAAATACCTCGGTACCCTGTCCGCGGCAACGGAAGCAGAGAGCAGGAGGATCTGGCGGAAGCGGAATGCTGGGTGAGAGCCTGATTGGAACTTGTTAGCGTTGCAAGGTTTCTCTGAGATTTGAGCCATCAATTGCTCTAGCCGCCGCTGACTCGCCCTCATCTCACTCGGTTTTCGCCTATCGAGGATCCGAGCCTTAAACCAATGGTGGTGCTTAGCAGCCTTCTGTCTCAAATCCAAATCTTTTCTTCCCACGGTGTTTCCGAGAATCCGCATTGAAAAAGGATAAAAACAGTGCCTCTCCTTTAGCCGTGCCGAACACCTGTTCGACTTTCTTTTTCCCCATCCTTCCCGCAGCCCCTCCCGCCGACCTTTTCTACCTTCGTTCGCATCTGCAAGCATCCCCCGCGAATTCCCCGAGTTCCGCCGACCCACACACGCACATCCCTGAAAACTTGTCGTTTCAGCTCCAAACACGAAAGCCCAAAAAGCAAATAAAAGGGCTGCCCAAAGGGCAAAAGGAAAGCTCCCCCGGACAGGCTTGAACTGTCAACCTCCTGATTGCAATGGTAATTGGATTACCGCTAACAGTCAGACGCGCTAGCCAATTGCGCCACGGAGGAGTAGTTTGTAACGACTCCTTGGATCCAGCTGAGTTACTGGAGTGGCAGTTGTTGAAAGATGGCTTTCCGGATAGCAATTATAAAGAAAAGCGCGTGTTTGACCCCCCTTGAGTTGTGAACAACATGCGAAACGTCGATGGTGAAAAACGTTCATTATTGTGGGAGAGATCGGCTATTGAGTCATGCGAGGAATGTTGAGGGCTGTTCATGATTAATGGATTCTATCAGATCTTAGCCTTCCGCGTGGAAGGATCCTGCACTCTTCCTTCGAGAGTATAACGATCCATCTAAAGGCAGAGCTCAACTACTGATATAAATGGGTGAGATATCTCTAGTGAGACAGGATTGGTAAGCTAATTTCTCCTGGGCGCCGGCCAGCCAACGAATAGGCTGCGGCCAATCAACAAACAGCTCTTTGAGCTACTGCTTCAGCCCTGCACACGATGTCTTAGTCACCCAATGTCTACACACACAGTGGGATGCAGATAACCGTGCCTTGGAGTCCCATGACAAATAATATTAATTTCCTGCATGGGCAGTTGAAGCCACCATCCGGATGCAGATGTATATTTAAAAATGATACAAAACCGTCCGGACACGAACTCCAACTGCCCCGCGTAAGTAAAATTTATTCATCAACAGCACTTATAACAGCAGGCATCACTGACGTTCACGTTACTCTTGAGTCCATCTTCTCGTCAATATTTCATTACTTTTTCGTTACTCTACCAATATCAACACCGTCCTTCGTCTCTGCAGCAAGGTGCACATACGAGCATCCGCTCTCTCTAACAACGGATTAAAGAGTAAACAAATCTTTTTCTTAAACACTCGGTCTCTCTTCTCCCGTCATACTTCGGCCTATGCCGGGAACTTGAACGACGCGTTCCCATTACCATAATCTCCAGTCTGGGTAGTGAAGTCAGACACCTCGCTCAAGTCGCTGATGCGTCCGAGCAGCAGCTCGAGAGCACGGTAGGCAGCGCCGGGCGTGTAGCCGGGAAGCTCGTGGCCGGCCAGCTGGGTCTGGTAGAAGGTCAACCCACGCTCCGAGCCCCACGTTCCGAGAATTCCGGAGCCAGCCAGCGAGCCGCCATTCCATTCCGGATGATAAGGTGAGAAAAGAGGCTTGCCCGGGTACTCCTGGAGTCCCTGTTTTCCGTTCCAGGTCGTGTTCTGCAGCGCCAGGAGCGTGCCGTTGGTGGAGAGGATGAAATCCAGGTTTCCGGAGCCGACGATGACGTTGTTGGTGCGCTCGATGACGTTCTGCAGCGTGCCGTCGAGGGCCGGGCCGGGGCTCTGGTCGCCGTTGCCGACGAAGACGTTGATGTCGGTGCACTGCGCCCAGTCCGCATCCACGGGCGCGTTGATGGCCTCCTTCACGTCCGTCCGGTTGAAGTAGACCTCCAGGCCCGGCGGCGAGTAGTCGCCCGTGTTGACGATGCCGAGGACGGAGAAGGGGTGCGGGCACGTCTCGGTGATGTGGTAGATGTTGAAGCACGGGTTGACCTCGAGCGCGGCCAGGTACACGTCGTCCCACAAGTCACACGCCGCCGCGGCCTCGTCGACGTAGGGGTCCGGCAGCAACGGGAAGGGCTCCTGCGGCGGCGGGTAGGTCAGGTAGGTGGCGAGGTAGTCGGTGTAGTTGCAGGCGGCGGCGCGCTGCTTGATGTCGGCCGTGAAGCTGTCGTTGAGGAAGAAGATGTTGGACCAGAAGTCGACGTACTGCGGCACGATGACCTCCTGCTGCAGCACCTCGTCGCCGATGATGGGGTCGTTGATGGCGATGCCCGCCAGGTTGTAGTAGTCGGTGTCGTTGCGGTTCAGGAACTCGTTGGCCACGTACGGCACGTAGAAGCCCGCGTAGCTCTCGCCCGTGATGTACACCTTGCTGCCGTGCGCGTCGAACGTGTCGACGAATGACTTGTAGAAGCCGGCGAATTCCTTGGCCAGGTCGAGCTCGTTGGTGATGTCGGGCTCGCCCTGGCTGAAGCCGACACCGACAGGTTGTCTAAAAAAAAAAAAAAAGTCAATTTAAAGTTCTGAAGGTTCGAGGGCTTGAGAGGAAAGCTTACTCAACCCAAAGCATGTTGGTCAGGTTGACCCAGGTGTATGGGTTCTGCACGGGGGCGTAGGTGCCAGACTCCCACGTGAACGGACCATTCTCCGTCAACAGACCACTGAGAGAACTGCAGCCCGGGCCGCCATTGAACCTTAAAAAAAAATCAGGAAACACGGTCTTAAGCAAGCTCAAGAGTTGCAGCATGCATACCAGATAGTGATCTCGTCAGTGGCATTAGGGTTCGTGGACGGGAAGAACCTGATTGATCCGGATCAGCAACCAAAAAGCTTATCAGGGACCAAGCACCGGCGCACGTACCAGAAGTAAAGCTTGCGGGTTTCATTGGCCTTGTCCGAGATCGGGAGCAGACCAGCGTAGGACTCGCCAATGTCAAAGTCGACATCGGGGATCTTGGTGCCATCGACGGCGAAGGCTGCGGGGAGGAGCGGTGTGAGCACAATTATCGACGTGTCGGCTGGTGAAGTGGTGGGTAGTGCTTACACTGCGTCTTGTTCGTAGCGAACGGCGACGCACGCTTCTGCAGCCTGGGCTGCTCGGCGGCGAAAGCGGCGGCCGCAGCGGCCTCGGCTTCGCGCTTCTCGAAGAAGCCCTTCTTGACCTCCTCGGCGCGCTGGAAGGCGTGCAGAGGACCGCGGCCGGCCTGCTTGGCCCCGGCGGCGAAGGGGAGCAGGGCAACGGCACTAAGCAATGCAAACGAAGGCTTCATTGTGAACAAGCTACACCGAGTAGTAGACCAAGCTTTTTCCAAGACCCGGAGCGACCGGGCTTTTATAAGGTGCAGCTTCGGTACCTGACAAGTCGCGTCATTTTATTTGGGCGGAGGCGGAGATAACGAAACGAAGGGGTATACTAGCAGAATCAGGCAGGAGCTGATGTTCGTGGCGGACTGCTTGCGGACCAACCTGCTTGCATGAACAGCTCCTGACTCAGCTATTGAAACGCGACTACTGCGGAGCCTGGCAAGTGATGGGACGGGATCATCGCCGTCCCTGTCAATCGCCTGTCACGCCAAGCTTGGAGGGGAAACGCTTAAACTTCTCAAAACACTTAACACATGATTCGATTGAGTTTTTCTAATAAGCAGGACTCTCGTATAACCGACCGAAAGGATTTGAGACGGTGTATGAGCGGCGTGCAGGTTAGTGACGTCGTCGAGCGGCGGTCAGGCAGACATGGCCCAAGCAGCCCGCGCTTCTTGCGGGGCGCAGTCAAAAGGCGTCATCCGCAGTTGTTAGTTCACCATCATTCACCCAACTGCGCCGTAGACTAAGAAGAGCCTCACTCTCTCCTTTTCCATTGCACTCTGCTCTCATCGAGGCATTGACAACCACCCTTCATTGTCCCATCTGAACTCTGACTGCTGCAAGGTAGCCCCGCACCAGACGATTGAATTTGTTTCCGCCCACGATTCCCCGGCATCCGGGCAACCCTGGTCGGCATATGAGATACGAATCAACGTCGGTTATGTAGCCGTCGGTTCCAGCGCCACAACGACGGAATGTACTTGTCGAATCAGGCAGCTGCAGCCAATGGCCGGCGAGGACCGAGGCAGAGATCACGTGATGATTGTCGGCGGTGGCAAAAAAACCTACTGGTAAGGAGGAGAACAACACTCCACCAGAGAGATACACAGGCGGCCACGCGTGATTGCTAAGGCGAATCGTGAATTCCGTCATTGGAAGGCAGTCGTGTGGTGTCAGCCGATCCTAGAAAGCTCTCATAAGCCTGCGGGCAGTCTGCCGGTTGGGCGCGCCGGTATCGGGGCAACGCGGGTCCTCGCCCCTCGGGAGAGAGATGGATAAGCGCGGCACGAGGCAGCAACTCACTTGTCGCGACAGTCATACATGATCTTTGGTGAGGTGTTTTTGACATTTGTTTTTGTGGTTTTTTATTTGTTTGTCTTGCTGTGTGTGTAGGTTGAAAGTGTAGTAGGGGTATCGAGGAAATTACTGAAGGACCCTTGCTGCAAATTGAAAGGATAAAACACATCCAACGCCTGTGTAAGACCATGCGCCATGCTCGCGCGTCTATGCGTCTAGAAGCCGGAAAGACCAGAAGCCGAAAGAGGTTGTGGTGTGGTCATTGTGTGTTGTTGCGGGCGGAGGTAGCGCCATGTCGGACCGTGTCGTGTGAGCCGTCTAGTTGGCCGAGGCCTCGCGGTGCTGCCACGGCAGCCAGGACGAAATCTGTCATTTCTTGTGTCAGCCATTAACCTCAGCAGCCTTGAAACCGGAACAAGGCGGCAGGCCATACCTTCTGGGCTGCGCGCTCGGCGGCGACCTTCCTCTCCAGATCCTCCAGGCGCTTGAGCTTCAATTCGTGGTAGATGTGCAGCTGCTCCTTGTGCTCGGCCTTCAGCGTCTTGAACTCGCGGTCCAGCTCCTCGTGCCACGGGTACAGCACGCCCGTCTGGAAGCACAGCGCCGACACGGCGACGGTGAAGTTCAGGTAGGGAAGCCAGCGGCGGGCGGTAGCACCGAGAACCATCTTGAAAGCGCGATTTTTGGTTTTCTTCTTTCTTTGCGGCGAAAAAAACGGGAAAAGTGAAAGCGGAAAAGTGAGTGACAAGCAAAACAAAATTTTTGAAAGAGGGCCCAGGGCAGCGGGCGGTATAAATATCTCCGGGCCTTGGGGCAAGGGGAGGGAGGACAATTAGTGGGGGCTTGTGAGTTGCCTTGGGATGATGGCTGCTTGGCCACTGCTGAACCGAAGCTTTCCGAATAGCGTAACTCGGACCCACTTTGTGGTCTGATTTCAGAGGCCTTTTATCTTGCAACGGCCAGCCCAAGATGAGGAATTCCTGCAACTTTGCCACCTGATAGGCCGCAGCAGCCGTTTAAGGCGCGTGCCCGCGTTCCAGCCACGTGGTGCGGCAAAAAATAGACGCTGAGAGCGCGCCCAAGACGCCATCGTCCGCGTCGGGTACGTGGCAGGCGTTCAGCTTGGGCTTTTCGGCTACGAACCCAGCATCGAGGCCTTGGGTCTGCGCCGCGCAACAACAGACGCTATGTTAAAGCTGCAGCCAGTGTGCCTCGACCCATCGCCGTCCGCCTCCGACTTCGCCGCGCCCAGCCCGCATCCATCAGCCTGGCTTGGCTCCCCGGAATTTCATGCTCAGCTCGGAATCCAACCCCGCGACACTTCCTGCGGAGGCGGGATCAGCTGGCCGCTCCGTAAAACGCCCATCTGACAAGCCGGCCCCGTTCTCCACAAATGGCAGCCTTGTGAGCAGCGCGGGATGAGAAGCCGTGGGGAGGCATTTTTTGGCTGGTGAAAGGGGACGAAATGACCTCGGTTTCGGGAAAGGGAGTCACAGGCCGGACACTGCCGCCACGTACTTACGAGTTTTTTTTTTCATCCGCCAAAGGCAACCCGTAACCACTTGCTCCCTATATAACGCTGGGCGCCCGCAACCTTTTATCCGAAGGACCGGCTGCTGCGCCCCCCGTGCAAAAGGGATTTCTCTTCGAACGAGAATTACCCGTGGCCACACCCGCCGCACCCGCGAATTCCCGCACGCTCTCGAACTCTGCGAATTGGCAATTGCCGCAAAAACCGGATTGGTTGTCGTGGATGCGTCGCATCAGCGAGACACAAGACCAGGGATGAGGAGAGCTAGAAGGTTCGATGAAGTCTGAGCGTCTGTCGTAGCTCCCGAGTTGCAGACGACAAGAGATGTCTTTCCGTTCCTGCAGCGCCTTGAAGGGCCGACGTTGGAAAGTGTGGGTTCACAACGGCACGGGACGAGGCACAACCGCCTCCGCATTGCGTCACTCGGCATCCCGGCGCATGCCCTCGCTCGCGCTGTCGCGTGCCCGAGATGATTTGGGTAACAACCACCCCTTGCAGCTAAACTTTTGCTAATTATTCCTGATGCGCTTGTCTTTGGGTTTCTCGCTCAACCTTATTTCTTCGTTTAAAAAAATCTTTTACTGAAGGCACTTGCCGTTTCGAGAGCTGGGTGATTAATAAGACAGGGATAGGCTTGAACGACACTCAATCAACCCGAAATAGTTGCCACGAGACAAACTTTTGAGAAAAGTAGATGGTCACCAATATCAATACACTTCATGCACCTCCAACAAGCAACAAGGCAAGAAGACAATTTTCCATGGATTCATACAGTTCATTCTATTCTTTTTTCGTCTCTATGAAACAGCTTATTCATACGCCTTTCCATTTATCCCTCCCATTCCCTAATAATAGTACAAGGCCTCCAAGCAAGCCCTCTAGAAAGAAGTCCAGCCGTTATCCGCCGCAATAATCGCGCCGTTAATACCCTCGGCATTCTCGCTCGCCAGGTGCACGATGGTCTTGGCCAGCTTCTCGACGTCGACGCTGCCGGGCAGGATGTTGGCGAGGGTAGCAGCCGTCTGCTGGCCCTCCTCGTTGAAGTCGGCGGGGATGCTGCTGACGAGGTTGGTGTCCATGCTGCCGGGCAGCACGGCGTTGCAGCGGATGCCCTTCTTGGCGTAGGCGGCGGCCGTGTTCTTGGTCAGGCCGACGAGGCCGTGGTTGGCGGCCGTGTAGGCGGCACCTTTGATGAAGACCATGTGAGCGTACGTTTCCGGGTCGAGGTTGCTGTACAGGTCGCGGCCGGCGACGCCGCCGACGGCGGCCGCCAGCACCGGCGCGATGGACGACATACCTGCTGCGGCGCCGCGCACGGCGGCTGCGGCCGCGACGTTGATGATGTTGCACCCGTGCGTCGACTTGGCGTCGCGCGACAGGAAGTGCTTGACCGCGTGCTTGGACATCAGGGCCGGGCCCGTCAGGTTGACGGCGAGGACGCGGTTCCAGAGGTCGGCGTCGATGTTGTCAACCGGGTCGTAGGCGTCCATGATGCCGGCGCAGTTGATGAGGACGTCGAGGCGCCCGAAGCGGCGGATGCAGTGCTCGACGGCGGCCGCGGCGCCCGTCTCGTTGGAGACATCCGTGACGGCAGTCGACAGCTTGTCCAGCGGGCCGACGTGCCACAGCTTCTCGAAGTCGTTCTCCGTCTCCTTGACACGCTCCTCGTTGACGTCGCAGATGACGACCTTGGCCTTGTTGTCGCTGCACGCCTTGACGATAGCACGGCCCAGACCGCCGGCACCGCCGGTGACGAGGACGACCTTATCTTCGAGGAGGCGAGGCATTGTTCGGTGTTGGGTGGAGGAAGAAGATAGGCGCTAGGAATGAAATGTGAAAAAGGTACGGTAGGACGAAGCTGTAGAAGTGAAGTGCAAGAGAAAATGGAACGAGGAAAGACAGGAAGGAACACCGAGCTTGCCGGCTCTTTTATGAGAGAGAGCTGCTCGAGCTCGAGCTCCTGAAACCCACCTTAGTTTGCGGCTGAGGCGCCCGCCTTCGTGGCAGTGTGAGCGTCCGGACTGACGTCCTGCCAGCTGGAAGCTTCAGGTGCGGGTCTTTGCGGGGAACCCAAAGGCGGTCTGGCCGCGCATCCGTGTGTGCCAATGAGCGCTGCTGCAGGAGCAAGAGCGGTCAGTGTTCAGTAAGAGAAGGACCCACCCTTGCCCTAGTTTCCCGCTCGGCCCGACCGAGAAACGCCCATCGTGGCCTTTATTTGGTGCTGGCGAGGGGTTCCAGAATCTTGCTCTTCCGAGAAGCCGTGTTGATGGCGCCAGCTGCTTCCAAGCTGTGGCGGTGTTGACCGTCTCCGCTGTCGTTCGGGTAGATATGACGTGGGCGTGGTGTTCAGGGTTCAGGAGCTCAGGCCATCCCGCAAGGGCACTCCTCCAGAGACCCAGTGCTGCCATGTGCGGACAAAACATAACTCTCAGTTTTAAGTCAGTGCAATAACTACTCAGCATTGTTATTGGTGCGTTGTGTAATAAAATGAGCTTGCCTTCGGTTTTTTAACGCATTGGAATGCCCTTTCTTGACGGAATACCGTTCCCTGCAAGGGCGGAGACCAAGCCGAGCCGTATTCAAACATGACAAACTCCTTCGTTTGAGGGCTCATAACTCTAATTATGGCATTCATCCATGGTTCGATGTTTTTCCCATGAGCAGAGTTGGCAAATCCTTTCGGAGCCACCTCCAGCGCCTCCTCGACACCCATTTAGCCGAGAACCAGCCAACTCCGAGCCTCGGACATCCGGCCTCCAGACACTACATTCAAGCTAAATCACATCTCCACGAGAAGAGAGAAGAGACGAAGCACGCAGCTTTCTCAGACTGGACCAAAATTTCCAAGAGGCGTCCTAAAAGTGCCCCAAGGAGAGGAGTGACTGGTAAATGTATACTTGGGGCGGGATCCTATCCCCGACAACAACCTCGGATATTTATCCGCGGGTAATACAAACATGACGAGGCAAGATTATGACGATCCGGAAAGGCGCCCCTCCAACCAACCAGCCAGCCAGCCACATGGTACCAGAGGGAACGCCTGAGTGGGGAATCGGGAGGATCCCAAGGATAGTGGTCAGGCTGATTGATTGACCCTGCATATGCAAGTGAGCAGTTCGTGCGGGAGCGGCCGTCTAGGCGAATGAAGGTTATTTTGATGTCGCGCTTGGTTTGAGTCAGTCATGAGGGTTCACTCGATGATGCTTAAACCTTGCATACCTTACCCTTTTCGTGGAGAAGGTAAAATTATTATCTAAATAGCTGTGCCAATGAACTACAGACGTCCTCAATGACATGTTTGCGTGCGATAGCTCTTTGCTGTCACTTTTACAAAGGGGAAATTCAAGATGTCAGTGATTGATCGAAAATGTTGAACGGCACTTTGACCAAACTCACGTATGGCAGCCACAACTTTAAGAACCACACGTCATTTTCAAGATAAACTTAACACTAACTTACGCAACTCTAATACTATTTACCGTCACTGGCACAGGACGAAAAGTATAGCAACACGACAGAGACTCGACACAACAGATATATGAGAACAACATTTAATTCATCATGAATCATCATATCATACTTGATAACTATCCACACGACCCTACAACTATTCATTAAGTAACCTATCCAACATCTACCTCGCCTCACCCTCCTCAACGTCACCCCTCTCAACCCGGTCGTTGCTGGTGCGGTTCAACTCCTTGAACGGGATCCTGAATACCAGCGGGCTGATCAGCACCATAATAGTAGCAGCGCCGAGGAAGCCGGCGGTGACGCCCCAGCCCATGCGGTAGTCGGGCTTGTCCTTGTCGGGCCAGATGCGGCTGCCGTAGACGCTGGACAGGTTGCCGCAGGCGTTGACGAGGGCGAGCACGATGGCGCGCTTCTCGGGCGGCGTGTTGATCGTGTTGGAGATCCACGCGAGCGCGAGCGGCAGCGCCGTCCAGATGCCCGCCGCGACGAAGCACGTCATGACGTAGCGCACGATGCGGTGCGTGACGGCGGCGCACACGACGGCGCACACGCAGCCCAGGCACAGGAAGAAGGCGACGAAGGGGGCACGCGCGCCGTTGCCGCCCTTCTTGCGCTGGAAGCGGTCGGCCAAGATGGCGGCGCAGTTGGCGACCAAGGCGGCCACGATGTAGATGGGCACCGTCATGTACTGCGCCGTCACGTCGTCGTAGCCCAGCGTCTTGGTCAGAGTCGGGATGAAGTATGAGATGGTGCCCGAGCCGACGTTGAGCATCAGGAGCACGAGGAAGAACCAGGTGCGGTAGTCGACGACGGCCGCCAGGAAGGCTTGACCGTGCGAGAGCTTGCCGGCGTTGCTGGCCTCGGCCTCGCGGGAGCGGGTGTCGGCGATGAGGCGCACCGTGGCGAGCTGCTTCTCCTCGAGGCTCAGGGCGGGCGAGGTCGCGGGGTAGTCGAGGAGGATGAAGACGGCGATGGCAGCAACGCCGACGGTGCACACGCCCTCAACGATGAACAGCCAGCGCCAACCAGTGATGCCGTGGGCGTCGTGGAGACCATCGGTGATACCACCAGAAATGAGACCTCCGAAAGCGCCAGACAGAGTGGCGGCAGTGTAGAAGATGGTGAAACGCTTGCCTACAGACAGTTAGACGACTAGATGTGCGGAGATGGTGGGTGAGGGTTCTTACCAAGCTCGCCGCTGGTGTACCAGCAACTCAGCAGGTAGAGCACACCAGGGAAGAAGCCGGACTCGACGCAGCCAACAACGAAGCGGAAGGCAAGCATGGCACCGTAGGACTGAGCAGAAGACATGGCAGCGCTCAATGCGCCCCAAACAATCATGATGCCGGGCAGGAACAGCGACGGGCGCGACCGACTGAGGATCATGTTGGAGGGAACCTCGCAGAGAAGGTAGCCGAAGAAGAAGATGGACAGGACCCAGGCATACTTCTGGTCATCGAGGTTCAGGTCGTCCTCCATGCCGGCGATTTTGGCGTTTCCCTGATGGAATGTTAAGATTGAGATGGTGGAAGATGGTGGTTCAACTCACGATGTTGGTGCGATCGACGTAGTTGAGAATGTACATGATCCAGAGAATGGGCATCAGACGCAAGTCAATCTTGCGCAGGAGCTTCTTCTCCTCGGGCGAGCCGGGCACATAGTTTCTGAGGGCCTCCTCAAGCTCCTCGTCAACATCGCCGGGCTTCACGGGGTCGGGCATCTCCAGCTGTTCAGTCTGCGGCTTGTCGGCTTTGTCCATACTCGCACGGACCGACGCCGTCTCGGATTGGCCCATGGTGAAGAGTGCGGATGAGATAGGATGGAGATAAGGGCAGAGACGACGGGGGGAGGCGAAAAGGACGAAAGTGAAGACAGATGCGGGATGAGGGAGCAAGAGGGCTCTATATGCAACAGCGCAGGCGGCAATAAAACTCTGGTCTCCACACTGCCAGGCACATGCCATGGACTGAGTAACCTCAACATTACTACGCCGCTCCCGCACTGATAATGAGCTTACCTGCGTTAAGCGAAGACTCCGTTGGCCCCACGGGGAGGGTCGGGCGATGATTGGAGCCTGTGGATACCGCTGGCAGCAACCGCGGTGGACCCGAGGGTGTCGAGGTCGGAAATATGTCACCCCACGGACTTAAAATGTGGGTGTTTCGCCCGTGTATGCGGTCACGGTGGGGACCTAGATGCGGCTCTGGGTGGCTGCGAGGGGACTTGGCGACCGGGAAGAGGCCAAAAGCCGGGTGTTGAGATGCCGATTGCGGCAAACCTGCAGCCTGTGCTTCTCGACCGGTCGGCGTTTACGGGCCAATCAGCCTGGGCGACAATGGCGATTTTGCCGACGGGCGCAACGGGCGGGCGGTGTGTTGAGCTGGCGTGGCCGTTCTCACTCGGTGCAGCGCGGGCCGTCGGCTGCTGGTGCTGCTCAACAGCATTTTGGTGCTGATTGTGTGCTGATGCAGCGTCACAGCGTGCTGACAGATGGCGGGCGCAGAAGCGAGGTGTGGGTGGGCGGCGACTGGAGTCAGTCGGGCTCCCCACGCTCCAGTGTCTTCCCCGTGATTCCCCGTGGGCAGGTGGGTCCTCTCGGATTCGCCAAACAAGGCCAACCGTCGCTGTGGGGAATCAGCCAGTCTCTGTGGCCAACGTGACCACGATGACGGCGGCAGGCGGCGTGCGACCGGCGCATTCATAAGGGCGCGCGCCCGCAGCATCGTGAGACTGACCCTGATGGTGTTGTGCCGTTGCTGCGTGAAGCTTAAGGAAAGCTTGTCCGCGTTTTGCTCGGCGCCGTGCCCAGCCGCCCACCTCATCGCTGCTTTCCGTGTCCAAATCAGACTCATGCAGCTCTCGTTCTTCGCTTCTTCTCCCGCGTTTCTGCTGCATACGCGCTATTCGCGCTGCACCCTTCGATCTTGATCAAGATTCTGGCGTCGATCGCGTGCAGGAGACAGCGTGCCGTCTCTGCATCGGCCCCAAGGAAGAGGCGGAAAATCATTTCCCAAGCCACGGCACTGCCGGGCGGCAGCAGTGCCGGCCGGCCGTCGGCAGCAACCACCCCGCATCCGACCAGGAAGATCACCCTGCGGCGTCAGTTCCGGTCCGAGGCCCGACTTCCCTCCTCAGGGTCTATCCAAGGGACGTAGATGGCAGTCTCCGCGGAGCTGTCAATCCTGGACCCCGTCAATCGCTCGTCGGATGACCTGAGTGCGACCGAGTCAATACCGAACGCTTCTTCGGCTGAACGCCGGCCGCTTTTTTAGACTTTCCGTCTCGCCCTGCGTTGTGGCAGGCGCACTAGGCATGCCTGAAACAGCCACGCCCATCACATCGTCAGCCACCATACCCTGACGGCATGCACAATGCCGTTGCATTAGCGCCAGAACAGATCCTGCTGCAGGAGAAAGAAATAGTAATCATGGCTCGCCAGCGCGGCACGGCGCACACTCGGAGCGGCGGGAAAAAGCAATTCGGGTCGAGCGAGAGCCAATCCCGAGGGCCTCTCCCCTGCCGGCGGACCTTCTACGGTTCTTCTAGAACAACATGCCGCGCCGCCCCTACCCGAACCACACCCGGCTGATGATTGCTTTCTCTTTTGCTTTTTTGACTTTCCGTCGCCCAAAAACGCAAAATTAAACCTTGCCACGACCTTGGGGGCCGCATATTGTGCCCCTCACGCACACACAGCCCCTCTCAAACCCGCCGATTGCATGCGTTAGCTCCATGGCGTCGTTAACGCCCGTCTTCCAGAAGGGTGCCTGGCGTGCCGCTGCATCGAAGCTGAGATCGAAAGAAAAAGGAAGGCGTGGGCGTCCGATGACAGATAATGCCAGCCCAGGGGCGCCAGCGCCAACGCCAGCGCCAGCGCCAGCGAACCGTCCCACAGCCGCCCAATCTACTGCAGTGGACAAGCCACAAGTACCTTTCTGCACAGATGCCGCTCACATCCGAGCGTCGTGTTTTTTTGCCCTCGGCCGTTCCCCTCTCCCCACCGTCAGCCAGTCTTTCGTCAGCCCTACGTGCCGTGATGATGATGTGACGCGCAAGCATTGCAGAATCTTCCCCTCTTTTTTTTTTTCTTTTCTTCCCGTGTGCCTGTCCTTGTGACACGCGTTCGGCCAGGTAGGAGTGACACATACATGCAGCAAAACGGCGCTGCACCGAAGCTTCTAGGGTGGCACCCGAACCAGAAGGAGAAAATGCACCAGCTGCAGGATCGCCACAGCCAGCTGCATGTTGCCCCATTCTTTTTGTTCTCGAATCCACCATCATATCTTTCTCTCTGGTTCCAGCAGAAAACCACCGCTGGCGCTGGAATGAGCCGTAGTACACTCGTCGTCAGAACAATGACGTCTGCGGTAGCGTACATTTGACGCCGTGGCGCTACGCTCAGGTCTCTTTGACGATAGGTATTGATAAGCCTGCGCACGGGCCCCTGGCTTGGGGAAGAGGGGGCTTGGCCTTGGCTCGCCGCCAAAGGGCCTTAGGCGATAATCCGTCTCCATCTCACCGTGCGGTTTGTCATCGATCTCTATCTCATGAGGTTGTCATCGATTTAGCTTCCCCTGCTAATAATCTCCGTACCTACCTCATCGGTAGTCAGATCGCCAGATTGTCAGATCTATCTCGCTTTTTTCCTTTTTTTAGCGTCAAAAATAACTCGACTGCAGTTCCCCGTGCCCCGTATTCCCCTTTCGCTATATTCGTCACGAGGTCCGAAACTGCCAAAATACTGGGCGGAACGGGACAACGGGGCTATAATCCTCAACCGCCAAAGGTGCGAGCAACGGCTCGTTCCATCACCCGAAGCGGGGACGAATGAACGAGCACTGCTCGGGGGGAAAGGAAGAGGGGGGAGTGGGACTAGAAAGACACTAGAAATGAAGATGCGCTAGTGGTATCCTGCATATGGCAATGAGGAGATGCGGCGGTGGTGTGTGAACGGGTGACTAGAACAACACTAGAAACAAGGAGGAGAATAAGAAAATGCAAGGAAGGGAGCCAACATTCCTTCTTCCACCAAATGACCACCACAAAGCCCTTCGCTATCGTCCGTTATGGCAAACACTCGCAGCGAGTTGGCCACAGCAAGCAAGCCACGTATGTACTACGCCCCCCGTAGCTTGCGCCTCTTGTCTACGAGGCTTGACGGACCCCTGCACAATGGGCATTTTCTTTTTCCTTCTCGAAGATCCGGCCAAATTCGATGCATGATTCCACAGCGAATCGAAAGATTAAGGATTCAGGATAGTCCGTTAGTAGCGGGTAGTTCCCCCACATTCCGAAGGATTACGGCAGGGGACAGCCACCACCGACCGTTCGTTCGCTCAATACAAGACACACACCGATCATCCCGTGTGATAAGGTTTGGTTAAGCACGACCAAAGCAGGGCCACAACGTAGAATGCTGCATCGAACGCACGGGACCAGCCACGGTCCCTAAGCCACCAAACATACCTCGGCCCCACACGCCTCCCCTCCGTCCAAACCCTCCAAGGGACGGACGGCATTAATCGACGACGATAGACCATTCCGTGCGTTTTCTAGCGCGAGGGCGTACGGGCGGGCGGGGAGCGGTCGGCCGGTTCGTCGGCGCCGGGCTGAACGATTACGCGGGATGTATCTCGATTGTTCCTCCTTCCTTCTGTCCCTGCCCCACTCTCATATGAAGGGGACATGTACGTGTCTTATCTCCATCTCCATCGATGCTTGTATGTAGACGGCGGACGAGGCCGACTCTCCGAAGTGACCCCTGCCATTAATTTTTTTTTGTTTTTTCGGCTTGCCTAAAAAAGGTAGAATACGTGTCTCTATCTAACATGCATCGCCTATTCCCATTCACGAGCAACCTGCATCGTAGGGCGTATGTGCTGGTTGACTGACCGGCCGAGACAGATGCTACCATCCACGGGCCAGTGGTGCTCAGGTGGGGTGGGGGTGGGTGCACGTGGATAACGCCCACGAATGAGACGGTGCAGGGATGCAGGCCACAATCGAAACAATAGTAGTGCGCCTCTCTCCCACCACCGTCACCACACCCTCCACGGACATGAGCGCAGCAAATAATGGCAAGGAAGATGATAACACTGCCACGCGACACGAGGCCAAGAAGAAGAAAAAAACGTGCTGCTGACGCGCAGCACACGAGATGGCTTCATCTACTTTAGCACATGGCAAAGACAGGCATTGTTATTAGATACATGTTGGTGGTATCCTTGTAGCGCGCCGATCATCGCCCGTTGTGGCGTGGGGAGAGGGGAAAGACTCGGAGCTAGAAGCAACTAGTTAGTTGCGACGTCGGAGCGGGGGTGAGCGGGTTGTGACGGATGAAGGGACCTAGGCAGGGTGGGGGGATGATGCGGCGGGGGTTTTTTTTCTTTTTTTTTTCTGGCGCTTGGGGGCGGGAAGGAACGAAGGAGAAGAATGGAAGGAAGGGAGAAGAGGGGTAGGTAGGTTAATAGTGGGGCCATTCGAAGAGTCGAAGACGGAGCCTAAGGAAGAAGAAGGTTTGACGGCGGTAAGTTGCAGGGACCTAACCACGCGACGACGACGAGACACAGAGAGGGCCCGCCAACCCGGCTGCCAGCTGCTGCAGCAGCACCATGATGTTGTCTTCGACTCGAGATCCCAAAATTGCGGTGTGCAAATCTACCAATCTTCCTCAAGTGCTGCAGATTGTGGCAATCCGACCCTTGTCTGAGACACGCATGGGAAGTGCGAAATTCAGGAAGCAGCTTTCTGTTTTTAGCCAACCACAGCACTGCGGCACACGCGCGTCGATCATCAGAAAACCGCTAATTTGCTAATGCGAAAAACCGTTCCCGCTACTCTATATGCAGATCCCGTGTTTCTCTCCAATCCCATTCTTTACCGAACCGATACGTCATCTCCAATGTGTGTACATGAGTCGTGATTCCCAGACAAAGTGGAAAAAAAGAAACATCGAAGAAACATCGTAGCAGCGCCGAAGGAAGAACACCCCGCCCAGTTGCCCCCGGGCCCATGCACATGCAACTTTTCATCGTGATAGCCGTGATCCTCGTGGCCCCCTCCTAACAACGCCAGCAAAGCAATGCACCAAACAACGCCGCCCAAAAATGCCATCCAACTAAACGTAGTCCCTTAGTCTTCCACCCAGGCCGGCTGGTTCGGGTTGTCGGCAAGCCAGCTGCTGACCGGTGTCCCTGTTGCGCTCACCGCCGATGCCACGCTCGCTGCACACCTGGCCTGCTGCACGGGCGTCGCGACTGCGCTGCGTACACTGCCATCATCCGCAGTCCAGCTGGGCATGCCCGCCAGGTAGCTGGCGTTGGAGCCGCTCATCGGCCAACTCGTCGCCGGGTTGCTGACCGGTGGCATGCGCGGCGTCGAATTAAAGCTTTCGCTTGATGGCGGGCTGTTCAACGGCCAGCCAACCACAGGGAGAGAAGAAGCAACGGCGTCGAAAACACCCGCCGGGAGATATTGGTCCTCAAGACCAAACCAGTCGAGGCTGCTGCCTGCCCACGACATTGGAATCTCCGACGGATGCGACGACGGCGGCGGCCAGCTCATGGTCGCGTCGACGGGCGACACCGTTTGTGAGGTCGTGAAGCTGCCGTTGCTGAGTGTTGTGTTGATCGAGGGGTTGCGCTTGGCGTGCGCATGCATGACGCGCGCTTCGCGATCCTTGAACTTCTTGAGCATGTGAGCAAGCCCGCGCGCAGTGTGCGTTGAGACGTGGCGATCGCCCGCCTTAGCGTCGCTCAGTAGCTTGATGACGCGCTCGACCAGGTCGACGATCAACCCAAAGTTCGTGTTGAGCTGAGCTGACCGCCAATTGCTGTGCACCTTCATGAGGAACACGGTCGAGAAGGTGATGGTGGTCGACAGATAGAGCGGAACACCGACAATGGCCTTGCGGATGTCGGGCTCGTCCAGCACAAAGCTGAGGCAAGTCGTGGCATTCTCAATGGCCATGTTGATGAACTCGCGGCGAGGGTCGTGGAGGGCGAGGGTAGAGAGGCCGCGAAGGCAGATGGCATTGAGCTGCAGCTTGGCAAAGCTCAGGTGCAGGGTGCACCCCTTGGCGGGGTAGGTGTCGATGTACGGGTTGGGGGCTGAGAGCTCTGTTAGCTTGGTGCTAGTGCGACGCGTACGCGAACCGGACTTACCCAGACGAGCTTCCCAGGTGCTCTTCCACTCGTCAAGATTGGCGTTGAACGCCCGAATGGCCGACAGGTCATCCATGGTAATGGGCCTGTCGCTGTCGTGTCCAAACTTGTTGAAGACCCTACTCAGGATCTTGAAGACGCCCACCTGGGACTGCAGGCGCAGATCGGCGTTGGTGATGGTAGGGAGGCTGAGGAACCTCTCGTGATCGGCGACCGACTCGTCCTCGTGGATGACGGGCGGTCTGTTGTAGGCCAGGGAGAAGTGGTGGTCGCACACGTAGAGGAGATACCACAGGCGGGCACGCTCAATGGCATCGATGGAACCCATGGTGGCCTTGGAGAAGGCCGTGTGCAGGTGCATCTCGGTAGCCATGCGCACGGCGTGACCGGAGAGCTTCCAGCTCACCTCGGAGAGATAGAAAGCGCCAATGCAGAGGGCACGGACGTCGTCCAGGGAATGATGTCTCTCGAACATGGACTCGGAGACGAGGGCAAGGAACTCGTTGTAGCAGACGTCGAGGACCTGCTCGGCATCGGGCACGTGCAGAGCAGTGACGGAGAGGATGGCGGTAAGGAGGAGCGGAGATGACTCCCTGACGGATTGCAGGTTGTCGTGGACGAGGGCAACGCCGCCCCAGATGTACTGGTTCAGCGAGGCGTTGAAGCGGGCGAAGAAGTCCTCGGCCTGGGCCTCGGAGATCTTGCCTTGCGAGATGATGTCAGAGGCCATGGGATTCCGTCTTGAGCCGTCGAGGCGTTCAGAGTTGTGGCTGCGGAGGTTCTTGAGCTTGGTGACCTCGAAAAGCGAGGCCATGGGGCCGGACGTCATAGCGCCCTCGTCGGGCTCCTCTTTGCCTGGCGGTTCGGGTGAGTTGTCTCTGGTCATGTTCATGCCCGGCACGTTGCGGGTCCGGGGTGACTGGTACTCTGAATGGGGAGGCGTGGGACCTGAAGAGGCGGCCGTGGTCTGGGGAGTCACCTTGGCCATGGCGGGGGATGCAGAGTCGTTCCTGGATTGCACGCCAGACCACGACTCAAGGTTAGGCAGGTTGTTGCGGTGGAGCAGGTCCGAGACAGCGTGGTGCAGCTGCTCGTACTTGACCTCCATGGTCCTCTTCCACCTGGAGAGCAGTTAGCGGGGATGATTGCGGGGTGCAGCAGGGAGGAGCATACTCATTCTCGTCATCCAGCAGCGTCTGCAAGCTCTTGTTGATGACGCACTTGAGGCCGAGGCGGCGGCAGCGCGCGCACGGGTTGCTGCCGCCATTGCTGCCCTCGGCGATGTCGCACTTGACCTTGCGGCTCTGGCATTCCTTGCCTGGGCGGGGCGTGAGCTTCGGCGGGGTAGCGCAGGAGGTGGTGGTGACTTACAGGCGCGGATCTTGCGCGAGATCTTGGGCGTGTGCTCCGGCGTCGAGGTCGACAGGGCTTGCGACTGCGGCGGATGCGGGGCATGGGGCCGGTCGGCGGGCAGCGGCGAGGCGCCGGCTGGCAGGTCGTTCATCTGGGCGAAGGTGCGCTTCATGGTGTCGGGAAGACTCCGCGCGGAGGTGCAAGGCCCCACAGGGCGAGTCACGTTGGCAAGTGGGTGAGAGAGGAGAGCTGCTGAGCGTTGGGCGCAGGTTGCGTTCAGCGTGAAGACATGTGGGGATGGTGGGGAAGGCGTGAGAGAGAGGGAGGCGAGCGTTCGGCGCTTCTTTAATATCAATGTCAGATAGTCGTGGTTTGGAGGACTCCCTGCGCTTGCGTCTTCCCAGCACGCGGCCGAAAGGGACGCCGAGGCGCCACACCGCCTGCCAGCCAGCGACAGGGACCGCACGCGACGGCGACACCACCCGCGCCAGGTTCGCGCAGCCGCACATCTCGACCCAGCCCCGATCCATGCCTGCCCTGCCTCAGCCGCCTCTCAGCTCGGTGCTGCGCGAGCTGATGCCGCTGCAGGCGAAGGAGCCGCCACGCCCGCATCCTCGCCAAAGCCTCGCGTCGAGGCTCTGCGACCAGTCGGTCCGTCTCTACCTTTGGCTTTGCAGCTCTATATTGCCCTCCCAATTGTCTCATCCCCACGTGCCCAGCAACCTGCACCATGTCCGCCACCGCATTTCCGCGCCTAGCACCAAGCGCCCGCCGCGAAGAGCCCTGAAACCAACGCACTGCTGCATCGCCGGAACGCTGCCGGGGGTCATAGCGACGGATCATCCTGGGTACCACGGTTCCGGGGAAAACGTTTTCCTTGCAGATTTGGCTCTTCTAGAAGCATGTGAAGCGCCGCCTGCCGCACGTGGTGGCAACGGGAAAGCAGGAGTTGTCCTTACACATGCATCCGTGGCGCACGGCACACGTGGAGGAAACATCTCACCGACGTAGACCCGCCAATCTGTGGTGTTGAAGCTGCTGCTGCTACTGCACAACCACGGCCTGGCCGACCACCCCCCATCGTGCTAGCAGCGCCAGGTGCACAATTTTCACAACTTCGCCTCCTCGTGTCCTGCATGCTTAGCATAGCACTGTTCCTGTCACACTTTCAAGCGCGAACTCTATCTCTCCTAGTCAGGAGTAGCCGTGGCGATGACGAAGAACTCCCTTTTGGCATCCTTTGCCGCCGTGGGAAAACCCATGCGGTAGGGCTGGCGACGTCGAGGAGAAGCGAGCCCGCGCGGGAAGCGCAGACAATGATCCCCGCCGAGACTCGGCCTGCACCGATGCCCCTGCAGTCGATCTGCAATTCATCCAGCAATCAGTGCCGGAAACACTTCCGCAAGCCTCGGGGGCATCCGAGCCTCCTGGCTGCGCTCCGCCCGCATAACTCGGACACTTTATGGACCTGTCTCGGGCCTGAATCAGCACAATGTCGCGGATCCAGCGGATGGCAGGCGAAACGAAATATCACTCATCACGCGAGGCGAAGGGAACAGCGCAGCGCGCTCCTTCAATCTGAACGCATTTTCTTCGAAGCGTCCACAGCCAATCCTTCGCGATGACGTTGAACCGCTGCATAAGACAGATCATCTTGTTCCGCGACTCGCTTCACCTGCCGGCCGTGACTCGCGGAGACCCGCTCCTGCGCGCGATGACGGTCCCTGCTGCAACACCTGCGCCGCACCGAACAACAGAGAGACGTTAAGCGGCCGTTGAAAGGCTCCACTCCGGAGCTCAGCACGGTCGTTGGATCCAACCGCCGCCGTCCTCGACAGGCGCCTCTCCCGCCGCCTGACCTTCGCCCGGCAATGGTTTGTGGGTGTAGTCACGGCCGCCTGGATGCGGTATGGCGCTCAGGATCTCTTCTTCCGCACACGGTTACGTACCGGCTTGCTGGAGTACCTTCGTACCTCTCGGTGCGGCCCGTGGTTGGTTGGCATTCTGACTCGCCGTGCTTGTGCTGGCAAGCCAGCCGGGGGCGGGCTGAACCAGATCAGATGATCGGCACGCCTTCCTCTCGTCCAAAGGCGGGATGACATCTGTGGCCCGTCGGCTCGGTTTGCCAGCCATTCTGGTGTTGCTGGAGACGTCACACGCGGGCCATCGGTCGACTGTGAAATTTTTCTTGGTCACAGAAGTATTAGAAGCCCCGCGCGTCCGCCCACGACTCGTGGGCGTTTGTTCAAATTTTTGCGATCTCACAACATCTCCTGATAGGCGCTACTGCCTTCCAACCGGATGGATCAAGACGCCTGAATCGGTTTGGGGCGTTATCCGACGGTTGGTTTTCGTCTGTCTGAGACTTCGGAGCGGAAATGCATCTCATTGACTCAAGTTGTGCGGGATCCGACACAACTGTATCAAAGGGCTGCTGAAGTGTGAATAGGGTTTAACTCCGGAAATGCACCCTGTCACCGTCCTCTGATTCGATCTCCTGCCGATTTTCGCGATCCTGTTGCGTCACGACGCGTCCGTCACTGGTCCGGAATATACTTTTTAGGCAGGGTCCTAGAATTTGAACTGGTCACCGGTATTCCGGGTTGCCGCTTGGGAGTCCACTTGGCGAACCCGGCTTACTCGACACCGCATTCTCCCTCGAATTGCCCAGTCCGGGATGGCAGTACGGATTCCTGTACCAATCACGATGTCGCTTACGGCTGAAGTTCCACAAACGCCATGCCTCCCCCCTTGGGCCTAGGCCGAACCGTATCGGGTTACACGTCTCATCGTACTCTGGCGGCGAACATCATGAGTCGCGACACCAAGCTTTCGCTACACATAGACGCTTTCGGCACACATGCACGCGTCCCGATCGATGTTCACGACGGATACATTCAAGCCACCCTCCACCCAGTTCCTGCGCATCGATGCACCTACGTCACGGAAAGGTTCCCCAGCCCAGCACTACATCGAGATTCGATGAGAAGATGCCTGCGACGCGTCATGCAAGGCGTACCCGGAGGCCTGCCAAGTTTGGGGTAGCCGTCGCTTGAGGGTTGGATAATGTGTTAGCCGGATGTTGTGCTACCACTCGTATGCAGATTGCGGCCTCCCTCTGAAACGTCCGAGCTTTATTCCTCGGCGGCTCGTCTTGCGTCACACGAACGTTTCCGCTCACGAAGATATATCGGCGTGGTTTTCCATTCGTTAAATCCTTCGCGAGCAACTATCCAGGGGGGGTTGTTGGTCCTCTCTCGACACTCCGAAAATCAAAGTGCGGCAAGCCGTGACGCGCGCGTCCGATCGGCATGATATTCCGCACGAGGAGCCCTGGCGTTACGGATCGCATGAACCGACGGACCTGTATTGCGAGCAAGCTTGTTGTGCCGCCAGCCCAGAACCCTGTGGGGCTCGGCAGCTCGTCCTATACGTCGCCCCCATACGAAGGATGCGAACTGACAAGTGCGGAGAAACAGAGAGACCCTGAAAATAGCCGGCTGAATTTCGCATCGTCAGGCCGTCCACGGAGTTGCATCATAACTGACAAAACTCTCCTGATTGTTGATAATACTAATCAGTGTTGATGCCAGGTAGTCGCTAACGGCGCGTTCCGGAGATGGATCCTCGTTCCGCTCCTTTTTCTAACTACCCAAAGAGAGAGTCAGGACCGCTCCGCACCCCCACCTTCTGAGTCGTGATGCGGATACGTCATGCCGCGATTTTTCAAACCTTCACCAGCCACGCAGCTTTATATCCGGAGGGTTATTCGGTCTCGATTCGAGGACTTTTTTGTTTTGAATCATGACGATCGTCAGTGTCTCGATTCGACCTGATAAAGGCTAGCAGTCCCCCTCTACTCGAACCGACCGAGCGATTTTGCAAGTGATGATCGTCTCCCTTTCGTGTCTGACGACGAATATCTGGTGAGTGGGTTGCGGAACCGCGTCATCATCACGACTCAGTAAGTACGCCGAGGCAAACGTCACACAGTCGTGTGCCATCCCTTAGGTGTTCTATTGGTGTAGACTTTGTCGCAAGAGATGATGTAGGTGGCTGATCAGTCGGTGCTGAACTTACACGGCGTGGACGAAGAGAGGTTCTCGTTATGTAAAGAGCAGGGAAATGGGCATTTTCTTCACAATGTGGGGTAGTGGGTTAGAGCAGAGGTGCAAGAGCCCGCTGATGAACGACGACATGGAGATGGAGGTAGTGACCGAGGCAAGAACAGTATACCGGGTTTAAAGTCGCGACGTGTCGCAACCGGCATCTCTTGGCAACGCAAACAAAGTCTTCACACAACACTTTACAGTATACGTTATACGGCGAACTCTTGACATACGGAAGAAGCGTCCTTTGAGCCCGCGTCTGATAATAATTCTGCTCACGCTGTATGCTCACGCGACCTTTGCCTACAGTTTTGCTTGTACAGCGGTAAGTGGCCAGCTTTTAGTCTGTGCTTTGAACAGCAGCGTTACTGCCACCTCAACTCAATAGAACCGTATCAGGCGTTCCATGCCAGCATTCAGCAAGCGAGTCAAATTATAAGCTACTACGTCTCGGTATCCATTTTTCAAATTTTTTTCTCGCGTCACTTTGAAGTTTGTTGGCGAAATAAGGCTTGCTCCGCGACCGCGGTCAAGAACGACCAAGATGAATATACAGCTTGCTTTTAAGACCTCCTATTTACTATTCCTTTGATCTACCTCGTTCCAGCTTCACAAATATTTTCACAGTGTCTGACTATGAAATAATGCAAGCCTACCAAGCATAATTGCAGCCTCAAGACTTACCTAAACGGGAAAAACCCTCAATCGCTTACACAACGGCTGTTTCCAGTGGCAGCATGGCATTAGTGGAATTCTGCAACACCATTCTCCACAGTGTAACAAGCCATCGTGAGAGAAATCAAGCCGCGTACCGTACGTCGACGGTAAAGCACACCATACCATCTCAGGAATCTATCCGCACGCCATCAGCGCAAGGCGTCCAACTAAACAGCCAAAAACCCCACCAGCGTTGCTGTAGAGAGCTCCACAATGGTCTAGCCCGGCAACCACTCTGCTTCCCCTCAGTTATTACCAGGGAAGGGACCCACTGTAATCCCGTTTTCGTCTTGTGATCATCAACCACCCTCCAGCTGCTACTCTGTATGTCATCTCACGAGATCGTCCGTTCCTAATCCTCCTCCTCCTTCTCCTCCACATCGTCCGAATAGATTGTGTTCTAGCCACTCTCTTTGCCCCCGCACCCACGCTAACTAAGAACGGCCCGCGCGATGACGGCAGAGTTCTAGACGTTCCCCTTCCCGATTGCGCGCGATCGACCAATGCGAGGCGCAGGATGTGCAAGACACGGGTCGGGAGGGCGGCACCAGCGCAAGGACGAGCGGGCGGTAGGATCCACCCATAAATGACCCTTGTGGATCCCCTTCAAGCGGCTGACGACGGGCTGGTGCTTGCTTGAGATGGAAAGGGCCGGCAAGGGAGCGTTGGAGAACCACCGTCGGTCGAGACCAAAAATCGGTCGATTGCGGCGAAAATGCACCAACACCAGCATCCGTGCTGCAGGATGGAGCGACGAGAGGAGGCAAGATGATGCGCGCTCTCGGAGACGCGCGTTGGATGTTGGAGCGGTCGGAGTAAAGCTAACGCGCTTTCCGTCACCGTCGTCATAGACGGCCGTGTAGCTGCTGTGGACCCCTTGCATTTCTACGTCCTGTTGCTTGGGAACGCATGCACGGGAAGTCGGAGGCGTTTCCGCGGCTGTGGCTTGTTTTTTTTTGACAGACCCCACTCAGGCCATTCCCCCCTTCGGAGGATTGAACAGCTATAACGAAATAGCTCGTCCGCACTAGATGAAGGTCAACTTTCTCGCTTTATCCCGTGAACGATGGCACCGGACACGACGCTGAATTTCTGACGGGCGTTAGTCGTCCTGTAGCCTGGTTACCCCGAAGGATACGCCAAGGAGCGCGATGATGCAACGGGACGACGTAGCCCTCTCTCCTTTCCTTTCGTCTTCGGCATTGGGCGAGGAACGAAACCGGCGTTAGGATATAGCGGTGTCAACCAAACAGTTGGCTCGAGGCTGTCAGCGCTGTTTTAGACACGGTCGCAAAACGAGACGCAAGCCGGCCCATGCGCTGAAAAAAGTAAGCCCGGTAGGGCACAGTAGGAGTCATGGTGGTGGTACTGCGCCGCACAGGTGGCGAGGATCGCAGGTGGGGCTCGCTGTTTTCGGCAGTCGATGCAAGTGCCGTGGTGCGTTGGGATGTTGCACGTTCTGCGTCGGGTTGGATGCAGGCCAATGAAGGGGTGTCGCACAGGGTCTCATGGGGTTGCGAGGGTGCAGATCTGTCATCTATCTGATGGCGAGCGTTGTTGCGCAGGGTCGGGTCTGTTGCAGGCACATCTTCGTCGAGAGCGGGTTGCTGCTTGCAGGCGCGGGACAAGAGCTGGACATGTATTTCAATGGCTGGCTGCCGGCAATTGTTGGGGCTCAATCGGCAGATAATGTGGGGAAGGAAGGTTTGGCGCGTCTGGGGAAAGAAATTGGGTCTGGCAATGACCTCGGTCGCCACGGCTATTGAGTCGACTGCCGTGCTGGACCCTTAGCTGCCGCCGAGCTAGCACCCAAGTGCCGATCGCCTTAAGTGCGCGAGCCCGGCACTTTCACCATCCCTCCTGCCCTCTCGAGAACATCTCCTCTTCTCTTGTCGACGTGCAAACGACGCGCCCGAACCCAGTCGCCAGTCAATTCGCCGCACGCGTTACACAAACATGGCCGCCGCCGCCTTAGGTATGCGCTTGAGCTTAGGAACAATCCTCGCCTACTTTTACGCTGACCGGCTCCTACAGCTCCCGTCGCTGCGGCCGCCGTGGCCGGCGCGTCAACTGCCGCCATGTACCTCGATGCCAAATTCCACATTTCCAAGGATCTCCGTTACATGCGAACCGTGAAGCGCGAGATCGGCGAGTTCCAAAAGAAAGGTGAGTCGCTGCAATCAGCATAATGCAACCATCACCCACCGTTCCCGCCTCTCCCTCAACGCCAATCACCGCTGCCGGAACCTGTGCTTCGATCCACGCCTACCCGTTCCCAACCCGAACATCGTGGGACCAAAGACCCAGGCTAACGCGAGCCCCCCTCAATTCGCCGATCTCCACAGCCCAGACGAATCGAAATTCGCTCTGGTACAACTTCGAAGCGCAGGTTGAGCGGCTGCCGGCGACGGAGCCATGCCTGTGGTCGCGCGACGGCGGCACCCACACCTGGCGCGACACGCACGCTCAAGCCTGCCGCTACACCGCCTTCCTGCGCGACGCCGGTGTGCGGCCCGGCACGCTCGTCGCCTTCTACCTGCAGAATAGCGCCGACTTCGTCTTCGCCGTTCTCGGATCGTGGGGCACCGGCTCGGCGCCCGCCCTCATCAACTACAACCTTGGCGGGCAGGGCCTGCTACATTGCCTGCGCATCAGCGGCGCGCAGGTTCTACTGGTCGACTCGGATGAGGGCTGCCGGCAGCGCATCGAGGAGGTCAAGGCCGAGATCGAGGGCGAGCTGGGTATGACGATCGTGGTCGTGGACGAGGAGACGAAGGCGAAGATCGCAGCGAGGGACCCGAAGAGGCCGGAGGATGCGTTGAGGGAGGGCGTCAAGCCGACCGATCCGATGTGTCTGATGTACACGAGGTGCGTAAGTTGGACGGTTGATGTGCTCTGGCTTATTTTTTTTCTATTTATCCGGAGCTGGTGCCCAATTGGGAAAGGACCGGGGCCCCGCCTTTTCATCCTTCCCTCCCCATCTCGTGATATTCATCCGAATCCCTGGGGAAAATATATGGGGCTTGGCTGACCTCTTTTTCTTTTTCTCTGCAGTGGATCGACTGGTCTGCCCAAGGCATGTCCATTCCCTAATGGCAACGCGTGGGCCATTACGAACACGCGTATTGACGCTTGCGGTCTCAAACCAGGCCCCAATGGCGACAGATGGTACGACTGCATGCCGCTGTATCACGGCACTGGTTACACTGTTGCTGTATCCTGCCTTACCACTGGTGTTACCCTTTGTATCGGCAAGAAGTTCTCCACTACCAACTTCTGGAAAGACGTGAGGGATAGTGAGGCCACCGCTTTTGTCTACGTCGGCGAGACCGCAAGATACCTCCTTGCAGCTCCTCCCTCACCCCTCGACAAGCAGCATCGTGCCAGGGTCATGTTCGGCAATGGTCTGCGCCCCGATGTGTGGAAGAAGTTTAGCGAGCGCTTTGGCATTGAGACCGTCTGTGAATTTTTCAACAGCACGGAAGGCACTTTCGGATTGATGAATATTTCCAAAGGTAGGTCGACCACCCTTTGGGAGTCCTTACTATCAGACTCCTCCTGTCGTTGAGTATTTTCACCTTCGTGTGCTAATTGTCTCGCAGGAGAGTTCACACAAGGCGCTGTTGGTCACCACGGAGCACTCTTTCGATGGCAGCTACGCAACACATACGTCCCTGTAGAAATAGATCACGAGACGGGTGATATGTACAGAGACCCCAAGACTGGTTTCGCAAGACGGAAATCTCTTGAGGAGGGCGGCGAAATTCTTGTCCAGATTCCATCAGAGGCTGCCTTTGTTGGGTACGTATCTGTAACTATTCCACCGAAAAGGTCGTCCGACAGCATGCTAATCTACTTCCAGGTATTGGAAGAACCCTGAAGCAACAAGCAAGAAGTTCGCGCGTGATGTCTTCCGAAAAGGAGATCTCTACTACCGCACGGGCGACGCCCTCCGCCGCACCTCGGATGGACGCTGGTATTTCATGGACCGGCTAGGCGACACTTTCCGGTGGAAATCTGAGAACGTGTCCACGGCCGAGGTTGCTGAGGCGCTCGGCCGCTACCCGGGCGTCCTTGAGGCCATCGTCTACGGCGTCGAGGTGCCTGGTCACGACGGCCGCGCCGGCTGCGCTGCTCTCCACCTCCCGCCGGAGTCCCGCTCTTCGCCTCAGTTCTACGATGCGCTTCTGGCGTACGCCCGCAAGACCTTGCCCAAGTACGCAGTGCCGGTTTTCCTACGCATCACTGCCAATATGCAACCCATGCATAACAACAAGCAGAACAAGACGCCACTCAAGAAGGAGGGCATCGACGTGAAGAAGATCGCCGAGGGAGAGATGAGCAAAGACAAGATCCTGTGGCTTCCTGAATCATTGAATATCAAGGACAGGGGCAAGGGCTATGTCGAGTTCACGGAGGCAGATCTGGAAGCACTCAAGGCAGCAGCTGCCTCGCATACTCACCAGGAGACGGCGCGGCTGTAGATATTTTTCGTTGCTAGAGGGGGCGGAGACAGTGTAGATGTTCGCACAGTCAGCTGTTGATGACCTGCTTGGGCAATGGCGTTTGATGGGTGTTTTTTTTTTTCTTCCTGTGGGACTGGGAATGGATCAGAAGTGTAGAGTCGGGATCTACGCCATTATGCTGTTGTTTTGTTTCAAATGATTTTGATGTACAAACGCAGGACTCATGTACAAATCAGACCAACACTTCCCAAGAAGGATCGCTATTAAAATTTACTACGCTGAGGTAAAACTCATCTAATTCTTCGCCTTCTTTTCCTTCTCCCTCTTCTCTAGCATCTGCTTGACAAACTCCGGCATCTGCCCCTTCCCTTGACTCGCACCCGCGCCGGCACCCGCGGGAGCATTCGCCCCGGCATCGCCACCCATCAGCTTCTGCATCATGCCCATCACAGCCTCCAACTTCCCGCCCTTGATCGGCCTCTTCTTCCTCGCCTTCTCGCAGATCGCCGGCGGCTCCACATCCTCCTCCAACCCATCATCGCCCGCCTCGTCATCAAACACCATCCGCCCCACAACCTGATACTTCCCACTGCTCGCGAAGAACCCCACCCACTTCGCCAGCGCCCGCTCGACGGCCTGCTCCGCCTCGACGGCATCGGCCTCGCGCCGCCTTTCCCTCTCGTCATCATCCACGCGCCCGAACCGCGCCAGCGCCGCCTGCGCCTGCTTGCGCAGCTTGTCCGGCAGCGTCGTGCCCGCGGGGATGCTGGCGGCCGGGAACAGCGCGGCGGCGTCGTCGTTGACGGGGCGGCCGTCGGCCGCGTCCTGCAGCGCCTCGTCCAGCCAGAGCGGGCGGAACATGGCGTCCGCCACGCCGGCCAGCGTGTGCGTGAGTTGTGAAGAAACGAAGGCTTCGTCGGCCAGCTCGGCCGCCGTCAGGCCCGTCGAGCCGAAGCATTCTGTCACCCAGGCGCGCGTCGCGTCGCGCCCCGCGAAGTGCCCGTAAGGGCCTGAGGGCCCGTAGAAGGTGGGGCTGGCGGAGACGTCGTAGACGGTGCCGTTGATGGAGATGTAGATCGGGGTGTCGGGGTCGGCGCCGGTGTAGGCGGAGAGGGTGGACGGGGTGAAGGTGCGGAGGTTGTTGTTGTTGTCGGCAGTGGTGGTGTCTGAGGAGGACGAGGCGGGCTTCGCGTTGGAGGCGGCGACGGAGGCGGAGAGCTCTTCGAGGTGCTGGAACGGGTCGAGGAAGTGGATGGCCACGCCGATGGCGACGGCGGTCAGGGTTAGGATCGAGCCGACCGCGAGCGCGATGTTGAGGATGCCGACATCGTAGCCGGCCGCGGGTGGTGGGGGGTCGCTGTCGCTTCTGGCTTTCTTCTTCTTCTTGGAGTCGTCGGAAGTGGCGGCGGCGGCGGGAGTTGCGGGTGGTGGCTCGTTGGCGGTGGTGTCGGACGAGGCATTGGCCTTCCGCTGGCGTACCTCTGCCATTGTAGCAGGGTGGTGGTAGGTTTGGAATTTCACCTACGTTGCGCAGGAGTCTTGGATAGGGGCAAAAGGCGACGTTGAGAAAGTGGCCATGTGTGTTAATTGTTGTTACGGGGCCGTTGCGGGGAGCTTTGACCAACGTCTTTTGCGCGACTCGCTGTTGGTTGGAGGCCAGCCTCGTGCCTGATCCCCGCATTCTGGCTGGCGATCGCCAGCGAGCACCGCCTCTTTACATTCCTTTGGCGTCGTTAGTACAAGGCGCAGCGGTGTGATAGCCACATCCTTCGCGCTTTGTTTATTCCTTTCCTTTCAGATTATATAGCTAGCTCCAGCCTGGTAAATTTCCCTTTTGGACAACCACGACAGTTACACACTATATCGCCACCCGGAGATTCAAACACACTCGTCCATCATGCCTGACTCTGGCAGCAGCGTATCCACATCAACAGCCAACCCCGCATCGCAATCCCGATTCAAGTCCGTCTTCGCCTCTTCTCACTCCAAACCAAGTACAGACGAGAAGCCGAAATCAGCGGCGCCGAAACCAGAATGGATGGATGCTTCCCTGCCAGACAAAGAGAGATGGAAGAAGTGGGAGAAAGAGCGTGACCGACAGTTTTATGGGAAAGGGTGGGCATTTGCATTCAAGACGTATTTAGCTCTTATTATCGCTAATGTGTGAGCAGAGGAACCGCCGGTTACTTCAGTGGTTTTTACAGGGGCAGCAAGGCCTGGTGGGTGGGCATTTTGGGATCCTGGACAACTTGAACGGAGCGGATTTGGTGCGAGCTTTTCAGCAAATTTTGATACCCCTTGTTCTTAGCCTCTCTTTCTTTAGTACCCAAGAATTCTTGTAAGAAATACATACTGCCAGGAAAAACTTCTTTCAAAGAAAAATACTTGATTAAGGCGGCTGGCTCAATAATTCCAATAAGTGTATGCATTGGTAAGCGTCCTTTTGCTGAGGGTAAATTCGTATCTTAAGTTTTTATATAACTGCTTAACCAGATATCTTTCCTGGATTTCATCCATTCAACCAAGTGGACCACACTCGGAGATGGCGATACGGACGAAGAAAAAGAAATAGAGCGCGGTACATTAAAAGACAAAAAAGCAACCGTAGGATCGTCACGCCTTTCCACAATCCGCCAGCTGACCCCAAACTCAGTGCAGGAACCGAAGTATGACACTTAGCTAGAATCGAACTCTTGGACTGCTTCGGGCGTTCACCTAAACGGGCAACCCACAGATCACAAACCCTCGGGTTTAACGCCTTTAAGGTTCTGGTGACAAGGCATAGTGCCGTAGCATACTCCGTTGCGCTAACCATCTGTAATCGAAGCGTTCGGTTTCACGGCTTAAATATTTCCGGGTCAGATACTGCGTCCTGTTGAGCTCACGCCTGGGGATGCTTGCCTGCATTTGTTTCCTTCATCCATCCATCAAGCTCCTAAAAACGTCCTCTCTCCCCCTTCTACAATTTTGCCTTCACCAACTCTGGCTCCTTCTTCTTCCCGGTCAACGCCTGCCTCCGCAACCGCCTACTCGCAAACTCGCTATCATCCTTCTCGCTGATATACCAGCTCACATCGCCTTCCGGATCCACCTCTGTCTGACTGAACCCGTTCCCCAGCCACGCAAACCTATTCCCGTCATACACAATCTCCCAATCATCCCACCGCGGCTCCTTAATTGCCTCTCTGAAATGCAGCATGCTGCCAGGCCACAACCCTGTGACGCGGCCGGACACCGAGTGGTTCTTATACCAGCTTCGACAGTCCTCACTCCACACCATGCGCGCCATGAACGCGTCGACATGATCATTAAAGTCGTCAACAGCCTGCTGCTTCGGCGCGAAGGACCTGATGTTCTCGGTCTGGAAGCGGTCGAGGAACGCGAGGATGTAGTCGACCTGCGCCTCGAGCGCCGACAGTATCGCGCCGTTGCCCGTCGGGCTCGAGGGCCCGAAGACGGACAGGTAGTTGGGGAAGCCCGCGGCCGCGACGGCCATGTAGCCGCGCGCGTCGTCGTTCACGCCCCATTCGTCCTGCAGGTTGCGGTTCGTCACCGTGTTGAGCACCGAGTAGCGCGGCCGGAACGACGTGTTGAAGCCCGTGGCGCAGATGAGCGCGTCGAACGGCCCGTGCTGCGCGCCGTCGGCGGTGGTGACGTGCGTCGCCGTGATGCTGACGACGTCGCCGCTGCTGGTGGGGTTGGAGGGGGAGGGTGGGAGGATGGCGCGGACGTTGGGCGCTTGGAGGGCCTCGAGGTAGCCTGGGCCGGGCGTGAAGCGTCGGCAGCCGACGCTCCAGCTGGGGATCAGTGCGGATATGAGGTCTGGGCGTGAGGTGAGTCTGGTGCGCATCAAGTTGGTGATAGCGGCATGGAAGGTGGCTTGCTCGGCGGAGTCTTTCTTAAAGACAGCTATTGCGGCTCGTGTCAGTGATGAAATGAACTCCCGAGACGGGGTTGTTCTCTAAATCATATTTTTTTTTTACAAAGAAAAGGAAGCCCGATATCCGCGTGGAAAACTTCCAATCTGGAATAGGGTCTGAATAATGGGTAGAGGCATACCGAAGTATTTGTTCAATCCATCTTCCATTTCTTTCCTGTGTTTCAGTAGGGCTCCTGGCTGATTTTTGAATGCCTGTTTCTCTTCCTCGGTGTACTCCCTCTGATCCGAAGTGCCCATTGGTGGTGCAATGTAGGTGGGAGATCGGATGAATGTCGTCAGGCTCTTGACGTGTGGTTGTATAGCCGGCAGAACCTGGATGGCCGAGGACCTGCCAGCCGTCAGTCCCGTTGACTTCCAAATTGCCTCAAAGAGAATCAGTCCAAAAGAGGCCCGCTCGCAGTCCCGCTTACCCATTCCCAATCAACCCAACATCCTTCCCGCGAAAGTCAAAGTCCTCCGGCCAATCCGCCGTATGAATCAACCTCCCCTCAAACTTCTCCAAGCCCTGAACTTTCGGCCACTCCCACTCATTCAAAAACCCCGTCGCATCAACCAAAACATCGCACTCATCCCTCCCCGTCTCCCCCGTCCCCTCATTCCGCCACTCCACCTCCCACCCCACCTTCCCACCTTCCTTAACCCCATCATCCACCCACCTCGCCCCAACCACCGCCGTCCGCAACCTCACGTACTTCTCCAACCCGAACGCGTCCGCGAAGCCCTTGAAATACGCCTTGATCTGCGCACTGCTCGCGTACACGTGCGTCGGCGCGACGTCCGGTTTCTGATACGGCCAGAACGAGTACGAGTAGGAGTGCGCGGGCACGTCGCACGCGCAGCCCGGGTAGCGGTTCTCGTGCCAGGTGCCCGCGACGTCGGCGTTCTTTTCGTAGATGGTGAGGCTGTAGTTGCGGAAGGACCGCTGCAGCTTGTACGCGAGGACTAGTCCTGAGGCGCCCGCCCCGACGGCGATGACGCGGATGTGGCGTTCGTGGTGGATTGGGTTTTTGGCGCGGGCGGCGTTGGGTTTGGGTGGTGGAGCCATGGTGGGAAGCGGAGTTGCGCTGGTGGCGACGTGAGAGAGCGGGGGGGGGGGGGGGGGG